ATTAGCACAATGTTGATTTCCTAAAATGAGGAAAGAAGTATTCCTTTTATTTTCTGCTTTAATTGTTTGATATAATTTATCAGTTAAAATGTATATGATCCTGTTGTTGCCATATAGGTAGGTTTTCCAGCTAGGAATATACTTTCTTTAATAGGTGTTATTCAAATTTTATATTTCCTCCAGAACTAGTTTCATTAATTTGTCTTCCAAGGTACTTCTTAGAAGTTATCAAATTTATTTCAGAACAAATTTTTATAACATGCTTTCTATATCCTTTTAGATTCTGTAAATCTGTGGTAATGTCTCCTAGATCTTGACATTGTCATTTAAAAAATATACAATTGATATTGTGTAATAAAGGTCTAAAGGAGCAGGGGAAGAGGGAGGGATACGGGAAAGGAAAGAAGGGAAAAGAAAAAATATGAGAAAAGGAACAAAATGGAAACAAAGTCTTTTCAAATAGGGAGGGTTGTAGGGGGTGAAGGGAGGGCAGGGGAAGGGGAAAAAAATAAGAACCAAGATATTCATGTAATGGTACAAGATCCCAATGATGTATGTAAATGTATTTTATACCTAAAATGTACCAATAAACAATGGGGGAAAAAAATAAAAAATGTTCACTTCAGCAAAGCTTAAAAAAAAAACAACCAACACCCACAATTGAAAGGAGGAGAGGTTTATTTTAGTGTCAGTCCTTGCATGATCTGCTGGCAGAGGAGCCTAGCAGAGGAGAGCTGAATATAGCATTACAGACCAAAGCAGAGAAGAGAGGGATTGGTTAAGGCCACACCCTCAGTGACTGCCTCCTCTGACCAGACCCTATCCCCTCTTATAGCAAGTCAGCTATAAGCCCCATGATCCAATCACCTTCCCCAAACCCTGACTGATGAGTGCATGAGGCTCTTGGGGGGACATGTAGGTATAAACCACACATTTGGGCCATTTTTTCGTGTTAATTATACTTAATTTATAAATTATGCCCCAGATATGTATTTCATCTATTATTATCTTTCTAGTGAACTTTACTGTTCAGTAAGACAAATTCCTTTGATTATTCCTTTTTTTCAAGATTTCTTGGATCATGTGAGAAAAGGCATTCTCTGTTTGCCTAATTAATATCCCACTTGTTTTCCAGAGTGGTTGTTATATCAGAGTTTCATATCAAAGTATCATAAAACATGAATCACACTTATTGCAACTTTCTGTGAACTGAGTTGAGATAGTAATTAATTCTGTGCCACAAAGGTGTGAATGTGGTGCTTGGTACACTGTGTGATGGGGGATTCTTCCAGTCATGTGTCAGTCACCCTCAGCCAGGGTGTTTTCTAAACCCACAGAGCCTACTGAAACAATTCTCTAGTCCCTGGTGAACAATAAAGAACACAGCTTTTACAGACAATTTCATTATTCCTGTTGAAAAAATGAAACAACTTGACTCATGGATCAGTGAATGTTTGGAGTGACACAGTATGAACAGGAACCAGTGGAGAGATTAGAAATGTCCTTCTTTTGCTCAAGCCTTGGCTGTTGACTTTGAGAAAACTGATCCAGCTGTGAAATTAAATTAGGGCTGGACAATGTGTTGTCTCTTGGTAGGTCTAGCACTTCCCAACTCTGGGGACCAGACTTGGACAGCAGAGGAGGTTTGCAGGTGGTGTGTGTTGCAGAGGTCAGTGGACTCCACTGCAGCTGGTACAGAGAGGTCCCTTGGTCTCCACTACAGCAAATGCCAAAGTGCCCAAGGGCAGGCGACAAGGGAGACCTCTGTTTTCTCAAACCTCAAATGGAAAAAAATGGCATAGTAAGTCTATTTGATAATTTATTTAGAACTGTAAATTTATTGCAAAAAGTATGTTCTAGTGTCTGAGTGCAGATGAAATTCTACCAAAGTTCAACTATGCTGAGGGGTCTTCCTAGTTGTTTTCATGTGAGGTCCCAGACATAGGAGCCAGGAATAATTGAATAGGAAATTATCTGACCAACCCTAATTAGGAGCAGTTGGTTAAATCCACAATTATGTAAAATCATATACTCAACCAGGATATGTCACTTAGCCTCTTATACCACAGTTTCTCACCTGTAAAACAAAGAGGCATACCTCTATCTCCTTATATGCCAGGAATGCTATGTTTATAGATAAAATGATGCTTGTGAAAGCTCTAGACAAATTTGGGAAAAAATTCTCGTATGTCTTCTCTGTGGTGTTGAATCACTAAGGAACAAGAATAAAAGTATTAAGGGGAAGGGCACAGTTAGGCAAAACACTGAACATTGGTGCCTGTAAAATAGCAATCTTTGACAACAGTGCATCAAGAATGCCACTCAAAAATGTTATGAATCATAACAATACCTTAGTTTCTTTCTCTGCATGACCCAACACACTCTGAAATGCAAATATTTTCCATGGCCTTTGATGGATGTATTTGTCAAATGAAATGACTCACAGCAGAGCAAATTAGTAGCAGCTGATAGAAAAGCCAAGAGAAGATTTAAGCTATGGTTGGTTATGAACCAATGTCTTGAGAACAAAACTGGACTTGTAGGTATTGAGCCTCACAATTTTGGACAGCACCATGTCAGAAAGCTTTTGGAATTGTCAACATAAACTGGAGATTTCACATGAAAACAAATGGATGTATCCAAGTACTGTCTCCTTCAGACAGAACTGTCCTTTTTTTAGTTTGCCACAGTCCATACCATTCTCTATCATCCTCTTTTGGTTCTCAAGTACAATATCTAACTGGTTGTTTGAATGTGTAAACTTTCTAGTCATTCTAATTTATAAATTCTGCCTCACATAATACAAGGGATTTTGTGGTGTAGATTAGGATTCTGAAATGGAGTCCTTAAATCTTGAAGAAAGTGAATGGGAAAAAAATCTATTTCAGTGCATCAGAAACAAAATTTTTTTCATTTAACAAAGATATTCTTTAGAGACCTCACCGAGTAACAGACTTCTTTGTTTGGAATGGCATTCTACTTCCATGAACTTTGATTTAAATAAAAATGGATATATTAGGTTACTCTGGTAACTACTAAAACTCTCACTAGAAGGACATCATCCACTTTTCCGTAGAAGCAGCAGAAACAACTAACTGCCCACCAAACTTTGCAAAAGGAAGCAGAATGCAACTTGAGAAAATGCCACCTGTAAATATCAAGTGATTTCCTTGCTTCTACCACCTCCTACAAATGTGGAATAGAGTGCAAGGCAGGGGCCATGTGGATTTTAGAAAGAAGCACCAGCAAAGACCCCATGGTTCACAGTGTAGTCCCTGGATGCATGAGAAAAGAGGCCTTAGTGAAACATGCTGCATATAGTGTGTGGGAAACAGCATGGCAGTGCTGGGCCAGAGACACACACAGGGCCCTCACAGGGCTTGCCTTGGTTTCTTCCAACCACAGGTGAAACTTGACCATCATTTGATTGCCACCAATAAATTCCACTAGCGTTTGCATGGTCTCTTCTGGTTATTGTGTATCTCATCTCAAGGTGTTTAAATCCTGCCCTGGAAGGTGATTCCTCAGCCTCCCCTACAACCATGAGGTAAGTTTGATTTGTCTTACATAGTTGACCTCAAATAAGTATTACTTGAATGTATCTTTGCCACCAGTGGACCGTGTGAGCCTGAAGCAACATTCACAAGAGAGGGCTTGATTCTCTCTGTTCCCCAAGTAAGAAAACTGATGCCCAACCTTAAAAAAATGAGTGGAACACAAGTTGATTTGAGTGTTTATTTATAAATGTACATTTTCTATAAAAGCTGTGCATTTTAGACAACTTTTTGCTTTTGTTTTTACTATTTCTCAGAGGCATTTTAGAATAAATATTATAAATGAAAGTTAGTGTAAGTGATATAGAATATTGGCCCACCCAGGACAGTAACATCTTTTGGACGGACTCATATATGAGGTGGATCATTTCAGTTTGTTAAATCTTAAGCTGTGTATAGATAACTAGAATATGCATTGCATTAATAACACTACATAGAAAGAACGAAGAAACGTCATGAAAGTTTGCTAGTGAAAAACAGAGTTATCCATTTTTTTCTTAGGAAAGAAAAGAGACTAGCTTTTGGAGTATGAGGAAAAAAAATCAGATATACTTCCTTAGAAACAATAAATCACTCACTTGCCTCATCTGTTTTTTAAACAAACACATTTGCATTATAGCTCCACAGAGTACAGCATTTTTTTTTTCCTGGGATCTCAAAGATTATTTGAAAAGAAATAGATCATACTCATTATGCTGCACTGGAAAAAACAAGATCTACTCTGCCTAAGCTGCCATGTAACTGACTCTAAATGATATATAAATCAAATAGAAATAGAAACAGTTGGCAATTAGAATTTAGAAAATGTTGGAGATTATTCTGTGCTGGTGACTAGTGTTCATTATGGGAAAGCATGTTTTGCAGTTGGAGGATGCGGCTTTATCTTTCTTGACTTGCTTCTGGCTTCAATACATGTACAATGAGTCTCACTAAGAAATATGTACAAATGGGTGTGTGAAACCAGAAGAGAATGTGCAATATTCATATAATCCTTACATAATGGATGGAATTCCACATGTAAAAGGTACTCTATAAAAATTGGTTATGAATGACCATATTGTACATGTTTTGTGCATCATTTGTGGTAAAGTACTCTGCTAGTATCATGCAAAGTGTAAACATCCACATTATCAAAATATTTAATAAAACATGCAGGTGGTTAATCAAAATATTGGACTTAATCTGTACAATTTAAAAATTTTAGGAATTTTTTTCTTTTTCATTATTTTTCCCTGTAAAACAGCAAACACCTCCATGAGAAGTCATGGGAATTTGGAAGTGACTTCATCTCTTCAATGTACTGCATCCATAATTCATTTCTGACTATGTGCAACAGCTTTGCATTTTCTAAGGCACAATTTTTTAATGAAATGATGTGTAAATTTCAATCCAATAACAGCTCGTCCAAATGATAAAGTGGTCAAAATACCTCCAGTGGCTGAGGAAATTTCTGCGCCTACATGAACCCACATGCAAAGGACCATCTAGCATGGAAATAAATAATTGCTAGCCATACTCAATAAGACACACAGAAAGTATTGCTTACATAACAGAAACATATCTACTTGATCTCTTTTTTATGACTACATTAACCTACTAGGGGTGTATCCATAGTCTACATTCACAAAATGTTATCTTCACTGATTTGCCATCATTTTAAGGCAGAATAAATAGTCCCCCTTTCCCCAGTCTTAAAGAAAATAGCCTGGAGATGCAAATTGTGATGGTTTTTAGTCACTTGATTTCTTTCTCGTCTGGCTGAAACTTATCACGCAGGGCAGAAAAATAAGCCAGGTCTCCACAAAAGTTCCTTTCTAAACTCCATGAGCAAAGTCCAGAATTCTTCATAGTAAGGAAGGTGATGGAAAATGAAGGTGCATATGTTTTCATTAGAGTAGACAGGGCACAATCTGAGCGGCAGCTTCTTGCTGGTCACACACAGTGGCTTATTATATTGTGTCGTCTGAATTCTCTTAGCATGGACTTCATGTTTTTCCTTGAATACCTGTGCATGTGGCCCTCAAGGGTGAGCAGTGGTCACAACTAATGACAGATTTAGCTCCATGCTTCACATCCCACACACCTTATATGAGCCCCTTATTGAAGATTCCTAATCCAGTGCTCAGAGAGAAGCAAGCCACCATGAAGCAGGCCTCACGACTACCATTGACCTGCCACTCTTTGGAAGATTAAACTTCCTCACAGATTTTCATAATTAAGTTTGGAGATGATCACTGAAATATTTCCCCCTGGTTTCTTCCTACCCTTGGGCAATGTCCCCGAGTATAAGTCTAGCCAATATTGCAAGGGTCCTCTGTGTTTGACGAACCAGCCGATATTAATGACGTAACTTCCAAGGTACACAAAATCTAATACTAACAGTGCAATAATTTATTGGTATAATTTCTACCTCAAAATGTAAGTAACACAAATGTTTTCAGGATTACAGTATATATTATCAGACGAGTGTCTCTGAATTAAAAACAAGTTATAGCTCAGAGATAGAGCTCATTGTGATGTTTAGTTCTTCTGAAATGCATTAAATTTATGCTCCTGTCTTAGAAGACCACTAAAATTGGCATGTCTTGCACTTTCTGCAGCTCAATTCTGTAAACATAAAGTGTTTAATATCTAGAAATACTAAAACACAACAGGTTTATTGCATCCTTTAGCTAATTCCCAAAGAAGAGAGTAACACATTTTAAATGGTAAGCCTGTTTGATCATGTTAAAACCCCTTTTTGAACTATTCAAGATCATTACAATTCAATATTCCTTTGTATATACTGTGCAAATGCAAAAAACAAAACAAAACAAAACAAACAACCACCCCCCCCCAGGAAAACACAAACACTGCTACAAAAGAACAGACACCACCTTTCAGAAGAGCCTTTCAGAAATCAGATGAATGCTGAGTAGCCCCTGAACTTGGGATTTTGTTAAGCACTTGCCAGGGGACACCTTTGATAAAGTAATGGTTAATGATCTGAAAGCTTGAAAACCACATCATAATGTTGTAGGTTGGCCAGCACCTGTAAGAAAGAAAACAACAACTTTGGTTCCTGTGCATTTCTTGCTTCAGATGTTTTAAAACTTCCCAAATAAGCAATCACCTTTGCCAAATTTTCTTCCCCCAGAGAGGGGAAACTTGTTACACCCTGTTACTTAAAGTGTGGTGTCAGGGCATGCAGTACTAACATCACCTTTGTTAGCAATGCAGACGATTTGGCCCATCTCAGACCCACTTAGTAGTGTGTCCAGGTGGTACATATGCTCTGAAGTCTGGTTCAAGAACTCTGGGTATCCTGTAAATCTCCCCAATAAGCTTTCTACTTTATCCTCTGGGCCAGATAAACAAACAAACACACAAACAAAAAACAATTTCTTTTTTCTCATAGTTACTTTAGGTTTTGGTTTCTCTGAGATTAAATTAATCAAAACCAGAGGATCATATGTGAAGACATGTGATCTAGAAATAAGTTCGCTATATTTATCAAGTAAAAATAAAGAACACCCAGTAGAATTTGAATATCAGATAAACACATACTCTTTTAGCCTAAGTACTGCCCACGTAGTATCTGAGATACACTTGCACTAAATCAACAGCATGCAATATTGAGGACAAACACATATGGAAAAATGGATTATCTGAAATTCAAGTTTAAAAAATCATTTTTTGGTCTGAAATTCAAATAAAAAAGTTAATTGGGCATCTTGTATGTTCTCTGGTAAGTTATCTGGAAAGGATGAAGTTCCATATTTCCTGCTGAAATCTTCACAAGGTTGGACCTTCATTTGGGGCACTAGGATTGTGATGAGGCAATCATAACATTGGAAAAGCCCCCGGGGAGGGGGAGGGGAGTTTGCGCTCAATGCATTTGGTGCGTGAATGATGGAACAGAACAGCACGCACAAAGGCACGGCCATCCAGCACCCAAGCACAATCTGCACAAGTTAAACATGTGACAGCTGAACCTGGCAGGTAATTTGTTTTGCACTTCCATTCCCATTTACATACGAACTTAAAAACTGTTTACATTGCTTTTAGGAATTGCATTTTAATATGCTGTTATGCTGTTTTTCCCTCCAAGAGAAAAATTTCATTTAAATGTGACTCATTACTTGAAGGAAACAGGATTATATATTCAGGTTTTATTATTCCATGAAATGAAATTATTTTGTTTCACTTTGGATGCCTGTGATGTAAACTACCTTTTACATCTATCCATCCAGCCTCTTCTCAACTCAGATCAAAGCAAAATTAAAGAAAGAAAAAAATAAAAATGATGTTTAGTCATTTCTTCTCATTCTGACTCTTTTATTGCATCTGGGATATAGTCAAACAGTTCAGATATATTTATAATTCTCTAGTGAAATTATTAAACCCTCCACCTAGTCATTCCTAAGATATACAGTCTTTATTTCTTAGGACATTAAGAAAGAAAGCAATACTCTTCCCTGGCATGGCCTAAAGTGATATTAACATTTACCTAGAAAATAAACATATAAAAGTTAGAAAATTTTTGGAAAAAATAATTGCAGAGAAGGTAGCCATTATTAAAACAGATTATAAACACATAATAATTAAAAACATTCAGTAATGGAAAATAAATAGGTTAATAAGACACAATAAAATAACCAGAAACAGACCCATATATATATATATGTGTGTGTATATATATATATATGTATTTGACTTAGTTTATGAGAAAGTTAACATTTCAAATTAGTGAAAATAAAAGGGATTATTTATTGTTTTTCACATAATTAGCTAATTGGAAGAAAATAAGGTTGGCTATCTCCTTAATTTTTATTTCACCATACATTCCTGATGGTCACCCACTTACACATAAAAAAGAAAAAATTCTTAGCAGAATCTCAGCTAAGTTTCTTTTTTTCTAACCTTTAGAATAGAGAGTGTTTTTCTGAGTAGGACACAAAACCCAGAATCCAAAAAGGGAAATATTATGTATTTAGTTACTTAAAATGAAAAAAGAAATTGTGTGAAAATAAATCCCCAAATAGGAAACCCATGACAATCACAACATGGAGAAAATATAACACAGGGAAACTTGACTTATTTCACAAAGAACCCAAATCAGGTTGCTAATAGAAGAATGGATAAAGGATTGAAAGCACTTTATAGAAAAAAAGTTTAAATGGTACATGAACACATGAAAAGATATTCAAACTTACAAGAAATACAGTTTAAAGCAAAGAGGTTTCTCCCCACCCAGGAGAGTGAACTTTTTGTAGTACTAGAAATTCAAGTGCTGTACCACTGAGCTACACCCTCAGCCCAGAGTGGACATTTCTACCATATGATGGTACCCAGAGTTGCCATTGGGGTAGAGGAACAAGGAGGCTCTCAGAAATTTTGCAGGAAGGATGTATTTTCTGAACAATGATAGGAAGGATGTCTGAAAAATTAAAAAGCACACACCTCTTAACTCTACTACTGTTCAGAATGTTTCCTTTGAAAATATTTTCAAACGTTCAGCAAGATATATTCAAAGATGTCCACTGGAGCATTTAAAAATATTAAAAAACTGAAAGTAACCAGTGTTCCTTCATTGAGAATTGGTTTTAAGTTAAGACAAGTCCACCAAATGGGAATGCAGCAGCTACTAAAAAGGCATTGAAAAGAATGAAGGGAAAAAACATGGGAAATGGAAAAACTGCCAAGATTTATCATTACGTCAAAAACAACAGCAACAGAAACAAAGTGCAGAACTCCAGGACTATGTGATTATCATCTGTGTGAAGTGAAATCCAACACATATACAGGTAGATACATCATGCACATATATTTCTCTGGGTGTGCAAATGCATTTGGTACATATATAAATACCCAGTCTGTCCCTACCCCCAGGAAATTATTAGAAAGTTGCATACCCATGTTTATAACAGCCTAATTCCTAATAGCTAAATCTTGAAACTGCCTATATGCCCATTAACAAACGAATGGATAAAGAAAATATGGTATTTATACACAGTGGGATACTACTTTGCCAGAAAGGATAGATTTGATTCAATTATAGAAAAATGGATGCACCTTGAGACTATAATGTTAAGTGAAATAAATCAGACATACATACTTAAATATCAAATGGTTTCTCTTATATGAGAAGCCAAAAGTATAAAGAAAAAACAAAATAAAAAATAGATAATAAGAAGTAGGGAGACAGGTCTTTCTCACATGGGAATGGGATCAAGGGATGGAGGGGGTACTGTAGATAGGTGAGTTAATTAGCTATCTTGTAAGCAATTAGACAGGGCAACCCATTTTCTGGTCCCCCTCCTGTCTCTCTTAGAAGCTTTCTTTCTCTCAATAAATTTTTCCTACTCTTAACCTCTGTTGTTCCTAGAATTCACTCTTCGATTTTAGAGAACAGGAACTTTTGGATACCTAGTAGGTTTGGGAGTTGCATCTCTGCCCCCCTATATCAGAAGGGGGTGATGGAAGGGAAGGATGAAAAAAGAATTAAGATGTGTTACACACCCCAACTCCCCATGAGGAATGTAATCATTATGTGCTGAAACATGCACTAATAAAAATTGGCTTAAACGGAAAAAAGAAATTATTAGAAAGTGATAACTCTAGACATTTTCACTTTTTTATACTTTTTTTTTTTTTTTTGGTACTGGGGATCGAACTTGGGTCCTTATACTTGTGAGGCAGGTGGTGGAACCACTGAGCTAAATCCCTGGTGACATTTTCACTTTTAATTTGGCATGTGTCTGAACAATTTCAAAATTTCAAATCTTATGTCATTTATAACTTTTATTTATTGATTTTTTGAATATCTAGGCAGAAACATAATGGGGCCTTTTTGCTTTCTTCTCAGTATTTCTTAAAGACTCCTAATAAAACATTACATTTAAAATGTAAAATAAACAAAAAATCGTATTTGTAGACTTCCAAATCACTTTCTTATTTTTCATCTTGTTACAGGAAGTCCACAATTCTAGTCTTTAGATTTCAAATTAAAAACAGTTAATGTCCTTTACATTTGTATACATAAGAGAAAAATTCCTGGCTTAGATCCAAAAAACTAATTTCCAAAAGAAATGACAATGAATCACTCAACTCAACCTCTCAATTAAAAACAAATCTGGATGAAAACAGGTCACTGTCACTCAGAGGTGGGTTCAGGTTTGTTCTGTTGGCATCTATCCTTCAAGCGCTTTAGATTATGAAAGGAATTGAGATCAACAGCACTTTCAAATCTCCCTTTGCAGTCCTCCAACCTAACAGTGCCCTCTTCTGATTCTACGATTCACATTCAGCCCATGCACTTGAGAAAAAGTGTCATTTACAGAAGATGGAAAAATTCACTTTGAAACCTGGAAGAAAAGGGTTTAGTTTTCCTTCTTAGTGCATAAAAACAAAACAAAGAAATTCTGGTTTAAAGAGTAGAGATGGATTAATCAAGGTCCATGTACGTATGTATCTATGTCTTTATGTATATTTACAGCATATGGGGTACACTGTTTGCATCATTATTTTAATATATATAAAACACATGGTATAAAAGTAGTCATATATGTAATACATGGCATAAATAGTTTAGTTTGATGGCAGTGGCTCTAAACTGGAATTGTTCTGACTTCAAGTGAAATGTTCACTGTAGCTGGGTGTGGTGGCCCATGCCTGTAATATCAGCTCTCTGGAAGCATGGAGCAGGAGATAGCAATAGATAGTAAATTACTATCTATTTTTATTCTTCAAGTTTTCAGTCTTGCAGAATTAAAGGTCATGCAAAAAGGCAATGAAAATGCTACTTTACTTACTTTGAGAAATAAAACATAACTGAATTTCGAACCCTATCTCTTCACTTTTCTGAAGTGTTTCTGCATGGTGAATTTGCGTTGAAAGGTCTCCTCATGTTAGGTTAGTTACCAGGACTCCTGACAGAGTCCCAGGAAGAATTCAGCAGCCACTAGCTAGTTTCAGAATTTCTATAATAGCAGCTGGGCAACAGCACCCCCTGGTGTTCCCAAAAGGAACATGAACCTGGGACATTTGACCCATATAGAACATCAGAGAGCAAGCAGGCTGCTCAAATGAACTCCAGGGTAGCAAATATTTGTTAAGCTCTGATTATGTGCTAAGGTATTGAAAGGGGAGGAGGAATCCATAGAGAAGTAGAATCTATCATTTTGTCTCTCAAGGAACTTTCAATTTGGTTGGGAATAGAATCATATTACATAATGAAACTCCTGTATATAGGGCATGATGACAATGAGTTGGTGCTCAGTTTGATAAACGGTGGAGAGCTTGCTTCTTGGCCTTTTGGCTAAAAGCAAGTGATAAACAGTAGAGAGTCACTCTCCACATTGAGCATCCTGAAATGGTACTGGTCTTCTAAAGACACACCTGACCAAAGAACAGTGTTTCAGATCTTAAGTCCTTCTTCCATCTTAACACGACCAGTTTAGGCAATTCCTTGAACTTGCCCTTCACTTTTTACCTGGTCATGTGTTTATGCACATTTGGATAAACAGAATTTATCCACACCACTAGTAACTTCCAGTGAGAAACAAGTGGTAAATAAGAGGTTATTTCATTGTTGAGCCTTCTTCTTTTATGTTAAGAATCCTTCCTCTCAGCGCAGGGGACTCCACTGCCAAGGGAAAGTATGTGAATTCCTAAATGTGCTTCTATGCACATGTATACTTGTACCCACTCCTCTTGGAGCATTTTCCGCATACTCACTTCGGGATCGTATGTAGCAATCATTACAGTTAAGAAGACCATTTCGAATCCTGACATCAGTGCCACTCGCTGCATCTCCAAGCTGTCCTTTACAAATTCCACACTGCAGGGGAAAAGAACAGTGGTTAAAGGATGCATAGAGAACTGGTTCTTTGTCATGATTAATAACTATTTGTGTTAATGACACACTAGTCACTTCTACAATCTCCACATTGTTGAGCATCTATTATGTGTTAGATGCCATACCAAGAGTCAACTTACAGCAAAAGTAAAAATACTTTGAGCATTTTATTTTAACAACTCCTTACATCTTACAGAGAAGGACATGAGTTCAAAGAGGTTAGTGGATTTTTCCTAAGGCTGTGAAGCTGGTAAGTCATATCTCATTGACTGAAAGCCTATCCTTTTAAACTTTATAATACACTATTTCTCAAGATGGAAGAACCATTTTAAACAGATTAAACCTCAGTGGTTTCAAATAAGCACACAAACAACAGATCATCAATTTCAACTTGACTATCAATAACCTTTAAAGGCTTTCCAGCCTTGTTGTTAGGTCCTACCAGACAACAACTACTAGGAAAAGTGATTTCATTTTATATTTCCACATTAAAGGCAGGGACCCCAGAATAAAAAATCCCTTGGGAATGGAACTCCTTTTAGCCAAATGGCCAGAGGATAGAAGAAATAGTGGCAGCTACTCTGCAGTTCATACCAGAGAGGGTGGCACTGGGGGTTGGTCTAGTTGCTAGCCCCTTGCAGTGGGATCAGGACCAGTCTCTGATTCATGCCCTATGGTCACCCAGGGCAGAGGGAATCTTCATCCAAATTATGTTACAAGCTGTATACACACTGTGTTTTATCTATGGTGTCTTACTTTCATGCAGTTACTAGTATTTTTAAATTAATAATTTAGAGCTAACTTTGCTCACTATCTCTTACTTTACACGCAAAGTGGGAGTTATTTTTAACTCATACTAGTTTACTTTATAATTAAGGAAGCTACTACTACCAAGAAGTAGGACAAACAAAATTCCAGAAGGAAAAAGAAAGTATGTCACCATTATGAAGAAAAAGAAATGACTGACTTTTAGAGATAGAAGATTTGGCTTCTAAAGTTATTTATTAATTTGAAATGTGTCCATCAGTGGAAAAAAGGACAGGATATGCTGATAGAGTTCAACTTATTAACTGTATAATAAATCAGCTATAACTGGTTACCTCATCTATTTATTAGCAGAAGATTTGGTTGCAGTTCATTCATTAATTCATTCATCTGCAAATATTTATTGATGGCTACTTGGCTAGGTACAGAGGAAAGAGAGCAAGATAGAGATGGTTCCTGCCCTTACGGAGTTTATAATTTATTAGAGAAGCCAATAATGAAATAATACAATGATGAGTGATAATGACCATTTACAGTTCTACAACAAAGGCAACTGACTTAGTCTAGGTAGGCAAGGCAGCTTCTAGGAATGATACTCAAACTGAGATTACAAACATGGTCATTCTGAGAACTACAATTTTGTAACTAGATACACCCATTTACTTAGGTCAAAGACAAAAACTCTTTGACATGAAACCACAAGAGTTTAAGAAACAGCAAATACATTAAGTTACAAATAAATCCACGCAGCCGTAAAAGATTTAAGGCAGAAACTAACAAATAACAAATTTCCCAAAACACCGAAAAGCATGAAATTCCACTCAGAGAGAAGAGCAAGAAGTCCGTACCCTAAAACACTGGATGTGAAAATAGAGATCGAGGGTCTCAATGATCATCGCAGCTCCTTTACCCAATGGAAGCCCACAGGAAGAGCACAGTTTCTTCCCACTTATAGACCTAGGGTGACAAACACATGTAATAATACATATTTCAGTTTAGCGTAATTGGCCAAACACAAATATATAACATCATGCAAAAATGCAAACATGGATTACTAAAATGCTTATGTCATAAGTGAAATGAGAATTACTTAACTGACAATGAATAAGAAATTAAGTATTGGTTATAACAACTGCTGGATAACAAGTACTAGATTAGATACAATAGGCTTCCATTGCGGTTCTTATTCTAGTATAAGTGTGCATGAGTGTATGTATATGAGTGTGTGTGTGTGTAAGATTTTTGTTCCAATAAGTTTATGTGGTAGTCTATTCAGATACCTTGGAATGATTCAATGTATTCACCCTATGTTTTCATAAATCCTAAAAGACAATGAAGCTTAGCTTTACTAAGGTTCCAATATTGCTTTAATATTTTCCATAAATGGTTCACTGCCCTTCTAGGGCATTTCTTTTCACTCATTATGGAAAAAATTTTGATTAAAAATATGGAGTCAATTGTTACATGACAAAACAGGAATAAGGCAAAGGGCCCTGAGATATAGGGTCTAATCTGTGCTGTTACCAAGTTCTGTGTTCTGCTATGAAGAATTCACTTTGGTTTCCCTTCCACCTGTACAGGGAGAGGGATGGATAGGTGATCTCTACTGCTTCCTACAGTGCAAACACTGAACCTATAATTTAAGCACTTGCTATCTCTCTCAATTGCAAACCCCTGGATGGGAGGGTTGCCTCTACCTCTTCTTGGTACTTTTGCGGCCCCTAGTGTAGTGCCCTTTAATAAATAGTCAGAACAAACTCAGCAGACCAATGCCAGGGAAGAGCACACAGTCAACAACCCATCTGAAAGTGGGTGGCTGTCCTCAGGGCAGCCTTCCTACAGCTAAGATCAGATTGCAGTGACGTTTGTGATCTGAAAAGCCTTGGGAATTACACAAGAAATTTAAAAATATACAATGTCATTTGAAAGCCAAGGTGATACAGAGGGACAGAGGAAACAGAAAGGAATACCACAGAAAAGAGGAAGATTTGTCCTAATCAAAACCTGTTTATTAGGATTTCCCTCTTATCTAGTAGATAAATGAAATTTCAACATCAACAAAAACCTCTGAGTACTTAATAATTTGTCCTTCCAGTGAATGGAAATTCAGGTAGCTTTTAAGAATATCATTTGGCCCAATTAATGTCCAGAAGCAATTATTAAGAGCCATAGTAGGTGAAAGAGAAGGTGAAGTTTGGCTTCCCAGCCTGCCTGGTTCTCAGGAAGAGCCATCAGCGGACCCTGCCTAGAAGGCTGAGCTGCCACAGAGGGAAAGGCGCCACTGGGGAAGCCAGCAGCTGTCTGGTGCATTTTGTTATTAGATTGCAGGTTCCACAGAATGTAATTAAAGTCTTATGGTCACAGCATGCCAACGTCACACACTTGACTCTTTCTATCACAAGCAGATGGAGGATGTTTTCCTTCCTGCCGTTTCTGTGTGTGTGGGAAGAGATGTGGACAGCAAATCCCCCCAAATCACTTGGCAAGCACCAATTCAGCTGTAGTAATGCCTGGCGAGCTGGAGTCCGCACAGAGCAACCTTGGGAAGGCTTGCTGACCTCTTGTACCTGTTTGGTGACTGGCCAGGAGGGGTGGGAGAACAGGGGGACAAGGGCCCAGCCTGGAAGTTCTCTCGAGGGCCTTTCCTGTAACACGGTAAAGGAGCCAAAAATTATGACAGGTCAACAGAGGCCCACAATTCCAAAAGAAAAGACATTTTTAAATTAAAAAAAAACCCCAAAAATAAAAACAACCTTCGTTGACAAACAAATTAGAGACCACAGAGTCTTCTAACACTAGCTTTTTTGGGGGAAAATAAAATAAAATAGTAATTCTGTCTAGTAAGTAGTATACTTGCCTTGGCTACATACAATCAGAACCAGGCTGGCATGCTGGCACTGCTAAATAGAAAAACCAGAATAATTTTCTAATCTTTCTTTGTAGTTTAATTCTTCTTTACTTAAAATTGAGATTCTTTTAAAAGTTGTTCACCAGACTGTTTTTACATGATGAGATGGCTATAAATACTGTGAACCTGGTTGAGGGAGAAATGAGTGAATATCTAGGGAACAACTCTAGCGAGCCCAGGAATACAGGGCAGACCTGACAGGAGGCATTTTCAGCAAGGTGGTTTCCACCTTGGGTTCACGTGATGAAGGGTGATATTCAAAATATTTAGCAACCACCATGCCACGGGCTGGCAGTGAGGAACACGAGCTGTCTCCAGCCAGAGGCTGCCGGTAGGGCGGTGCAGATGCTGTGGCTTGCATATGAGTCCTGCATGTCATTTGGTTGTCACTTCTGGACTCTGAATTTTAAAATTTAATTTCATTTGTAAAGAGAGGGGTAGAACACAGAAAAGAACAAGGGAAAGAAAAATACCATCACAGAAGAAAACAAAGCTTGAGTCCATCCACCCTCTGCTCTCAGTTAACTCCTTGAGCCCCTCACCACCCCAACCTCCCCGCTTAGGCAGAGAATTTCTTTTCCAGAACATCGGGTTTTCATCCAGAACCTCCAGTGTAAGTATCACACCTTGAAAAACAGCTAAAAGTCACTACACTAAGCAACAATAACAATGGCACCTATGTGACTGAGCTCCTGTTGACTCTGGTGTCTATTTAGAAATGAAACTGGATAGACAGGAAAGGGGAAAATGGTCCAAATACTGCATTGAGGAAAAGGAAAACCTAACAAGAAAAGTAGGGCAAAAACTGAACCTTTTTTTCTTACAACACAGTTATCATCATCATCTATATAGCACTATACAGTACTTATTTTTTGCTACCCATAAAACTTTGTGAGGTAGATATTATTATCATTCCCATTTTATGAATGAGGAAACTAAGGCAGAGAAAAATTATGTAACTTGCTGAAGATGCTTTGTAGACAAACTTGAATCCAGATGGTCTGGCTCTAGGTAGAATGACTGGTTAAAGTAAAATAAATGTTGCACTTCTACAAGTATGATTACAAGAAACCTCTGGCTTAAATTGGATTTTTCTGTAAAAGTGTGGTTCATTTTGAATTCTTCTACTACTTAACCAGTCAAATATTATGGGTAAGTTATTTAACTTCCCTGAGGCTTAATTTCCTTATGGGAACAACAACTTCATAAACTCCTCATTGGATGGGTTCAGTGAGTTAGAATAAGAAAAAGGGAAATATTTGTAAACTCTTCAATATAGTGCCTATTATACTGAAACACATAAAAATGATAGAATCTATTATTAATATAAAAAAATAGAGTTCTTACAAAATTAAAAGGTAGCCTAGGGTAGCTACCTTAATGAGAGAGCATAATAATAGGAAAATAACAATGTTTTCCTTGGAAGAATATTTGTTCATAGGCTCTGAGATAGTTTAACTCAAGTAAGTTACTAGTACAACAGACTTGCAAATTTTTCCAAATATTTAGACTTGTGGGTTAAGAATATGACATTTTCCCATATAAGTTGATAAATTCAGAGTGATTATTTACTTGCCAGGAAGGCTGTCTTAAACTTCCATAAATACATGTTACTATGTCAATGAAATCAAATTGAGAAAGAGCACAAAAGTGCTGCTGACATCTTGCCATCACCTTTTTTGAGTTTTTTCCCTTCCAGAGTCAATATGTTTTTAAAAAATCCCACATCCATATCATTTGTTTACTTACTTCTGCCTTTCACTTGGAGACTCAATCTGATGGTTAAGGTTTTTATGCAGCAGGAGGGTTTCTGGCTTCACATCTTCTGACATGTATGTTGTTGGGTTTGGTACCTGCTGATTCTGGGATGGATCTGAGGCCAAGAACAGAACACAAACTTTGTACTCAGTAGTGTCAACTTCGTGCTTCATAAGTCCCCTTTCTTTAACGTGCCGATGCTTGCTGAGATCTCACATCAGCTCCATGGAGCCTGTGGGCACCGGGTGGCCGGAGTGGCCAACGCATTCCCTGCACTGTCAACTAGTTCTGGAAGCAAAGAAGATCTGGAACCAGGCTCTTTTGCCTCAGTGATTTCTGATGTAATAATAATAATAATACTCAAAGTACTGATTTCTTATGCACTAGAGAAAGCAAATTTGAGAGGATGCAATTATAACTTGGGACATAATTTCTAAAACTTGGTAAATACTCATTGCTTTCCCTAACCCATGGGTTATGCCAACTGTGATACGGTTTAAACCCACACGGCATCTACATAGAGGTACAGGATATATAGGGTATCTCTAGATGGGGCCATATACAAGTCTATGCTTACTTATGATGATCAATCCATATAAATATATGAATAAAAATGTGCTCAAAATACAAGGCCAAATTCACTAATTCCACCATTGAAAGTGTTTTTTGCTTAACTAAATTTTTTTAGTTATAATTTTTAGAATGTTTAAATTTTTAAAAATTTATTACAGTAAAAGTCACATTGCCATTGATTCCTGTTATGGCTTGTGTTTAGATGTACCTGTCTCCCCTAAAGCCTCATGCTTTTTCTAGGTGGCTGAATCTAGAGTGTGTGATTGATTCATTGTGGGACTAGGCCCGAGGGCACTAGGATTAAGGGCGTGAGTGCTGCCTGCCCTAAATCGTCTGAATAAGATAAAAGGGGAAGAAAGATGCTCTTAAAGTCCCTTGTTACCTTTGCTACCCTGTGTGTGCCATGTTGTTTCTCCTCTGCGATGGCTGTTTGCTATCGTTGCCTTGGAGCCAGGTGAGTATGGACTGAAAGCTCTACAAACTGGGAGCAAAATAAACCCTTTCCCCTTTAACTTTTGGTGCCAGGTATTTTGTCTTTGCAATGAGAGAATCTCCTCTAAATACTTAGCCAAATTTGCCTTTGCTCTAAACACACTTACTATGGTCAGCTTTTTACCCTCTTAACTCACCCTTCTTTAATCCCTTTACCTTTAAACTAAGTCAAGAAGTATCTGCCAGCAGCAGAAACTCTTGAAGCTTTCTTAGTGGTAAAAAAAATTAAAAAATTTAAACAAGGTGAAAAGCCACACCAACAGGAAATTGAAAATCAAAGGGGGTCAAAATGCAGAAGCCTTGCAGCATTCATGGAGTTGACACTGGAAGTCTCAGTGGCATGCAGAATATGATCTTTTCAACTAATTGTATTGGTGCACTTTTGATACACATGATGATCACATTCATCGTAGGGATCTTGTACCTGTCACATGATACATCTTGATTCTTCTTTTTGCCCCATTCCCCTCCCCTCCCTTCAACCCTGGTTCCCTCCTTGTTTACAAAAGCTTTGTTTCCATTTTTTCCCTTCTGTTATCTTTTTTTTTTTTTTTTCAAATCTTTGAATTTCACTGTGGGGAGCCTGAATATGGGGGCACAGGTGAGAACAAGAGTGTCTCTGGCAGGGAAGGTATTAGGACTTTCTTAGCCTGGCCATGTGCATTGTAAAGCTTATAAGCATTTTATAGGAGATTAAGTCCAGTGGAGAAATAAGGAAAATGGAGGAAGTCTCAAAATACGTTTCTTATCAAAGTTGAAGGCTTTTTGTAAATATATGTAAGTATATATCCTGCTCAGCCCTCACTGGGTCCTCAGTGATACCACATAAGCTTCAGGTCTTGATGATAGGAGTTCATTCATTATATACTGAGGTCTGGGACACTTAAAAAGAAGTTTATAGCTAGCAGAGGTCATATCTGTCTGGACAATATGGAGGTCTTACGATAATTTAAATTCTGAGTTTAGTCTCCTTTCTTACCCTGAACTAGCTGTGGGTTTGTCCCACCGAATGGGGCCCCAACCTCTGTATCCAGCTGATGGACCTGATGGATTCCTTTGGATGCAGAATTCTCAGAAGGAGTCCATGGCCCTTGTGATGGGCTGTTAAAATAAAGAAACATATTTCAGAACAGAGATAAAGGCAACTGGATTAAACTTATTGGTCCTAGCACTTAGGGTATGGAAGTACCAGTTATAATCTGAAAAAGAGAAATGGGATTGTTTACTTATTCTTTTCATTTTAAACTATTATTATTTAATGTTTTATTACATATTAAATATTACAAAGAAATTGTCATTTGCAATGTTCTGCCTGCCCACAAAGCTATTCATTCTACCATTTCAAGGGATGGGGGAGCTAACTGGAAACTCCTCCATTTTCGCAAGAGAGGGATTACTGAAGAAATCATCTGCACCACATGGGACCTCTGCAGCTTGTGGTAATCCACTGGGCCTTCAGTAGCTTCTGTGTGCAAGGAAAGGAGAGATGGAGGAGATACAAAGAAAGTTTCTGGTGACACAGAGGACATTTGGGAGAACTAACAAAAATTCTTACGAAATGCCTATATAAAGAACTAGCAAAAATGAACATAAAATCCTTTTTGGCATCATTCAAATCTTCCTGACCAGGAGTTTTGATTTCAAAAAACTAGAAAGTCTCTGTTAATAACTGAAAAAGATGTGGTTATCCAAAGTCAGTGTGTCTCTGGACACAGGCCCTTAGCTCCTAAAGCTTACTTACACTGCACACAGCTTTCTAGTTGACAAACCCCAGAGAATTCGGAGCAAAACCTCCCCAGCAAAGCTGACCTCCCAGCCAGTCCAAAAATGACACTTGGAAAGCCTCTCCTGCCTTTGGGCCCCCTGGGATGCTGTATACGTATGCAGATGCATGCCTACTTCCTATGACCTGGCTGGTATCTCAGACCCCAGAGGCAAACATTTATCTCAAAACGAACATTAAGTGATGCCACTGGGCATTCTGTGGGTTCCTTCCAGGTCAGGCCTCAGTGTCATCAATAAGCCCATCATAGCCATTGCTACCCCAGTCTGTTCCAGTCTGAGCTACCCTGAGGGTTCCAGGGTTTTCTGGCTTCTTTTCTGATCTCCCCCTCATGGAACATACTGGAGTCATGAAGGGGTGGGGGTACCACAAACAAGTAACTAGTCGGCTACCCTTTATATCATCACCTAGGGTAAACGTGGCTTCTCACAGCATAGGGGATAGTAACAGGCACGCTCAGGTCCACAGTGCAAGCATGGTAGATGAGACTCCAGGGCCTGGTTTCAACCATTACCGCTCCAAACACCATAACCACTTCAGTGAACTGACTGACAATTCTTTGAATCGACAACAGGCTCCTCTGATGATCTATACTGTTTCTTCTTATTTAAAAAACATTTTGCCTATTTAAAAATAAGCCTATTTATATTCAAGAGCATAAGGACACTGACTTCAGAGCTATTACAATATGTTCAAGCAATATGTAATGTATTACTGGAATGATCATTTCAAAGCTGACTATGATTTGCATTAGCAATGACGAATGGGCAGAACTCGGTTTTGTGAATTTTCATGGACAGCCTCGTACGGGCTCATACCTGCCCTTCTCCTCCAGCAGATCACTTTCCTTGGTTTGATGCAATATGTCATTATCATTCCCCTGGAGTGGTTCCTTCTGTTTTCTCTCTCTTTCTTCATCATGACAGTTTTCCAAATCTGTCTTATTCTAAGGGGAAAACAAGGATAATCATATTCATATAGATGTTTTGTTTTCTGGTACTGAGGATTGAACCCAGGGCATTCACACTGAACTATACCCCCAGCCCTTATTTTATTTTTTATTTTGAGACAGGGTCTTGCTAAGTCACTAAGTTGCCCAGCTGGGCTTGAGCTTACAATCCTCCTGCCTCAGGCTCTCAGAGTGCTTGTTTTACAGGCATGTGCCACCATTCCTGACTTAAATATAATTTTCAAATGTATTGGACAACATTTATCTCTGGTCATTAAATATTTGAAGCATATTTCAGTCACATTGCCTACAGTGTAAAGAACAGTTACCCAAATTAATAGATCCTAATTGATTTCCAATTACTTGGAATAAATGTATAATCTGGAATCTCTGTGTCTCTAAAGTCATACTATGAAGGGAACTGGTTAGAAAATCCCCTTGTCAAAATAAAACCAAGTCACAGGACTGCTTGTTTCAAAACAAACGTTTGCCTGCTATCCATAGGTTATTTTGTGTGTAGATTGTAGACTATGCAGGTTTTGGTATGACTTCCTTTCAGTGCCTCCATGACCTTACTTGGGGGATGTGGAGGTACAGCAGCCTTTCTGTCTTTCTCCAGCCCTCAAAGACAAATGCCAATTTCTTGTGGAACTTTCGGGGTTAGAAGCAACCTTCCTGGAATTGGTGGAGAACATAATGCAGATATCTCTGCTGCTGCCGAACAGTGCAAGAAAAGGTCTGGCCTGGCAGAGAGAAATGAATGTCTGTTGAAGGAAGGAGCGATCCAGGAGTGAGGCAGTGAGCAGAACGTTCCAGCACATAGCTTTGCTACCTACAGCCTGCTGGCCTGTGTGCTGCAATGACTTTACTGCCTCTCTGAAGCAGTGACAGTACAGAGTGTGCAATGGCCGTGCAGCACCAACGTGGTTCTGGGGGAAACCGCCAGGCCTGGTTTCCAACTATTGTGTTTGGTGGGGAAATTTGGCATTGTGGTTTTATACTTCTATTTAGGGTTATTTCTTTCACAAATTGCTTTTAATTGATGGTCTCACCACGGTCCTGCTGCCTTCAGTGATAGAGGAAGACACAGACAGCTGGTCTGCAGAACTTGAAGAAACAGTAAATGGCACCACAGTGTCTTCAATTATCTTACGCTCCTAAGGGGAAGGACAAGAATCAATAAAAGGGGGAATAATCATATTTGCCAAGAGAGGAATTACATCAAGGAAAAAAAGAGAAAAATTACATTAAGGAACTTAAGAAAAAAATCAGAATATCTGTGAAGAAGCAAGCATTTAAAAACATCATTTTTAAAGCATGCAAATCATCCAATACTCTCTATGGGCAGTGACTTAGAAATAAGCACTGACTGTAGAAAGCTAAAGACTGAATTAATTTGTGTGACTCAAAAAGCTTAGTTAAGAAATGTTATTAGGGGGCGGGGGATTTAGCTCAGTGGTGTCACTGCCTGCCTCACAAGTGCAAGGTCCTGAGTTCGATCCCCGGTAAACACAACCCCCCAAAAAGAACTGGGGTCTGACTATATACAAAAATTATTGTTGAAGACAAAATTCACAACAATACTAATCATAAACAAATTTTAGATAACATACACAAAATGTACCCACCTTCAAATTCTGTAACATGGTCTGGTTTGTTAATTAAAAAATAAAATGAAATCAAATTCTCCTCTCCATATTTCTTTAGTACTGTATAGTGAATACAGTAGTAAGGATATACTCATTTAGCCAAAATATCCAAAGTATTCTATAAAGTTAATTCATTACTACCAAATATGCCTGCTATAAACAAGCCTAAAAATACATAAATGAACTGATTCTTTCACGTTATGCCTGTAAGACAGATCAAGAACCAGACTGTATCTGGAAGAAAGATATAATCATGTTGTCTCCCTGACTATGGCTCAACACACTCTTGACACAACCCATATTTAGGAGGAATTGTGGTCTTTTACAGCCAACAGGATGTAATTCTTTCAAAGGGGTTGGAAATGGAAGCTCTGCAGTGAGCAAAAACCTAAAGCCACACACATACACATGACACAGACACAAAAGATAGGGACAGACTTGGAGGAACTGGGATGACGAGGACAAATTCCTCGAGAACTTCCTACCTCCTCATAGTATCTGCGTTCTTCTTCTTCCACCTCCTTTTGGGCCTTTTCCCACTCTTCTTTTAGCTTGTCCTGCTCCTTCTGGTATCGCTCCTGTCACAGAACGCCCATAGATTGTTTGAAAGCGATCACTGCATACATCACTGGGATTTTCCTGCTCTAACACGCCATGTCCAACATGTGGCAAAATTTTTTCCTGTGGTAACATTCTAAGTCTAATTAACTTATGTCATAGAGAGGAACAGTATTGTGTGGTACTCAAAAATCTTAGGAACATAAAAATTCAGTTGGCAGTAGTATTCTCTGCTGTTATATTTTGTAGAATTACTCTTTAGATTAAGAAATAGAAATTTGCTTGTGGAAAGAGAAGAGCTGAAAAAAATTCAACATTATTCCTTAACTTGAATTGTGTTCTACATAGGGTAAACCAACAGTCTGCTTCAACTGGACCCTTCAGAGGTGAGTTTTTGCCATTCTACTAATAGAAATAGATTGCTGGGCTGGGGGTGTAGCTCAGTGGTAGAGTTCTTGGCTAGCACATGTAAGGTCATGGGATCGTTCCCCAGTTCCCCTAACACCAACTTCCCCCAAGAAAAGAAAAGAAACACATTACTGCCAAAGAGAGTTTAACAAAAGATTTAAAACCTTGTAGGTTTATAAGACAGACAATACGGCAAGATCCAAAGTTGACAAGATGACAGCTGAATAGCTGAATTGTTCTTTGCTTTTCACCATTGTACCAAAATAAAGCCTTTCCAGCTTACAGTAATTTTTGAATTACAGCAGCTTTTTAAAAAAATCAGTGCATATTAGTAATAGAGAATAATGAGATTCATTTTGGTATACTGGTAGATGCATTTTTAAAAAATTATTTTCATCCCCATTACTCCCTTTCCTCTCCCCTCCACCAACCCCCTTCCTCATTTATAAGAGCAGTTTTTAAACACCCTTTAGAATACTTCTGCATCAGAACTCCATTCTTACGTTCAGAAAGTGCAGCAGTATCACAACTTTTGGGGGGAAACTAAAATACCCTGAATAAGGAAGGCCACCAATAAATGTGACTGGAGTTCCTGACAGCTGCTTGGAAAAATGAATGAGTGGAGATTAAAATGAATGCTTGAAATGAGAACCGACACCGGGAGTCTTGGGAGTGGCATCCTGACATGACAGAGACAGAGGAATCCCTGCATACCCTCCAGGATTTTAGGCTGATCATTATAAATCCTCTCTTGGAGGCTAAAAGAAGTCTGTGCATGTCTGCATCGGCAGGCACTGGGATTTCCCCCCGTGAACACCTGTTCTGACATTATCTTAGGAGCTAAAGGACTTCACTGGAATGTCCAGAGACAAGTGCTCCGATTAATGTTCTAGCTCAAGCACTGCTGGTCAACCAATGGCCGAGGCTCTTTGATACCAGGTAAAAACTTATTCCCCAAACTGGGTATTATAAAGTTTTGGAGCTGGACTTCAGGGGGCTTTTCAGGATAGAGGAAATAGATCCCCCAAACTACAGAAAATCTAAAAAACAAGTAAAGCTTCTCAGGATTATTGGTTCCAGGAACACCCCTTACTTTCCCTGTCTCCTTCACCAGGACAATGATCTGAGGGTACAGGGACTGAAAGATGCAGCTTGTCTGTGCCAATCGTACACACACATGCACAAGTACACACATGCCCCTCTTTGAACAACCCATGATACTGTACCAGGTAACTTCAGTGGGACAGGAGCAATACATGCCTGGTGCCTCATCTGTAAGCCTGGCTGCCCTTCAGAGCATCACAGACAGCACCATGCTGGGATGTGCACTCCATTACTCCATGGAATTTGTGATTCCTGACTGTTGACCATTTAGCTGAGGAATATGCACTTGATATTCAAAACAATAGCAGATGGCCAGGACTAGTCTAAAAGTCCTGATGGCTCTGGACTTGAAGAATCAGGTTTCACTAACGTTTTGCTGTTGAAGCCTAAACTTCTGCAATTTTCAAAAGTGCCAAACTTGACTGGCAGACCTAAAGCCACGTTACAACTGATTAACTATCTAAATCACCCCAACTCTTGGGAATTAGGCTAAAAAGGATCAAAACAAACAAAAAAAGAAAGAAAAAGTAGGTAAAATAAACTTGCATTAAGTGTCACTTTCTACATGGCAGCAGAAAGTCATCAACTTATTGAGATCTAACATTCTTCTTCTTTATGATTTTTTGGTAACTTCAGTAATTTTTGAGAACAGAGTTAAAAGAGACTGGGTTTTATAGTCACACAGACTTGAATTTGAATCCAAGTTCAACCTGTCAGCGGCATGATTTTGGCAATTAATTGAGTTTCCATTAGCTTTAGTTTCTTTAATTGCAAATGGGCTGAAAAAGACATACTTTGAAGGTTTGTGTTCAGATTAAATATGTCAAGCACCAAATGAAGTTCCTGGCACATCCCAACTACTTAATATAGGTTAGTTTTTAAGTTTACTAGTTGCTTTTAGAAGCCCTGTTAATCCATGGAACAAATAGGGAGCATAACAAATTTGCTCCCAGAATTCTTGCAGAATTGATAATTAGCAGCTTTTATTCAAAGACAGAGCAAATGTTTCTACTTGAGGAACTGAACTTGCAAGGGTAGCTGAGACCCTTAGACAGGGTTAGATACAAGACCAGGCCCTTTAAATAGAGGAGACATGGCCTTTGTGTCACAACAAACAATCTCACTGACAGGATGCAGTCTCACACTCCTGTCTACCCAGCGGCAATGCTATCAAGATGCAGATGGTCCTACAGATGGAGCCTACTATGGAGCTACCAGCCTCCTTGTACCCCAGCCACCTCCATAGTCCCTCCTCGACCACCACCCATCATCTGCCCTCACATTGCCCCTAACCAGCCAGAGCAATCATTGCCCTGCACCCCCACCCTATAGAAGTAGGATGATGGAGTCAGAGGGGGGATGTAGGGGCACTTAGAGAAACATAAACCAAAACACGGGTCACTAACATTATAAGATCATCACATGCTTATCTATGACTGACAATTATATCCGTGGGTGATAACTGTAAAATCATTACATGCCTATCTGTGTACCATGTACTTGAGAAAACGTAACCTATTGTATCCTTATGAAAGTGTTACTCACATTTACTGTGTGTTGACCTTGTCCCCTTCCCAGAAACAAAGGCTAAGACCCTGATTGGCCTAGCCCCCACTGATCAACAAAACAGCTTTATCCCTATATGTATGGGCACATCCCATACTCACCAGGCATCCTGAGTGGGATGCCCCCTATCTTGTAGCACCACTCTGCTGCTAAGATAGCTTCTCTTCTGCTTTCTCTGCATTTGCCACATTTTAAATAAACTTCTGCTTCTCACTGTGCCAGCTGTGACTCCCCCATTCTCCTCTAAGAGCCCCACTTCTTCATTTTTCACCAGAGTGAGGGCAAGACCTCAAGAGACCTGGAGGATCATTAAGGGGGACCCCAACCCCCCATGAGAGACCCCTGCCAGACGTAACAAACTGAGGCCAAATCTTATCCCCCTACATGCTATTAAACAGCTTTTAGATAATTCATTGTCATTGTCACTGTCACTTGGGCTGGAAATTGGTGATTAAAGAGGTGATGAATGAGTAAACTGACTCTTAATACTGGGAGCTCTTCAAAGTGTTAATGTGAACAGTTCTTCCTTTTATTCAGGACTGTACTTTCTGACAGGAAGAATTAGATACAGGATTCTCTGTTGCCTGGACACAAAATGAAGTGATAAGACTCACCAGGTTCTGAGAATTGGATACCATCCATTTCCTGTGCTAAAAATCGATTTAATGCAACAGAAATTAGCAGCGGATCATCTAAAAGAAAGGGGGAAGAGCAGCAAATCCAGTCCTACCTGAAGCAAACGTTCCTGCTCCTGCTGCCATTTTTCCTGTCGCCGCCGCTCTTCTTCTGGGTCCCATGCCCAGAACTTAAACTGCTCAGAAAAATAAAACCATGATCAAAATTGAGCTGCATCCTCAAGGGCAGGGCAGACAAGAGAAGATAACTAGCCTCTAGCTCAGCACCAGATGGACACACAAAAACCTTCACATATCTTAATGTCCTCATTGGTGGAAAAAGCCTCCTCTCCCCCAGCACTGGGGATTGAACCTAGGGCTTCTGCACTTCCCCTAGCCCTTCTTTTAGATTTTATTTTGAGACAAGATCTTGCTAAATCCTTAAGTTGCCAGGCTGGGCTTGAACTTGTGATCCTCCTGTCTCAGTCCCCCAGACTGCTGGAAATACAGGTGTGAGCCACAGGACTGTGCCCAGCATCAGAACGTTTTAGAAAATCTTATTCCTTCTTCAGTTTACTCCCAAGATGCTGTAATGATTCTATGAGCTCTTTGAAAGCTAATGAAAATATGAAGTAATTGGACACAGAAATGTGAAGGCTTTGCTTCATTTTTGTTAGAAGTGATAGATAATGTAATTGCATTCACACACCTGCATATAATATGTTGATTTTGTGTACTGATCCTAGATCCAAGCCAATGGAACCAGTTATTTCAGCAGAAATACATTTTGAAGAAGGTAACTCTTTGTACTCTATTGCTTTTCCATACTAGTTTTCCTTAAATTGGGTTAACTCACCAGTGGTCACCTATACTATCCAAAAGCCAGACAAAAACTCAAACCCAAAGACTTAAAAAACAATCATAATAGAAGGTTCTTTCAAGTTTGGGAACCAAGTGAATGAACAAGAATACAGTATGCAAAAGGGATTGGGAGTGTAACTGGGTGGTAGGGCATTTGCCTACCCTATGAATGGCCCTGGTTTTGATATCCAGCATCACAAGGAGAGAATGAGAGAGAGAGAGAGAGAGAGAGAGAGAGAGAGAGAGAGAGAATCTGTATTGAACATATACAGAGTTTTTCCTTGTTATTCTCTAACCAATACAAATAACAACTACTTACGTAGTATTTACATTGTATTAGGTATTATAATGCATCTAGAGATGATTTAAAGTATATGAGAAGATGTGTGAAGGGTTATATGTAAATACTATTCCATTTTATATAAGGGACTTGCGCATCCAAGAATTTTGGTGTCAGAGGGAGTCTTGGATCCCATCTGCTACAGACACTGCAGGGTGACTGTAGTGGGAGAAACCTACTTTCTACCCTACCCTGACCTCAAAAGATCACCACCACTCAGGTGCACAGTGCCCAGGCTGGCCCAACAATGTGTCTGCAGGCAGAGCATGTGGGCCAGGCCATGGGTAACACTGGATTTATAACTTTATGAATATTTATCATTTGAATACATCCACATTTAGCAAGATGAAATGTGGGCTTCATTTTGTACTCTTGCTGCGGTTCTTGCAAATGTTTGAGCTGGCCATGATGTTCACAGGATGGTAAAGAAAGCAGGACAGTAAGGTAGGAAACACACATCCTATCTGCCACTCTTGAGATTCACACTGCACATTTGTGTACTATAGACTAAAGCAAATTTTGCAGGAGGGAAGAGTACTTATTGTATATAAACTAGCTTCCCAGAATTGCTTGAATGACCATAAAATGCCATCCAAATGTAGATCCCAGATGGGCAAGTCTACTGGACTTTAATGGTATTGGAGGTTGACTCCACTCGCACCCCTGCATTCTCCTAGGACTTGAAAGTGGTTTAAATATTGACAGCATCTCATAGAAATATAGCCCTTCTTTCTGGGCAAGGGGGGGTGTTCATGTGAATAAAGCCATAGGGAGGAAAGTCCAATAGATGGGAAATAAGAGAACAATTAGGAACTATTTAATTCTCAGGTTAACACTAAGAGGGAATCTCAAGAGTAAGTTAAGTAAGGAACAGGCAGACAAGAGAAAGAAGCATAGGACAGAGGGGTCTGCACAAAAAACAGACTATTTCTGTGTGAGAGAGACAGAAAGACAGAGAGAGGGAGAGAACAGGTGTTTTCAAAGAAGATAAAGAGGACAATATCAGCATAATAAACAAGAGAGGAAAACAGTGATTTCAAAACTCCTTCCTTTCGTGATTATTTGCTGATTTGGTGATTAGTTCCTGTGGGCTGTGGATGGGCTGAGGGGTGTACAGATGGCCAAGAGAAGATGGCAGAGTGACCATGTATAAAGGATCAACAGATGACTGTGTGATAACTGTCCTCAAGGATAGAAAAAAGGTGCTAGAAGTTGGATTGGAGAGCACTTAGCCCACACTGTTCCTCACTTTTCCTGTTGCAGGTCTGTATCATCCCCTGGCTCTGGGTTTCTCAGGGGCAGGGATGCATCTTACCCCTCTAAATATCCCAAAATCTTGCATTTTAGGTTTCCAATAAGTGTTTGTTGAGTAAGCAATGGAATCACTTCATGCTGGGTGATGGCAATCCTGCCTTCTCAGTCCCTGTGTCTACTCCAAAGTCTGATTGGAAATAGACTACTGAAGTTACCACAAGCTCATGCTTACTTCCTCTTCAAACTTTACTTATTTCCAAGTTTCTGTTATTTTTCTACTCTATGAGGTGTCATTTCCTACTGAAAGAACATCAAATTTTCAGGGGGAATATTTTCAGAGATCTTTCTTACATAAGTCACTAATCTCTCTTTCTCATTCTCTTTTCTATAAACCAGATATGATAATGTATGTTTTGGCAGTGCTCTTTCTCTCTTCCCTTATCCAGGGGCACATAAGTAATTTGACATCCTTGTTCCAAATGTAATTTACAATGGAATACATGGGTTATGTCACACTCTTCAGGTCTGTGCCATGAATGCCAACTCTGAGATACTTCTGGGGCTCCCATCCACCATAGTGGCTGCCATTTTCAAAGACACGCAGGATTCTTTGTGTTGCCTTATGGCTGAACCTCCACCTATGGTCCTTAGTTCTGGACTGTAGTTGGAGAGACTGAGGGTTATGTGACAAGTGATAGGTCCCTTCTCCACTCTACACAGGCACTTAGGAATTCCCAAAGTGAGATAATTTGCTTTTAGATGAGAATTGATATTGGCTCTGGTGGGCCTCTTTGATTAACCCCTGGAGAGAGATGATTCGTTTCTGTATCAGTAACTATGCTAGAGGATTCTGTATATTCTGTATAATTATTACAACTAAGGCTCACAACAACCCTGAAAAAATCCATTATTATCTCATTGTACAATAAAAAATGATGGAGTGCAGAGAAGTTACACAGTATCTTTAGGGCATAGGGCGAGCAAGTCTGGAAGCAAAGGTACAACAGTGATTATACGGCTGCCCCCAGGTGGCTCAAGGGCAGTGCTGCAGCTGGTTGTGTCACAGAGGAAGGAAGTCTCCAGACCCAATGGGAGTTTCAGAGGATGAACAAGGCCCAACAGCTTCAGCATTAGAAACACCAGTTCAGAGTATTCAGATATAATTCAGCAGCACGGGATTTCCAACGCATCGTGTACCTTGCTATTTTCCTTAGCAAACGTTTTCTTATCTTATTTAAATAAAAAAATAGAAAACAATATGTACAAGCAATATAAGTCAAGATACTGATTGCCACAGGAGGCATGACAAAGACATTGTGGGTCTCCCGGAAAAAGTCCAGGCAGGGTCCTGTCTGCCAACAACACACTTGAAATGTTATTCTTATGTTAAAAAATCACTTTGAATGGCTACTAATTCTTACTATCACATCCATTTTAAGTGCTTCTTTTATATTTTACTTTCCTGACATCATTTTGTTTCCAGGGATGATAACTCCCCATAATGATAATCTATGTCTTTATCATAATCTATGCCCAATAGCATTATGCACTACTTTAAATTATTCTCCTCAAATCAACTTCTTGGATCTTATTTTTGATTGAATGTGCTTTAAGAAAAAATCAAATACATTACAAACTAAAATCACACTAAATGAATGTCTTATTCCTTAAAATGAGTTACTTACAGGTGTAGTTAGAGGTGACTTTTCACTGTTTGGAGAATCCACTATACAAAATAAAAGAAAAAAATATCAATGTGAGTGGCTCTTAATTGTCTTTCTTTTTGATTCTCTCAGTGCAGTGTAGTTGGTATGTCAGCTTCAAATCAATTCTTTTTTTTTTGTTTTGTTTTGTTTTTGGTAAATCAAGAGCATTAGAAAATTATAACAAAGCAGACCCCCAAAGCAAGTCATACCCATCACCAAAAGAAGTTATGGCCAGTGTAAAAAGACTGACTACCATTAGCACCAGGTGCTAGACTATAGGAAGCCACAACTACTCCTACAGCTGCTGGTTCTCAATGCCCCCTGCGTTCTGCTTGACTGAGCAGTTCCCTGGCTGTCTGACATGAAGAAGTATCACACAGAGAGGCCAGGTGTCATCCAGAAGGGAGAGGGAGGCCACACAGTTAACAAGAGAACTACCAGTTCCCGGCAAAAGCTTTCATCTTTGCTTTAGAAAAGAGGGAAGAACAACAAAGAAAGAGGTGAATAATATTGTTTCTTTGGATTCTCAAAATCAACAAAAATTCTATGAATTTCCTCCAATTTAGTGTAACTGGTACCAATATCAGAGAATTATGGTAGCTCTTTGCAAACTGTGTGTCAAGTGCAAGCATTTTTTCCCCCTGAAATCAGAAAGGTAGACAAATGTAAGACATCATTGGTTGCCCCAACATGGATTTTTGCACAAAAGAAATGCAGCTACCCAGTGTGTAGTTTACCTGACTGGGAGAAAAACTGGGAACGTCGCCAAGAGTTCTGAACTCTAAGCGGAACACTGGCTGTGCCAGACGACTCTAGACCAGATGGCAGAACAGAACAAACAGAAAACCGTGAAACCAGGGTGAAAACTGAACAGAACCATGCCCCACATATCAAAGAAGGTTTGGGTGTAATCACACAAAATTGAGAGTCAGAGAATCTAATGTACCAAATGTTTCACTAATACATGCACACAAAACCTGAAGACACAAACACAAGACAACAGAACAAGGACAGTTTATGCACCTGTTAATCTTTCTGGTGGTAGTAGGTGCAATTCTATAGGTTCATATTTAATGGTGGCATTGTCAAATCAATCTCAATATGCTATTAAGAGCAAAGTGCACAGTTTACATTGCTTTTTGGGAATACTAGAAAAGTGCAAAAGGCATCAGAGATGGGTGGTTTAATTATTATTTTATACATTATACTTTATGAAGGTTATGTGTGGAAGTCTGTGGCTGGTTTCCTTGTATATACACATGGTCTGTGTCTGTATGTGGTACCTTAAATGGACAGAAATCCTGGCAAGCATTTGCATCCTTAAATTCTATGCGTGCTCACCCATCATTGTCAGTGCAAATAAAGAATTCAGGTTTTAAAGTCTGCACATATTTGACTGGAACACAATTGTGAGGTACCTTTATACTGTTGTCAGAGAGTTGAGGAAAGGAAACTCATCACCATTAAATGCATTTTATGAATGTTTTCAGAGTGTTTCAAGACTATTGATGCATGTGTGTGTTCAGATGTTCATGGCCTGTATGTCCAGTCTGTAAACAGACAGCTTTACAGAAACTGGGGAGAGATCACTTTCTGGGGGAGAGAGTATTATTATTACTAGGTTTGGCTTCAGGATTTCTAATCCTAACACTGGTTCCTTTGGACTTGATGCTGGACTTCAAATTAGTCACGGAAATGCCAAGTGACTTTATATCTTGGCAGAGACCCATTACTTCTTCCCACCCTCAGCCTAATTAAAGATAAATCATGTCGTTTAAGATTACATTTATTAGAGGACTCTCGCTTTCTCAAGACAGGAACTGTTATTTTTATATCTATCAACGATGTCTTTGAGGCTCAATTTAAATAAATAGTACAAGTCAGTGTTTTTCAAGCTGTGTTCTCCGGATCTGCCAAGTCAGTAGCACCTGGAAATTTCTTAGAACTGCAACAAATATTCTGTTACCTGGTCAGACCTAGAGAATTAGACAAGGGCTGCAGGGCCCAGGAACAGATGTCTTTGAAAACCACCGCTTACAGCTATGTCTCTATGAGGTAAATGTTCTTTTTTAAAGAAAAGCCTTTAAGAAGAGTTTATTTCTTTCTGCCTGGTATCTTGCTCTATATTTCTTCTATTTCTAGTATTCTACAATCACTAGATGACATTGTCAGTGCTAGTTCTGGGCCATGTACATACTGAGCTAAAGACTATAAAGATTACTTCATGTAATACTTCCATACTCCTAATCCTAAAGATGGTACAATTATGTTTTCCAGTTTACAGGTGACAATCAGACATTAGAAAGAACATGATGGGTAAGATCATATAGCTAAGAACTAGATGATTTAGAATTTTGAAATGCTCTAGGAGAGTGGTGGTAAACCTATGGCACAGGTGGTGCAGCTGGCTGTTTGTTATGATTGAAAGCTCTAAAAGATTTGCCATCACTGCTCTAGGACTACAACATTTTATTTTTTCAATCATTGAACTTGAGTAAAGCATGAAATAAAGCCCTTTAATTCAATAGCACATTTCCACAACTACTTCAACAAAACTAATGTGGCATAAAACATCTATTCCTACTCTATCTTCTTTCTCTACAAAATTACAAGATGCCAGAGACAAATGGAATTAAAATCTGTCTAAATATGCCTTCTGCTGGCCCAGCTGTGAGGCTTTAGTTAATTTTCTTCAGAACTGCAGGACTGAAAAATTTAAAACAAATTCTTTGAATTTGAGTTTTGTATTGAGTTTTCTTCTGTTTCAAGAAACTAATGACCATGAGTACATGTACCAGTTAATTCCCTCTCAAGTGTTACCTGTTTTGCATAAAAGGGATTACTAATGGTGATCCCAAATAGCTGCCCACCTTGCAAAGGGAAGTAATAAATTTTAGTCATGATGAGTCTGTACCATTCTCTCTCTGCCTGGACTAAGGAACCTACAAGCTGGACTGGGGGAAGTACACTTAAAATAATGAACCAAAAACCAAGAAGGGTTACAGTCCTTGCCTTCCCAAATTCTAGCTGTTTCCACATGTTAAGAACTTGCATCCATAAAGCCCAGGAATATATCTGTGTTGAAGAATAGTGCCCATGGGTGGTAGAATTCTCAAGACGCATCTTCCCTCTACCAGTCATATTCCCAAGGGTCCTTTTTGGTGGTGTAGGTACCAGGGTTTCCCACTAGGACAAAGGGACTAAAGTTGGGTTTTTCAATAGTAAAGGAGTGAATTTTAACTTATATATGGCCTACAAGGAAGGTACTTAAGGGTTCCTGCTACTTTATGGACCGTCTATGGACCCTAAATTCCTTTATTTTTAGAATTACCCCTTCACACATAGTAAATTATATCAAATATATGCAACATATTACAATATGTGCTCAGTAGCACACAGTGTATATAAATATATAGTATACATACCAATGATATATTTTTTAGTATGTCATATACTTTTTTGGGTTTTTTTTTTTGAGACAGGTTCTCACTTTGTAGTGCAGGCTGGCTTTGAACTCACTATGTAGCCCAGGCTGGCCTCCGACTTGCAGTGATTCTCCTGCTTCAGCCTCCCGAGTGCTGGGATTACAGGCATGTGCCACCATGCCTGGTATCATATACTTTTTTTTTTTTTTGTACCAGGGATTGAACTCAGGACCTTGTGCTTTTGAGGCAGGTGGTGGAACCACTGAGTTAAATCCCTGGCCCTATACTTCTTAATGTAAAGAATTTTTGGAAAGATTAAAATCTTTGCCTAGTAATAACATGTTTAATCTATGCTGTGAATTATTCCTCACTGATCATGCACACTCAAGAATTATTAGGTAAAAATATGACTTTTCCCCCAAACTATTGTCACGTTAATAAACATTCTATGAAGACTAGAATTAAAGATAAAGTTGACACAATATTAAGATTGGAAACTTATTTAAAATTTTATTGATTTTTTTTCATTTTTATTTATCTTTCTTGGTTTAAGCCAATTCAAAAAAGTTTAAGGTCTTAAACACTTACATAGGGCCTATTGTTCTAAAGTAACTGGCGTGGCAGCTGGGTTTCCTGCCCTGATCGAATAGAGAATGTAGCCTTAGCTCTCCACTTTGAAGTTATTAATTCAGCCATCATGGCCTCTGGCAAAAACATGGCTAAAGGAACATTAACACACAGGATATGATCATGCTTTCAAATAAAGAACAGGACCTAAAATAAAATATTTCTTTCTCCATACCTTGAGAATTAAGATTTGGCAAATGCAGTTGGTTGGTTTCAGGCATTTTGTCCAGAGATGGAAACATCAGAGCTGCTTCTGGTTCTGGGGATTTTGGCTTTACCACCTGGACCATGGGCAACAGACATAAAGAGTATAAGCACTGTCTATTAATAAATGCACAGATGAAAGAAAATGTAAGGATCCAAGGCTAATAAAGAAATAAGCTCAACATTTAATTTTTAAATAATGTATTTTTTTTTTTGCCCATTCCCTAATACCCAGTCATGCTTTCCTATATCAACAGAGAGGTCAATTTTTCAGAGAAATCAAGTGAGCATAATAATGTGTCGATCACTTTTCTCCAAACTCAGAAGACAACAGTCCATTTTTGGAACAAAATATTGCCCTCACATTTTCTTACTGATTAATCAATCACATATTCTTTTTCTGGTACCACTCAATACTGAACTTATGAAATGAGATGTTTCACATATGATTATCTTAAGAACTATTACTCTTTAAAGTGCTAAACACTAAAGTAACATTCCCTTTAATGGATATTATTCTCAAGATACTACTCAACTCTCCACAAATGTATGCAAACCATATTAAGGATAATATGCTTTGCCTATTGACAAGCATTATAAATAACCATTAACAAACAATGCTATTAAAGAATTTTCAAGATATGTTAGATTACTTGTCCTCATGATAAGTAGTTCTAAAGTTACAGGGTTGAACAATTCCTATGTTCACTTTGTGAAATGGATTTTTCTTTTTATTGTCACTTAATTTTGTTTAAAAACTAATGGCCTTTTCTAGAATTGCCCTTCCCTGGATGTGTTGCATCTAATCAACCTACTGCTAAAAACCAGATTACCAAACTTGTTTAAACAATGTCTAAAATAATAGTAGACTCTGAACACAGGAATAAATAAAGAGCATGGTGCTGCTATCAGTTCCTATCTTCTTAGCTTTTCTCAGGACTAAACTGTGATTTCGTTCTCTGGCTGGTTATTGTGTTCCTGATAGAGTTCTGTGATAGCTAATGCTCTCAGAGTGAGGGAGACTATAGAAAACTTATTTAATAACAAGCTGATCTATGATTAGGTTCTCAGGATAAATTAATGTTAGGATTTCCTTAGATTTTTCTTTAGTAATAATATATTCAACCCTAAAAGAACCGTGTAGAAATATAGTCTCCTCATCCAGCACTACTGAGGTCAACCAGATGTCCAAATGAAGTTCAGTATTAAACACACAATTAAAGGTAAGGTCTAGTCCTACCAAAGTTGACAACCCTCAAATCTTAACCTCATTGCACTATTTTTTTCATGGTGAGGCTTACAAAAACAGGATTCAGATCATTCCTGGCTGTACATGAAACAGTTAATGGTCAGCAGAAATGCTCAGAATGACCACTATGTAAAATGGTCAGCCTATATTGGTGGGAGCTTTGTATTACAAAGGTAACACTGTCAAGTGAAATCAGAGAAAAAAAGCTGTTGCAACCACTGTGATCAGGTTATCTAAGAACTAGCTATAGGAAAGGGAGAAAGGGGAGAAATTAATGGAGTGGAAGTGAAAAGGTACTCAATTCAAAGACCAATTCAAAGACCATTTGCTCATCAACCAGCAGAGGTTCTTAACCTGGAGTCCACAGAACACAATTCAGGGGTGTATGTACAGTACTGGGATCACTTGATATTGGGGACAACTTGGGAATCCTGTGCATCTTATTTTATAATTTAAAAATATTATTCTGAGGATAATGTTTACCAGATTGCCAAAGGCCCCAAATAGAACAAAACCAAACCAACAATAAACATGAGGACTCCTGAAAATATTTTCCATAGTGGGGCACTGATAGCTCACACTAGTGAGGGGTCACCATGGGGAAGGTCAATGAATAATTTTTATTACAGTATTCATTTTGATCAATTAAAAATAGTCTAGGAACGATATAAAGTTTTCCTTTCAGTGTAGATTTAGGTGGAAAAATGAGTTTTGAAGACTAATAAATAAATACTGGCTTCAAATAGCTTGTGGATAAATATCTTGTGGAAAATCCTGCCTACCACTAACTTATTTTTTTTTCTTAAGTTCTTTTATTGGTACATTTTAGGTATACAATTTGTTTACATTTATCACTGGGTGCTTGTACCTGCACATGATGTATCTTGGTTCTTATTTTTTCCCCATTACCTGTGCGCCCTTCACCCCCTCCACCCTTCCCTATTTACACAGACATCATTTCCATTTTTTTTCTTTTTACCACTAACTTATTGTCTGACTTACAGTTTAGTTCCCCTTTTCTGATCTCCAGACTATTCTTTAACTCTCAATGGCTAAAAATGGGGAACAGCGAAGGTTTAAAATACCTAAAAATCACCAAGGTAAAAGACATTCTCAAGGTTTTACCGAGATACATCACTCCTGAGAAGCCAGGGGCTATGTCGTGTTCTCTGTTGAATATCTACTATCCAAGTATGGTACCTAGCACCCAGTAGGTGCACAATGAATTACTGGCTAAGTAAATGATGGATCAACTGGAACTAAATAATAAAATTTTCACTTTAAAGTGAAATCCAAATTCAGGGTTGATTTTTAAACACGGAGTACCACCACATACAGCTGACCAGTTGTGCAAGGCAGAGATTCTCCTTTTCTGTGGCCCATTAGAATTACCTGGAAGCTTTAAAACATTCAGATGCCTGGGCCCTGTCTCCAGAGATTCTCATTTTTTTGGTTCAGGGTGGGCCTGGCAACTTTTAAATTGTGAGGGGAGCCAAGGTTGAGACTAACTGGGGTAAATGACGAAGACTTTTAGACTCAGTAGCTGGAAACAAATCAAACTAATATAAATGAGACAAGATTCCAAACAAAACTGATTGAGAATGAGGCTTTAAAAGCCATTATATCAGAATAATAGTTTTCTAAGCTTCTTGCTATGGAAATCTAGAGGCATCAGAAGTATCATTGCTAAAAAAACAGGAAAATATCAGGAAGAGAATATTTAGTAAACTATCAGGTTAAAAAGTAAATAAGCACATTGCTATATTGCAAACTAAAACTCAAGCACAAGGAGTTACAATTTATATTTCTATTACATTTTTCTTTCAAATGTGTTGAATTTTTCAAAATTAAAATTTATTCAAAATAAGGTTTAAAAGGTGTTGAAAGAATACATACCAAATATTACTAATAAAGAGGCAGGTTTCAGTGACTTATTCTCTCTCCTTTTCTACATGTTTGTATATTTTAAAAATGTACCGACATATATTACACACTCGATATATTCATTACATATTTATATTTTATATATCTTTACATATTTCTATATATTTAAAATTTTTACAAAGAACATGCAGTATATTTGTTTTAGGAAGAAATATAGATTAAAAACAGGGGAACAGATTAGGAAAGAAATAAATCTTCACTAGTAACAACTGGGGTGGCAACAGCCAGATCCAGTGTGAAGCCACATTAGCCTTTGGGGCTCTGCTATGTACTGCTTTGTGCTTGGCTCTGCTATGTACTTCACCTTTTGGGACAGCACCAACTCCACCTTTCCACTCATCTCATTTTCTGGTTTCTTCCCATCTTTTTCTTCTGGCACATCGCTCTTTAGCTGGGGGCTGGAGGAGAATTCCACAAAGGCCACGGTTGGGCTGCATCGAGTCACAGTGGTCGTAAAATGCTGTGACTCTGAGAGGGAGTTACATCCGGAAACAGAAAAGAGAAAAAGGAAATCATACAAAAGACTATTGTCCTGTAAAGCCACAATAACCCTTTATGAGGTATGATTAAAACATATGGCAAATGTTTCAATTTCTAAAGTTTAGTACAGTAAAAGACACATTTCCTTTAATCCCCCTCAAAATACTCCTTCTCACTTTGAACACACTTACCCCATCATTTTTGCCACTTTCTGAAACAGTTCTGGAAGTGCTGTTATGTCTCTTCCTGTGCTGTTGTGGCTGTCTTGATGTCCTAACTTGATTCAAAGTGTTTAGCTTTTATGGTCATTTTGACTTTGGGGAAGAGAAATCTCACAGAAGTACACAGTGTGAGATCCGGTGAATAAGGTGGATGAGGACACACTGTAAAGTTTTTGGATGGCACTCGGCAGCAGCACTGTCTGTATTTTTCATCACAACTCATGTAGACACTTATGAAAGGTAACATCCAGAACTGCTTCAGAAAGTGCCAAGAACAATGGGATATAAGTGTGCTTGAAGGAAAGGGTGATTTTTTTTGAGAGGGATTAATGGCAATTGTATTTCATTGCAATAAATTAAAAAATTTTGAAATTTAGACATTCACTGTACTTTTGGATCACACCTTAATGGTCTATGTCCAACCCTGTCAGTAAGAAGCCAGATTATAATGTGATGACAGAAAAGACCTCAAGATGCCGGAATTCTCCAGTCTCTTTCATAATAGCATAAAAAAGGCAGCAACAAGAAAACGGAAGTTCTTAATAGGGTCACAACTTACATCTGAATAATACCAGGTGACAAAAAAAAAACATTGAGAGATAATTTCTATCCTCATGACTAAACACCAGCCTGACTCTTCCTTCTGCATCTCAGTGAATGTGCTCAGGACATGGCACAGAGGTACATCATGCAATGAAAGCAAAATTTTCTCTGATATGTAATCAGTATACTGCAGAGGGGGTGGAAAAGTCTCCAGAAAGAGGGCATATCAAAATGTGGAAGCACAGTCTAGTTTTTTTTAAATGCTACTATTTTTAGTAATGAAATTTAATTTATTTTAAAGTACTACTGAATAATTTGGTATTGGAAGAGGGGACAGGTTTCATGGTCAGCAAAAAAAGAAATATGTTTTTAAAATATCGATAAAACTTCACAGAAAATTGAAGAACAATAATTTATGGATTAAACAATCCTTTTCTAAACAATGAGAACAGCATATTCATATTCATCCTTTAGGTTTGTGGCATTTAGTTTTTCAAATAATTCAGCAGCTTTTTTTCATTCAGTATCTATTTTTAAGATCTATTACTGTGAATATCTTATCTATTTTGGTTATAATGGGTCAAAATATGACTTTCAATTATATAATTATTGGTATGAGAAGTGCATTTTTTTATGTTAATGGAGATATGCTTTCAAAAGACAAAACATAACTGAGCAGCAAAAAAGCCTGGGCTCCTATTTTTACGGCAACACTGAACCCATGGTCAGAATTTTCCTCAGAGGCCGCTAGGTGGCAGCACCACCCCACTGCTGGGACTAATTCAGGAGGAAAAATTCTTCACTTTCATTTTCATTATGTTTTAAGAGTAACGTGCTTTACCTTCAAATTAGTCTGTTATGAAACAAACCTGATGAGGAAAGCTCTGCATTTCCTTTTCTTGCTTGTTCACCATCATTTTCATCATCTTGGGTGTTCTGTTCAGTTTCCTCAGTGGTTACCTAAAAAAGATTTTTCCCCCCTTGAATGTAATATTCCTTTGAAAGTTCTAAAAAGGCAAAGGATTTGTTCTCAGTAGTAACTTTCAGGCCAACAAGGTGGACTTCTCACATGAATTCACTCTTTGGGTTTCCCGGGCAGCTTTCCTGGGGCGTCTATGAGCCTTGGAAGAGATGTCTTGTGAAGGGGGACAAGAGGACGCTCATGTTCCCGCTCCCCAACCCTCCTCCCTTCTTCCTTTTTTTCCACAAAGTTTGTAAATCACAGTCACCTCTCACTTGCTTCTCAAGGTCTTTCAATTTGGCTTAGGGTGTTTTGTTTGGGTCCTAAGGTTACAGTTAACCTCTCAGTGGCCTGGCTTGGGCATAGCTGCCTGAGGCGCTTAACACTGGATTTTATTCTTGCGGCTCTCTTCCTTCCTGGGCTCGGAATGACATCTGTCCCTGGAATGCTAGCTCTCTTTTCCTCACTTTCTTCTTGCCCTGGTTCTTCTTTTCTTTTCAACAACATATAGGTTATTACTAAAGATTTTAATTGGTCCCTATTTTGCTCCACTTGTGCCAAATCCTGATTTTACCCTAGTTGCTTGATTAAAAAAGTAAATAAATAAAAGTTTAAATTAAATACTAGCTAATACCTCAATAACCGAAAAGAACAAGTCGATGACTGCTGTGTTTTTTAGTAGAAGTTTCCTGAAAAGGGTTAAAGTTAAATTTGTAAAGTGTATATGAACTATTTCACAGATTTTGAAAGGTTTTCAGATAAAGGGTAAAGTTGGTTTCAGAAAAGGCATTATTAAATACTTTATAAAATGCCTCCACAGGTTCTCAAAAGGCTATGGATTTATTGATCTCTCATAAATACATAATTTAATCTATAAATCAAATCAAAATTTGCTTTTCTAGTCACCAAAATAAGTCCTTTAAAGTAAATGTATTGATGGGAACCATCATTGAATTTTTAAAGACAAAAAACTTTTAAGCAACAACTTTCCAAACTTCTAGAAGATTTTGCAATAGCATCCAGTGGAAAATATGTGATTTTTCTTTTGGAAGCTGGTATATTTTGAAGTCTTCATAATTAGATGGGAATTTCCTAGCAATAGATAACCATATATCAATTCTGGAAGAATATAACATTAAGTTAAAATGTACTGTTAAAACCCTAGGCAGGAAATAAGCATCATGTTGATATTATTTAATGGATTCTGTAATTTTTAATATAACAATAAACCTGAGCTGAATCCCTTTAAGAGACCTAATGAGTGAAAATAAAGTCATTTTTATTATACTTGTGGTGTGTGCATTCACATTTATATGAACCACTGAACACCAACTAGTTTAGCATTACAAAAGAATAAGTTGAGTTTTATTTAATGTGCACATATATAGAAATATTAATAACTGGTAGTGGTTTGTTTTATAATATTAAAATACAAAAAACACAGGAATAAAAAAAATACTGGGAGAAATACAGAGTTTTAGCTTTCATCTCCAAATGAATTAGATTATAGAAAACTATCTGAGGCCAGGAAACAAATTTGCAGTTAAATATTAATGAATTGTCCTCTAGGGAACACTGGTGTTTCCAATTACTAGAAATAACTAACTATAAAAAAGGGTCAAAGTGTCTACAGCCTAAAAATGAACAAAGAGATGAACATAGTTTATTAAATGTAAGAAGCCATCAATTTTAAGTTGTATCATTGTAGGTACTACTAAGAAAGAAAACATACTGTCTGCTAAAAGTGATACGCTTGATTATTGTAAGAGAAATCTTGATTTAGAGATGTTAAAATGTGGAAAGTTGCCATTTGGAATCAATAATATCAGATAATCCATGAAGCCCTTTAGACATAATGTATAATGCAAATAAGACAAGAGCCTCAGGATTAACTATTTCATTAAGGATTATTTTACTAACATACCACATTCTACTAAATTGTACTCATGCATGACTAATGGAGAAACTCTACTTTCAAGAATCTCACATTTCTAAATGTATTTCTATACAACTCAATACTCAAATACTAAGCTATGGACAACCCAATTTATCTTAAGATGATGGTTTAAAAGTTGCATCCTGGATTCGATGTGGTAAAATGAGAGTAGCATTAACAATAACTCTGAGGAATATTTACCAGGTGTCAGCCATTGGGACACTTGACACAGATAACTTCACTTAATCCTCAGAGCAAGCGTAAAGGCAGTACCTTTGTATAGGTGAGGAAATGGGGGCCTAGGAGATTAAGTGATTTCCCAGGATCACACTGCTAGTAGACAGGGAGGTCAGAATGCTTCCCAGGGCTGATAACCCCCATGCTTCATCATCTGGGTGTGGAGTCAAACCCACCACTGTCTTAGGACTTTTCTCGTAGCTGAGACACGATACCCAACACCCACAATTTAAAGGCGGAGAGGTTTATTTTGGCTCATGGTTTTTGGAGGTTTCCATCCATGGTCAGCTGGCTCCAGGGCAGAGAGGGGATGGTGGAAATCATGGTGGAGTAAGCTGCTCGCGTCACGGCAGCCAGGAAGCAGAGAGAGAGAGAAGCAAGGAGCTAGGGAAGGAGACAGACCCTTGCAGGTCATGCTCCCCAGTGGCCTGCCTCTTCCAACCAGCCTCACCTCCTAACAGCACACTCAACCTCTAAATTCACCAAGGGATGAATCCACCAAGGGGTGCAGTGCCCCATGATCCAAGTACCCTCTGCACACATGAGGCTCTTGGAAGATCTAAACCACAGCAACTGCTAAGAGGTCCCCAGTAATCAGAGGTTTTGATCCATAAGAAGCACCGAGTAGCTGAGAGTTTCAAGTTTATTGCTGAAATTATTCAAACTGCCTTTTCTATTTCCTTTCCTTCCTCTACTTCCCATTCATTTATTCTGTAAAAGACTGGAGCTCCTTGGAATCATTCAGAGTAGAAGGCAATTTGATTGGATCCATTTCCCAGGACTGTTTAAAACTCACCCCCAAGTAATGAGGGCTAGGGGCCAGATATATAATCCATATGAGGAAAACAAGTATTCTCCTGGTATGCATTATTTACGGACCTCCCACTCTCAAGCTTAGTTTAAATGCACACTGGTCACCAAAATCAGGGTACTGCTAGCAAAATATTCAGGATATATTAAGAGAAAAAGCAAGCTGCAACATAATTTGAATAAGATGAACCTATTTAAAAAACTATATACACAGAGAAAAAGAAGATATACAGGGGACCAAGAGAAGAGAAGGAGGACATGTAAAAAGAATTAAGATGTGTTATATACCAACTCCCCACAATGAATGTAATCATGCTGCAAACATGGACTAATAAAAATAAAAAATTAAATCTTAACAGTATTATTTTCTGGGTGGCTGGGATAAGAGGTAGTTTACATTGTGTCTGTAGTTTCCTGAATTTTGCAATGTATACAGCCTATCTGTAATCAGGAAATGCTCCAAAGTCAGGTTCATTAACTTGTGTCTGCCTTCTCCACCCTGAAGACTTGCAACTTTTGTATTCACATCACTGCTTCCTAGGAAATGAGCTCAAAGTTGGCAGTTTTCACCCGTCCTGATAGAATCAGAGGTTTGCTTCAAACGAACCCGCCTTGCTGGGAAATGCACTTTCCTTTGCATACTTTCCTTTGCTTGTAGCTCAAACACAGGAGAGGACTTCCCTTCGCCTACTGGTAACACTTTCTCAAGAATGAAAACAAGTAAATAAAAACAGATCCCTGGATGTGAATGAATGAGACCACAGAAAGGTTTCCATGAGACCAAGTCAGGAGTTGGCTTCATGTTGATTCAGAATGGAATCCAGACTGGTCCGGGTGCCAGACTCAGCCCTGAGGACACAGGCGGGAGGTGGCAGCTTCCTGGTTTGAGAAAGATATGGTGGAGCCACAAAACTACCTGGTTACTAGAACCTTTTAACTAGAATCTTGTTGATGGACTGGCTCGGGCACCAGCTTGGCAGGGTGGATTAGAGCTGTGAAGCAGAAAGGGGAGAGCCTCCTGAGACCTGGGGCAGGTACTGATCTTATCTCTAGGCCAGCTGCACTGTGAAGCTTGGCTTGATCATTTAACCTCCAAGGGCTGGAACTGTGATGCCCAAGGTCCTTTCCTGGGCAAGTATTCTGGAATTCTGAGTGATTTCCTGGTTCCAGTTTTAAATAACTTATCTGGACAGGAGCCTGGAAAGCCAGTCTATGCTTTCTGCTCAGGACCCAGGTACCACATAGGCTATGTATGTGTTTCTTCTTTCACGTCTGGACCCCTAAGATCCTGTTGCCACCAGAAGGAAGGGGAGCTTCATAGAAGATCTGGGTCTCCATGTCTTAAAATAAATTATATCTTGCACTGTATTTTCCCTCTGCTACTTTTATTTTCTTGCACTGTATTTTTCAAACCAATATGAGACTGACCCAGGTAAGATGGGCAAGGTTTAATTTTTTATTTTCCCTAATGAATTCTTCGTTGAAATCTGTAAATCCTCTGTATCTAAAAAATCTTTAATGTCTTTTTAACGAGTATTTATTCTAACTATAACTAAGATGGAGAAAATAGTTTCTAAAGAAATGTTTGTCGACATTTGACATCTAGAAGGAATTTGCAGTTGGTCTCAGCTGTGAAGAAAACAGCGCCTACTCGGATGCCTTCACCCCGCTCTCACAGCAAAGTGAAATGCTTCAAGAAAGGTCTGATTGTTTTCTTGGATCAGAAAACACAAAAGTGCTGAATTTTCAAGAGGAAGGCGATGGGCTTTTTCAGGATTGGAAGAACAAACCTACCTCATTATTTAGTTTGAGAAAAGCAGATAAAGTGGTTTACATATCCATAAGCTGAGTTTGGATCAGTCAGTGAGGAACAATTGTGGCAACCGGGTGGAAGGTGCTGGCCAGTAGGGACAGGGTGGCTCCATCCTTTGGGCTGAGTGGCTCAAAGGGGGCTGTTCAACAGTCATGGAATGGAGTCACAGCTGGGTCACTGTCTAGGGGAGGCTTGGGAACCTCAGTGGCAGGAGGAAGACAGAGCTGGGAAGGAGTGAACAACAGCAGAAGCAGAAAAAGCTGCAGGAAGGATCATGTGAGTGTCTGCAAAGGCAGTTGTCTTATGGAGAAAGCTCTTCACATCTGAATGTTTTTCAGAGAATTACAACTGGGATAGAGAAGTGTAACTGGGACAACTGACAAATGGAGCAGGAAGATGACAAGATCCATCTCATTCATATGAAATTTATATCGTTCCATACGGTAATTCTGATGATCTTACTTTAATTAAAAAAAACTGTATCACCATTTTGGGATCCTTAAAAATATATATTATAACCTTTTTCTTCCAATTTTTGGATGACAATCTTAAAAATAATTTAGGGGCACCTGTGGTCTGTGAGCCACCTTGACATCAATGTCAGGGTTTAGATCAAGATGTCCTCCAAAGGCCTCGTGCACTTAGAGGCAGGGTATTTGGAAGGTGACTGAATCTTGGGATGATACAGCTGACTTCCTGTTAGGAGGCGAGGTCTGGGCGGAAGAGGCGGGTCCCTGGGGCTGTGACCTGGAGGGGGTATAATCTTTTTTCTCAGCTTCTCTCTTCTCTCTCTGCTTCCTGGCTGCCAGAACAGGAAGAGCTTTTCTCTGCTCAGGCCCTTCCACCACGCTGTTTTTGTGTTTAAGCATGCTGAACGCGGACTGAAACTTCTGAAATGTGAGCCAAAATAAACTCCTCCTTTAAGCTGTGGGTGTTGGGTATAGTGTCTCAGTGATGAGAAAGTGACTAAACACAAACTGAGCCTCAAAAAACTTCACTTGTTCACGTGGAGTTTGATCTTTGACTTAGTGCATGGAGTGCTTCGGGTACTTCAGGAAAGGATCATTTTCATACTATTGAGTAAAGAAGAGATTCCGATACAAATATAACTGACAGGGAACCAAGGAAACAGAGGAAAGCTTTGAGGGAGACACAAATTTCTTTCTGTAGTCTACTTAAACACAAGACAGATAAGTCCTCAGATTAGAAGAACTTCAGAATTCTTTCCCAATCCTGTATTCTAGAATTCTGCGTTTGTGGTGTGACATAATTTTCTAACAAAAGTCTATGATGAAATGCAAAGAAAAGTGTTAGATTTTTACAGGGTGAAATGAACAAGCACTCTGAACTATCTCATGGATAACTGGGAGGGAGGGGACCGAACCTCCTACCTGGAGTGTACAGCATCGAGTCACTAGCATCACATCACATCCCTCCTGGGGTCCCCTCCTCGGTGCCTGACTACAGCCCATGCCTCTGATCCTGCTATTCCCAACAAGTGGAATTGCCTGCTTCCCTGTCCCCATTCCCATGCAAATCCTACACTTAAGGTCAAGATTCAAAACCTACATCCCATACACCATCCCAGACCACACCCGAACTATAATGATCTTAACCGTGCTTGCAATCTATTACTTCCCTCTGGCCTCCTTACTCTATAATCTATTTAATTATATATTGCTTTAGATACTTTTCCAGTTGCTTTATGAGACTTTTTCTTGTCAGCGAGTTTATAACTTTCTAAAATCTATTTCAGAGAAAATAGGGCAAACCTATCAGTTATGAGCAGGCACTTATCATACTTGGCAGCCACCCATCTTCAGGGTAGCTGCTGTCACAATCTGATCACCTTAGAGGTGGGGCAGCAAGAATGATGGGTAGATACAAAATATTAAAAAACAAAATCCCAATATAAATAGGATTTATTTCTACCAGAAGAGAGTCATGGTCCCAAGAGTGTCAAATGAGAAAGGTGAGGTAGAAGGGAACTAACGGGATGACATAATGTCATAGAAAAGTGCTCCTGCCAGCCCAAGAGGCTGACACTGCTACCTCCCCCTGCCCCACGGGAGGTGTCATGCCTGCCTTCTGGGTCACTCTGCCTCAAGTTCTGAATTAATCCTCCTGCCTCCTGTTCTGCTGTGCCCTTTGAACAGTTCCAGCTCGCCCTAGAGAAATTGTGACATTTTAGTTGTGAGTGACACTACTCCTCTGTAGAGAGTGTATCAGTTGGGAATGCAGTTTTTGGAAGAAAGGCACTATTTAAAAAGAAGAACACTATTCCTTTGACAGCTGCATGGAATTGGGTACATGAGTTAGAAATAGAAAGTCAAGTCCATGCTGGTATCCTTCCCTGGGAGGCTCTTAAGTATAGCCTCTCATTTCAAGCTGGCCACCACACATCTGCCATAACCAATGCATTCCACTTTTTCAATAGGAATACACTGGCTGCAGCATGGTCAAGGAATTCTTTTCTTGGAATAAGGGAGAAGGAAGTAAATTGAGCAGTAGGTTACTGGAAAAGTGATTTCTTTAAAATGACTCTTGGGATAAGCTCCTGTGAGTGGGAAACTTTGGGTGTCTTAAACTGCATGTATGAAGTCCTTCAGTAACGACCAAAGTTCCACAGAGCATAGCTAATAACTTTGCTTCTGGTCTGATAGATGGAGAGAGCTACCAACCCAATAAATAATATAATAGCTCCTTCCATCATTAGTTTAAGAGCCCCAAGTATTAAAGACAAGGACAGAAGAGCTACTGCAGTTCCCATTACGGTTTACTGAACTACAGAAGACTGTGAACCTGGCAACTGTTCCAAGGAATAAATTCACAGGAGATGGGACTCCTGGGCTTTTCCATGAGCTTAGGCTGGCATCCTGAAGCTGCCTGTCCTAGTTCTCAGGGAGAATGTCTAAATGGCTATCTTTGGTTTGGAGTACTCCTTGTGATAGTGTGTGTGTAAACTTCTGAAATTAATAGAAATCCTTTCAGATCATGGAATTTTGCTTTTTGGGGGTGGTGGTACTGGGGATTGAACTCAGGGCCTTGCATTTGTGAGGCAGGTGGTGGAACCACTGAGCTAAATCCTCAGCACCTACTTTTCTTAAGATATTTTGGGTGATATATACTCACTATGAAATCTTTTTTTCCCCATTCAGTCCTAGGAATTGAACCCAGGGCTTTGTGCATGCTAAACAAGCACTCTACCACTGAACTATATTTCCAGGAATTTTTGAATTTTGTTTTGAGACAGAGTGTTCCTAAGTTGTCCAGGCTGGCCTTGGATTTGGGATGCTCCTGTCTTTGCCTCCTGAGCAGCTGGGATTACAAGTGAGCATCGCCATGCTTGGTAGAATCTTTTTAATGAAGAGAATTTGAAAATGCTCATGAGGAAGTATGGTAAAAATGAAAAAAAACCCATAATTACTACTGTCTTAGAAAAGCAATTCTACCCCTGTAATGTCTAATTAATTTAGGTGACTTCTAGTTTAAATTTAAGAGCAGAAGTTAATGTTTATTGCACCAATTAAGTTACTGTTAGCAGAACTCAATATTCAATATCTCATGGCAATCTGTAAGAACTCTTCAGAGGTAGTCAGATTTATGAAAATGAAAAGTAAAATTATGGTTTAGGGGAAGAGACCCGGCATTTGCCTGGAGCATAAAACATTGCTTCTGGAGACCAGGAAACATGCTATGGTAGTAAGGAATTTGGCTCTCTTTCCATTTGACTTTCTTTCATAGAGCATTGGGCACTGTGAGGAAGATTACATCCTCTTAACTCCTCTAAAAACCACAATTTTATTCTTCAAATAACAAACCCAGAGATAAGAAAAATACTGACTTGTTCACTGGGTGGGTTTTAGCTAGCTGGGTCACCTAACATTCAGCTCTGGAAATGAATGACAATTCTCCTTATGGACCAAATTATTCAAAGTGCTGGAGAAGAAATCTCAACATCTTTCCCCTTTCTTTACTCAAAATACACACCCAAATGCTAGAAATTAAAACAGCAGAAACTTGGCCTCTATTGAGGACAAGTAAGGTTGAACAGAGTCCAGCCTGCACTCCAGAAGCTGGGCTGTGTTGATCAACGAACCAGCATGAATATTTCTGGTGAGAAATCCAAGAAAGTGTAATCATCCCAATGATGTTTCCTACCCCAAAGTTCTGGATGTTATGTTAGAATTCTCTTTTCTCTGTTCTTGAGCTACCTTTCCTTTCTCAACTTGGTAATATCCTTTAATTAAGTTACTCTGAATTTAAAAAGCTAAAAAAATTAGTTTTCCTTCTAATGAATTTTGGTTTTTTGACTAGTAAGAAAAAACCCCTTTAATACATATCATCAAAGATGGAAAGTCAGGTTCTGTTAGTACCAGTTATTTTCAAATTGTATTGCCAAGTCTAATGAGGTCTTGACCAAACCAAAAGAAAAAAGCATTGTAAAGATTCATTTTTCTGTAACACCAGAAACTAACAATATGAAAATAAGAAAAAGTTGGTTTTTGTTCACAAAATACATTATCTTTGACTACATCCCATTGTTATGGTTTGACTTGTCTCCCCAAAGTCCCTAATATGTCAGAATATGAACTTATTTGGAAATAGGGTTGCTGCAGATGTCATTAGTTAAGATAAGGTCATCCTGGAGTGGGGTCGTTAGAAAAGGGAAATTCTGCCTATAGACACGCGTACAGGGATGATGAAGCTAGAGATCAGGACGACACAGCTACCCGCCATGAAATGTCAGGATTGCCAGCAGCTAGGAGAGAGGCAAGGCACAGATTCTCCCTCCCAGCCAACAGAAGGAACCCACCCTGCCAACACCTTGCTTTAGATGTCTAGCCATTAGGACAGAGAAATAATTAATTCTTTTGTTTAGCCATTTAGTGTGTGGTCCTTTGTTATGGAAGCTCTAGCAAACTAATATTCCCAAACAGAAGGTTGGATCATTGGCACAACCTACTTATTTTTTTGTTTTGTTTTGGTACCGGGGATCTAACTCGGGTCCTTGCACTTGCGAGGCAGGTGGTGGAACCACTAAGCTAAATCCCCGCCTTAGCCTACTTATTTTTAAAACTATATCCTTCCATGATACAATTATTCCAAAGAGGGGGAAAAATTTGGTTCTTACTGTCAGTTCCTGGGGAAGAGAATTTGGCTTCTTGATGTTGATCTCAATGCTGTTCTTGTCCTGTTTCACCTCCACTGGGGACCCGTGCACTCTGGCCACCCCTTCAAACATCTGGGATTTGGTTAAGGAGGGGCCAGGCACCACTGCAGAATTCTCTTTTTCTTTTTCCTCCTCATCTCCATGGACTGTCTCTCCATTCATGCTGACTTTCCCATCTACCTGTACAAGCCAGAATGAACAAAAAACATGCTATTCTACAACCAAAGACAGTGACAAAGTAACACATCCATATTTACCCTAGAGAATTACTGTTAAATAATCATAGTCCAACAAAGAATGAGGTCTCTCAAATGTTTTCATGGGTATAGAAGTCAGAGCTTCTATAAATGCCATCTTTAAAAGGCCACATTACTGTTAGATGATACTTTATGTTCACCTGGTTTATGGTGTGCTTTTATTTTTAAGTATAGAAAAACAAGAAATCTTAAACACAAATACATGCCACATATTTAGGTTGCCATAATTTTTCATTTTAGTTCTAACTGCTCTTCCACAATTTGGACTTTACCATGTGCTGGTAGAGGGGGGAATGGGGCTGTCTTTGAAGCTCGCTTGGAAGGCAGGGGATCTGATGATACTATGCCATGTCACAATAAATCCCCTTTTCTAGTTAATTTTATAACCCCAGTTTCTTCAAGAATAAAAGGCATGCACATCAAAATATTTTTGTTTTTTACTCAGGTCTAGGGAAGGCGGTGAGAGAAAGGCAGGAGGAGCAGAGAGTGGTTAGCCTGGTTAGGCATACAAAAAATTCTGCTTGAAGGGTGAGGCAGACTGTGCAGTGATTACAAGAGCAAACTCTGCCATGAGCTGACTTAAGATCGAATCCTAACTCTAGCACTTAGCAGCCATATGATCTCCAGCAGGCTTTGCTTTCCTTTGTGTTCAAACGCAAAATTTAACTTAACCATATTTTCTTCATAGTGCTGTTCTGGGGATTGTTTTTCTTACTGGGAGTTAATATATGTTGAGAGTTTAGAACAGAATCTGACATGTTAGGAACTTAAATATTATCTATTATTGTGCCATTTAATATCTTTTGAAAGAAATAATGGAAGCCTAGGAATCCACTATCATTTATTTATCTTGTGCCAACTGGCTTTTCATACTCTGTTACTTGTTACCCATAGAACTTTTAAAATCACAACTCAGCACACATTCCTAAAACAGAAGTTTCCCAAGGCAATATATACCTTTATTGTGTGTGGTCACTAGGCTGTTTTCTATAATATTCTATTCTACTTCATTAAAAAAATGCTGATTGTGAACCACTAAATTGACTTAATAATGTAGCAACTGGTGGCAACTCTTTTTTTGAAAACTACTGGCTTAAACTTTTTAAAAAATACACTATAGATAATTTATTTTATTTTATTTTGAGATGGGGGGTCTTCCTATATTGTCCAGGCTGGTCTCGAATTCTCAGGTTCAAGCACTCCTCCTGCCTCAGCCTCCAAGCTGCTCGGACTACAGTCATGAACCTCCATGCCCAGCACTTCCTTTACTTTTAATTCTGTTGTACTGGTGAAATAACTGGCCTGTACAGTGTCTACTGCCTTCCCCTTGCCCCAAGGAACACACACACGCATGCTCTTCCCTCAGCTTCCTTTGCTGCTATTTCCTGGTAACTACTGTCTTATTTACCTATTACCTTTGACCACAGCTGGCCATTCACTCACCAGTGATGGAGCTATAGGCTATCAATCGAAGTGATAGCCACCAAGGCCAGTGATGAGTCCAGGAGACAACCACTGGGCAAGAGGGAACTCCAGCTCTAAGAAGATCTCTACTCAAGTTCCTAACACCTCTCCTCCCATGGGTGATCTCCTGGGGCCTCTACACTATCTAGTCCCATGGAGAAGGACAGAGGTTTCTTGAGTCTGGGTTTTATCATAAAGTCATCAACCACAGCTCTTCTGTATAAATGATCACACTGCACTGTTCACATAAAAGAAGGAAAGTGGATGTCTACATGATATGATCAGATGCCTTAGACACTCAATTAAATACAGGCACCTCCTACCCTGTTCAGGGCCACCTCAACATAAAATTTTCCTTGGTGGGATGTCCTAGACCACTCATTGGTAAAGAAAGTAGTTAAATACTAAGGTAGACCACTGAGCATATTATGTATGCATATACGTGTGTGCATGAGTCCATAGCTCATCTTCTCAGGAAAAATCCATTTGTTTATTCACTAAATGCAATGCCTACCATGTCCTTGGAACAAATGCCAGGCTCTTAGAATGAAGCTGTGATTAGTAAAGACACAGCCCCTTCCCTGACAGGGATAAACATTGCAATTCAATCCAGATGAGACAGCTGGAACATTTTTTCAATCCTATCAAAGCTTAAGGGACAGGTTTTTAAGATCCATTCAGAATTATTCAAGCAAAAGTCAGAAAGTATTGTTTGATTCCCTGTGAAATTCACTAAGGAAGATATATAGCATCACACTGCTCTATTAGTTGAGCTACATAAACTTCTTACAGTCATAACTGTCACATCTAAAAAGATGAATTTCACCTTTCTCTTCTATTATAAACTCGTGTGATCTGCAAGGACAATGAAAATTGATTTCTCTTTGAAGTCAAAAGAGCTTAAGACAAAGGATGAGTGTTTCCTCACCACAGGAGAGAAAATACTGGAATGTGAGGATGTGAAAAGATGTTTTGTTGTCAAAGGTTCTTTGATTCTGGAACATTATTTTTACATATTTGCTGGTAAAACAAGCCATTCTGTTTCTACTTAAGAGAAAAACCTTGGTTCCCATCTGAGGCCCAAGCAATCCTATGTTCCCATGTGTTCCTTGTATTTTTTTCCAGTCGTAACACCTTTTTGGATATGACGTCAATTTCTTCCAAAAAGAGATGTAGCTGTATGTATTTCTATTAAACACAAAAGTACTTAGAAGTTTGTTTTGAGGAATTTGCCATATCTCCAGAGAGCAGAATACTAGGGTGTCACTAAAGTAGGGTTTCTCCCCACTACTGTACAGAGACCATGCCATTATGTCAAACTAGGAAACTGACCTTGCTGGTGGAGATGACTCAGTGTCATCACACTGGGGTCCAGTGGTATTAAGAACAGTGACTAAGGATAATCTGTCTCTTGAGTATTTACAGACCAAATCTCCAGGGACCCGAAAATGAACGATTACAAATGTTAGCATATTTGGTTTTTGTTTGGTAAAAATAAATGCATTTTCTTGAGCCAGGATGCTTCTTTCCATTGATCACCTGGAATTCAGTTTTGGTTCTACTCTTAAAGAACTCCTCCTACCTTAAAGGTCTTCAGAACCTCTTGAGAGTTTTTGGGATGGGAGTAAGGCTTGGGGGTCAGCATAGGCACTGCTTTGGGAGTGACAGTTTTGCTTGGAGACCCACTGCCTGCTGACACGCTGGTATCCAGACCACTGGCACGAGCAATGGTGGTTTCAACAGTGGCAGTGAATTTGGGTGGAGGCAGTGACTGTTGCCGCAGATACTTCATGGGGTTGGGGTCTTTCAGGAAGGAGGATAAGTTTGGCTCTGTTGAATGGCTTCTTTCCAGAATTTTTGGCATCTCCAAGCGTTCAAGGACAGCCTCACTGATGGTGAACCTTTCGATGTACTGCTGAAGTATCCCCTCTGCCTCCTCCCGGGACCTCGCATTCTTATACGCCTCATGCAACTCTCTCTCTCTCCGTTCCCTAGAGGATGGGGAGCAATGATAAGGTTAAAACAAGAGTGTAAGATATGGCATTAGAGCTTCTGTGATAACCAACATTTGTAAGGAAAAGCACATCTAGATATTATACATTACAAACAACAGAAAGGACCCACTTTTCTTGAACGATTTCTCTGTAGGTTTTGATACTTTTTCTTCGTTCACTTTTCCCATCTTCTCCAGCCAATAACTTCTCCATTTTTTTCCTTTCTTCCTCTTTCTTGATTAAGTCCTGAGAAGCACTTCTTCTCCGATTCTTCCATCGAGCCAGATCCTGGGGGGAGGAGGACATGGACAGAATGTTCTTCAGCTTGCACATTATTCCATTTCTATGATTTGGAGCTTAGTGAACCCCGAGGAGGGATGGAGGCATGATGCCAGGGCATTGCCATACAATCCAGTGTAACTCTGGTTAACATGGGATGCCTCAAAGGCAGGAAATTTTCAAATATTATCCACATAAGATATAGCAGGGCAGTATTTTTTTTTAAACATGGCAGTGTGAAATATGCAATCAAATTTTATGTCTCTTGCCAAATTTTAGAGAACTGCTTCACAAGGCAATTGTAGGAAACTTCATTTTCTTCTATTCATAATCTCAGCATTATAAATCTCTTAGAAGTAAAGGCAGAAAACACCCAGGATCTTATAGACCCATTAATTCATGTGATCTTTAGAACAACTTCACCACAAATTGGACAGGTAGTTATAGCACAATGTGAGCAGTGAGGATTCTGGGGTCAGATGTATGAGAATGCAGCTGTGGGAAATAACTCTGCACTGTCTTTTCCTTGCCCTGGAAACTCAGGAGTGTTTCTTAGCCTCTCTTCCTCAGATTTCTCACCTCTGAAGTGGGGATGATAAACAACACCTCTGCTAATAAGTCTGGAGGTTTAAATGCGATAATGCCAGGCACAGTGAGCACTCAATATGTTGTAGACAACTTGTTACGATTGTATTTTATCAACCCTGGAGAGGTTAACTATTTTGACTAATGGTAGTGTCAAGTTCACAATAGCTACCTCAGAGTAGGAGGATTAAATAATCCTCCTAATTATTAAATGATCCACTCTGCCAGCCCGAATCCCTAACTTCAAGCAGTTTCCCAGGCGCTAGCTCTTTGCTCTCAGCACACAATGATCTCAAAGCCCCCAGCAGCCTTTTCCACCCTTCCTCCCTGTTTCAAATCCTGGCTCCATGACTTGTGCTGTGTGACTCTGGGCAAGTGACTTCACTGGAATGGAACTTGAGTGTGGCATCAGGGATCGTGACAGGTGCCACTTCACTGGGTTACTAAGAGCAGTGAATGAGTGACCACAGGCAAAGCACTTGGAACACCATGCAGTACAGTACAGCTTCAGGGCTGGCAGTTGTGAGGTCACCACCACCGTCCTCCTCTTCCTCAAACACAGAATCTCAAAAGACTGCATCCTTAATTCTGTGACCCACTCCGGTCGCCTGCCTCTCGTGCCTCCCTCCTGGTGGTCAAGCTTTTGGGAAGGGTTCCCTCGTCACCCTCACGTTGCTCCTATCGCCTTTACCGTGTCCCAGGTGGGATTCCTTCCCCGTCGCGCTCTCGAGCCCAAGTCCACCCACCGGGCCGAGTTTGGGGCTGGGAGTCGCCACCCCGCTGCCCGCGCGCGCGGCCTTGGCCGAAACTCACATCTTGCCACTTGTCGTCCTCTTCCCTCAGCTGGTTATTTATCAGCTGCAGCTGCTCCTGGCGGGCCCTGCTGTGCGGCAGCACCGTGGCCTCCTCCTCGCACCGCATGTCAAACATACTCGTGCTCCTGAGCGCCCAGAGCAAAAACAAAAAGCGAGCAAGATCAGCGCCCGGCCCTGCTCCGCGCGCGCTCCGCCGCCTGGGGGCGCCACCGCGCTGGAAGCGGCCGGCCTCCCTCCCTCCTCTTGCAGCCCTAGCTGCTGCTGCAGAAGCCAGTGTGCCTTTGTCTTCGGAGATGGCACTGCACGGGGTCATTTTATATATTGGTGCCAAAGAAGAACTCGGAAAGGTATTCGAAGTTCTGGGCTCCTCTCCTATAGAAATTATTTTAAAATAAGAATTAAAAGGTATAGAGCTTGGGGGAGAATTTGTGTGTGGGGCGACAGTGTTCCACGAAGTGGAACTTTATTGCAGTAAATGTTTCTTTGTAAAAAGAGTTGGCTTAAATGCTTCCTACACGAACGAAGGCGATTTCTGTAATTTTCCAATATTCCAATATAGGGCCTCAGGCTTAGGACACCTACTGTTCCATATTTTGTCCTTTGAGTTTTAGATGCATCCACTAACTATTGGATTATATTGAATGGTACAATTGATTATGTGTATGTTTGATGTAGTTATTCCTCTTTATTTCCTGTAAAACGGTCACTGATAGTACCTTTGAAGGTATCTGGGAATCAAGAAAATAAGGTATTTACAGTAAAGAGTAAGGAATAAAATATATAAATCAGCATATAATCCATGTCTTAAGATACTAATCATTTTAATTTATTTTTGCCAAGACACCTCCAAATTTACTCTTTTAAAATAAAAAAGATAGGGCCAGGGATTTAGCTCAGTGGTACCACTGCCTGCCTTGCAAGCACAAGGTCCCAAGTTCTATCCCTGGTACCAAAAATAAAAAAATTAAAAAGATAGGGAAAGCAATTTTTAAAAAAATCTTAGGTTGTGCATGCAATTAATATTCTATAGGAGCTTATTAAATGTTGAATAAGACGAGAGATGCTTGCGTAGACCTCTGTTACAGCAAGAGCTGAGGCAGCAACATGAATACAGAAATAGAAACCAAAGCACAAAAATCTTCCCCTTTCTTTTCTCCTCTCTCTCCCTCCCTCGTGTCCCCCCCCCCCCCGCCCTTCCATCCTTTCCTTCACTTTCCTTCCTTCTTTCTACTAGCTCTGGGACCAAGTGGGTTACACAGTCCAAAACTCAAGAAATGGAGGCCCTTTAAAAGTTTACTGTTAGCCACTAGGTACAGAAAGCAGCAATAGTCTTTTTTTTTTTTTTTTTAGCAATAGTCTATTTTTGAAGCCAGCTTAACAGAGACAGAGAGAGAAAAAAAGCAGCCATGCACTTAGACAGCAGCTAATTCCAGACATCACTGGTGATGTCTGCATCGCTGCCCCACGGGCAGACACTGAGCAGCAGCAGTGGGGCTGGGTGCAACAGGCTCTTTGGCAGACAGCTCTGCATGGAGACCACAACCCCCCCCCCAGGCAATGCCTGCTCCCCCTCACTTCAATCCATTCAGAACAAATCTGCATGAATGGTCCTTATATCTCCTCTCCCTCTAGATGTCTTACAATTTAAGTCTGACTTCAGAGAACTAAAAAGAAAAGATTGTCCTTGTAATCATTCTTTCCCAAGAGCATTCTAACAATCTAGTTGTACAGATGGATTTTTATCTGAGCCTTCTATTGGCACCATGCGAAGCTGCCGCCACCTACTCGGTAGGTAGCGTTGATTCCAGCAGCTGTGCCTTCCAACAAAAATAAACTGTGGTCCTCAAAAGGGAAGAAGACCTATGATTTCTCACCTATTTTATACTACTTACTAATGTTGTTTAAGAAAGACTTACGAATTTACAGGGTTGGGTAGAAAAGTCAAACCCATGTTCACCTAAGCAGGCCTTCCAGAGGAGGTCAAAATCTATCCTACTCTTCCTCACACAGTTAAAAGAGAAAAACAAAAAACCTTACCTTTAAAATAGCAAATCCAGTCACTTATGTTTTAAGGGAATTTACAATCTCTGCTAAGACCTTAGAAGGTATAAACCTTTCTGAGCCACCAAACAGCTCAGAGCCACCAAGATTAGAAGATCCTTATATAATCCAAGTATCGGGCAGATTGTGGGAGAAAAAGGTCCTCTCCTTCAACTTTGCCATCTATAATTCCTAAAGGCCAGCATTTTGCTTTAGGCCACAGTAATCAGCCATGGAGCCAAGTCTTCTTCTGAAATCCCTGGATGGGAATGGCAGCCTTCTCCAAGATCCGAGACTTGGCTCTCTCCTAAAAGGGCATGGAGAGCCAGGAGCAGGCCCTCAGAACTGCCTTTCTGTGAAGCTCTCATTACCTCAGCCCAAATGAGGCCAAATGCTGGTTAAAAAGAAAAAAGAGAAACTCTTGTTTGCCCTCTCCTATATCAGGAAGTATTATTTTTTCCCCCAAATTTTTAAAAAAGAAGTATCAGCAAACAGGCCAAAAAATAAATAACAAAACTATGTGATATCTGTATGTCCTCTCAAAAATGAGGAACTGAGAAAGTTGAGAATTGACAATACTTGATGAAAATGAGCTGAATCACCATTTAGAAATGTCCTCTGATTCAGAGGTTGGACTCAGCCTCTCAAATGAAGAAGCATGGGTCTGGCGATGGGGTGAGTGTGAGGGAGATCTGCGAGCCCAGCTTCCAGAGTACTCTAGTGTGAATTAGACTAACCCTGTGCTTCTCAGGACCAACACCTATGCCCCTGGGCTGCTGGGACAAGAACTCAGGACTCTCTTGGGGGTAGGGTACCATTTTTGAGGGATGAGATCAAATTTCCTCAAAGGACACTTGGAAATTGTTTCTGTGCCAAGTGTAAAGGAAGGGAATTCAGAACAAAATGGCCTCTAGCTGTACCAAGGTGCAGACTCTTTGGTAGGGAGAATGTTGGCTGAGGAAGAATGCACAAGTCAAGGAAGGGCAAGAAGGTGAAGTGAAATCCACAGGGACATTTTTGGCTGGCCAGGAACGGAAATTTCTGTCTGCCTGTGTGGTAGGTCTGCCCTTGACCTATATTCTCCTTCAAAGGCACATCTTTTTTTGATTGGGCTGTAAAATTCTTCAAAGTGAAGAATGTGTCAATTATTAATAAATATAGCCAGTGACAATAATTGCCTTTAAAGATTTTGAAAAAAAAGGAAGAGAGTGGAGAAATAAACTAAAAATAGTACACACATCTCTATTTAATAAATTAACTCCTGATAACAGCTTTTCATTTTGCTCCCCACTTGGCTTCATATAAGTTATGTCTACTGCAAGCAGGAAATTGTGTACTTCGGATATTCCCAGATAAGACCTCTGGGAAAGAAGTTCCTTTAACTCTTCTTGGTCCACAGGGCTGGTTTTTGTAAACTTAGAGGGGAGAAAGGAGCCTCTCCCCCCACCACACACACACACATTTTTTTAAAACTGTGTTTGCTGAGGTGAGGTTTCATTTTCACATGCACGCCAAATTCAAACGCTCTTCACTGTAGCTTCCTTTTTTCCACCACGTAGGGTTTCTCAGAGATCTATTTTAGTCAGATTGCACAGCAGCTCTGCGCTGATGAGGAATAAATCCATTCTATCAAAATGTTTTTGCTCACCAAATCAAAGTAGTGTTTTGTCTATCAATCTCATACAATCCTCCTCTCAGTGAGTGTTAAATATTGCCAGTGTAGGTTTTAAAAGGAATAACCAGGGCTCAATTTTACAAACTACTTAACTCTGAGCAGTCATTCAAGCTCCAGCTGAATTTGGTTTTGAGATGTGAGCTCACTGTATGTAGATAACTAACAGCCGGAGATCATTCACTGAAACTTGGCAATGGAGCCTGACTGCGTGGGGCCAGGAGACCAAAGTAAGCTGCCATCTTGAATGTGGCATGGAAAAAGCACAATGTGAAAATACTTAATTTGGCAGGTCTAAATTCATATCCTCAGTGGAAACAGTGTTTGTGGATTCTACATCCTTTTATATAAGCACCTCCCTCTGTGACCTAAAACCATGGCTCAGATATAAAGGACAGGCAAAAAGAAGGCTGGTGTCATTCTTCCAATGGCTCAGCCTCCCACCAGGACACAAAACCTTTTGCAGAGAAGAAAGATGTCAGGCTCAGCATTCTACTGAAATTGGGATTAATTACTAACCCAGTTCCTTAACACACAAATTACTCAAATCTGAGAAGGCTAATATTCTCCAAAGAAAACTTTTGGTTTGTATGTCAGTTGCAGAATGATCTGCACATGGGAAATCCATTTTTAAAGCAGATTTAATGTGGTCACATAGGAGAGGTGTGGAATTTGGATATGAGTGCAAGGCTGAGAATAAATCTATGAGAGGAGAGGAGTGAATAGTAAGTAGCCAGGAGAGGAAGCGCAAGTCATGTTTTACATCCTTGACCCCTTGCTATGCCAAGGAACTTGAACAAAACTCCAATGTTTTGGCCTCAAGCATCCCACAGTTTATATGATTCCAACCTGGGAGGAACTTGGGCTTCTGAATTCACAATTAGTGGTTTAAGGTTTATTTTCTTAGTTTGAAAAAATGTGACTATGGCAATGACTACTTCATTGTTAACTCTAAGCTCCAACATATCAGAAATTAAATGCACAACTCTGAACACCCTTTCAATAATTCTGTGGCTCAGGAGGGGTACCGACGTCTAAACCATAACAAGAACAACTTTAACATGCGCAGTCTATGAGAAGCAAATGGTAAGTTTGAAGCAGCAGCTGCATATTAGAATCACGCTTAAGTTGCTTTTTCATTCATCTTCCCTGCACAGAACATATGTTGTGCATTCCAAGTTCAAGTGCCTTGCTGCACAAGTCAGCTAGCCATTCAGCTCACTGTGGCATCAGCTGCATTTCAATTAGTGGTGAGTACTGAAAGCATGCAGTTTAGGCTAGTAATTAATGTAATCCTATGAATACAAGACCACTTACTCTGCGTCATCTGACACAGGAGTTCTTGAACCGTATCTACAAGACCAAATACAAAATTAGAGGACTGGCAAACAGAAAGTTAATGCTGTAATCAAGCTGGAAATGAAAAATGCTGGGGAAAATATATGTGTGCCAAACCTTTCCACTGATCACACTGGAAGAGAAGAGTTATACAATTAGCAATATTCATTAGCTGCTGAAAATCAAAGAAAAGTCTTAATATTTCTAAAGGATGTGAAATTTGTATTAAAGCCTAAAAGAGAAATGAAAATAATTCCATGTAACCCACAAAGACTCTTTTCAGTATAAACACAAGAGAGGCCAAGGTATAATCTGCAATGTTTAGAGAAGGCAGCAGAGCACACAAATGTGAATTATGTTCATTCACGAAGAGTTAACCTGCTCCTGCCTTTGTATTTGGTAGTAATGGGCTGTAATGGATGCCCAATGCTTAAGCACACCCTCACCGCCCCTATGCTGATGTGTTAATGCATTTGCACAAGTGACATCAAAGAGTATTTCTGCAGTTTTCTGAAAGCAAACCAGAGCTCCAGCCAGAGCCCCAATCAGTGCCTTCCGCATGCATTTGACGAAAACCACAATTCCTAGAAAACTGGTAGCCTTAATCAAAACCAGACTTGAATGATATTCCATAACTTCAAAAACTGTTTTTTTCAGTCTTTTATATTCTTCTGAGAATTTAGATCTCTAAAATTGTATCGTCTATGGTGCAGTCATATTAAGTCTAAATGTGTCTGATAAAGCAAAGAAAAAGATCAAGCTAGACAAAAAATTGGAACAGTACAGTTACAAGGACATATTTTAAGCATATTTTTTAAAAAAGCAACTCTGGTTAATGATCATTGCATTAGCAAAGGTGAATTTTAAGGGTCAATCTGTAACCAGACCCTGAAATGTTCCTCACTTCTACATTCTGATAGTGGACAAAGAGTAATTGCAGTAAATAAAATATGTCCTGCTTCCAGTTTCCAGTAAATTACATCTTGGAGTTGTCAGCAAAACATTATCTGGTCCCCATGCTCAGAATCATAATAGTTTATAGGGAAAACAATAATTTCTGAAGGTCTTTTCCTATACATATAAGAAGAAACACCTCAGAATGCATAGATGCGCACGCACACACACACACGCACACAATGTCTCTCTTAAACATTTTAGAACCGTTTACATTTATTGATAATTATTTCACTGACTTAAAGGCAACAATATCTGAGCAAAACACAAAAATCTCTGTTGGCCCAAAGTGAGACAAGGAAAAGGTTTGTGAACGTTTTACTTTTGCTTCTGGCAGTGTGAAACACATTTTGTTTCTCCAGGGGATAGTTTCAGGCAGCACTAAAGTTTAACTTAACATTCTTACTGTTCTAAAAACACCACTACAGTGCAGCAGGCAAAAAATATATTCTTCCACATCAAGAGAGAGTGCATGAGCAATATTAATTCTGGAGACTGGATAGATGTCCCCAAGTTAACAGATACACATACTGGCATACATTTATTCAAGGGTAGTATTTTCTAAAATTATCCTTGGAAGACAGCAGAGAAGTTATTCCTAAGGGTGGTTAATGGAGAAATAATCTATTAACAGTTATGTGTTTTGTGTCTCTATTTAGATATTTTATTAGCATTTCATTGAAGTATAACATACCTATAGAAAGCGTACCTAATATATAGGCATCTGATAAATTATCACAAACTGAATAAACGTATAGATTAGTATGGAGTGCTTTGTCCTATATAAAATGACTCATTGGTTTGGCTTCTTTAGCACTTTTTGTTTGTGAAATTCAGCTATGTTGTTGCATAGAGGACATATTTGAATTTAAGTTGTTTCTACAGCCAGGAACAGCATTTCAACTCCACCTCTGTTGACAAATACAGATTTAAACTTAAATCTATGTCTCATGGGGCAGGAATTTTTCCATTTGGGTTCCCTGAGCAGTAACCGGAAGAGAAGGCCCTCAGTATTTGTTGAATACTTATTGGCTGCCCTGAAAATCGAAAAGAATACCACGGTTACTAAAGATAACCTTCTTTTATCATCACTGTGATGCAATTACAGACTTAAGGAATTTCCTCTCAGACTAATTTAGTACTTGTAAAAGGGCACAGATTTAAAAAGAATTGCCTTTGCTGGTAAGGAAAAGATAACAGAGGTTGGGCTTCAGGTGGCCTTCTCAGTTGTTCTACAGAAAACCCAAAAGTAAAGGTAAGTTACACCAAAAAAATCCCTAATGTGTGAAAATAGCTACGGGGTACAAAACTGTCATGGTTGGCACAAGCATCATATTAGAAGGAGAAGAGAAAGAAGAAGAAAGAGGAAGAAGAGGAGAAGGAGGAAGAAACAGAGAAGGAGGAAAGGGAAAAGGAGGAGGAGAAGGAGAGGAAGAAAAAGAAAGAAGAAGGAGGAGGACAACAACAAGCAGAAGGACAAGAATAAAAAGAGGGAAAAGGAGAAAAAAGAGGAGAAAGAGAGAGAACGAGAAGAGGAGGAGGAAGGAGGGAAAGAAGAAGGAAGGGGACAAAAGGAAGAGAAGGGGGAAGGGAGGAGAAGGAAGAAGAGAAAGAAAGGAAGTCATCAATAAAGTTTAATTTTGAGGGTAGGAGAATGTAGAAAGATAAAGGGCATAATCTATGCATAATACTGGTTACACTTATGTAACTTTCAGCACTAGCAAAGAATTCCAGAATCAATAATTAGCTGATGCTATATCTCTATAATGTGAACTAGCACTATGTTAATTAGAAGTGAGAGGGGAAAATGGCTTTACTGCTCATCTAAGATTATCTCCCAGCAACTAGCCATGCTTTGCACACTGTAATTACTCAGTACATATTGTTGAAAGGGAAACACGAATGCCCAACATATATGCTGGCTCAATTATGCAAGTATGTCAGAGTTAATCTGACTAGAACTCCTTACGCTCAAACTAACTCATTCCCATTTGAATATTCAGAGGACTCAGAATCATAAACACAGGGATAGATGGAAGTGTCAGGGATCTCACCAGCTTCTACTGATTCCTCAACTTGCGTAGATAATGAGCTGGGAGAGAGTGGTTTTCCACTCAACTGCTCTGAATCTTGGTTCTATAATCCTGGCTTCATGCACCCTGACCTTGGTTTCCTGACTGAAAAACGCAGACAGAAATTCTTACTCTCAAAGGTTGTGTGAGGAGCAAATAGGAATGCACCCAGAATGTATCCAGTTTTCTTTTCTTTTTGTGGTGCTGGGGACTGAACTGAGGACCTTGCACGTTAGGCAAGTTCTCTACCACTGAGCTACACCCCCAGCCCTCTCTTTTCACTCTTATCTGCCTTATAACTGTTGCCCACTGACCCAGGGCCAAGCACCCTACATTTGGAAGCACATTTGGAAGGCAAGTGACTGTGAAGGACCAGGTTGACCTGCCAGTCCCTCTGTCACTGCCCAACCCTAAGCAGCCTGGGAACCATGTACCATCCATCCATTTAACTCTTCTCATATCAGGCTGCCTATTTGCAAATATCACTCAACCGCCTGTCAATTCCCAGGAAAAGGTGATCTGGGGAAGTCGATGTACTTTGAAAAGGCTACCAAGCACCCTACTGAGTAAAGCATCAATATTACCCCTGCACCCTGAAAACTGCTATAATGAAATTTGACTCTACTATTGTTACTATTCAGAAGAAAATAAAACATTGATAAGATTCAGCTGATAAAAATGAAGAGAATGTTGGTTTAAAGTTTTTGGGATCACATAATGTTCTCCCTGCTCTCTACTCTACCCTCTGGCCCCACTGCTATCGTGGTCCTTGAAGAAACAGACTATTTTATACTATTTTATAGTAAGCTGTAATTATGCGAAACACTCCCCATTCCTCTGCCCTGTATGGGTTAGGCAGACCACACTTTAAACAAAAATATATCACTTTTATTAAATGACAATAGAGGCTTCAATATATAGGACCTCAAATCCTAGGATTATTATTTCCTTATTCTTCATTTTAAATCAAGGCAGAGTACAGCATACAAGTCTTACCTCTAAAAGGGAATCAGTGTTTGCTAATGTTGAAAAATTAAATTACAAATATTATAAGTGGTACTCATCATTTTGACCTGGAATCAGAGTAAAATTAAGTAGAATAGAAGACAGTTCAACCTTTTTACCCATTTCTCTTCTGTGAGTCAGGAAGAAATAAGGGTTTCCAATTTATTCTGTCCACAAGATGAAAACCAGAAAGAATGTTTAACAGATAAATTCACTATGGAAATATTCTTTCCACACCTGCTTGTATGCAAAAAAAAAAAAAAAAAGAAACAATTCTTGGTAGACTGGACCATTTGAACTCATTTCACTCTGTTAGCAATAGCAGGTAAGTAGCTTTGATGCACCATAACGAATTAACAATACACTCAAAGCATGTACCAAAGCTCCAACCAGAGAACCAGAGCCACAGGGGCAGAGGGTAACCTGACCTCTGACCATTCATAGGTGGACCATTGGCAGATTCTTCCATATCTAGCTGCTTTGCAAGTAGAACTGAAAGGAACTGATTTGGGTTGGATCCAGTGGGTCTTGGGGACATCCCAATTCTCCTGGTTATCATGTCATCTTTTCATGAATCAGTCAACTTTCTTTGGCCTTTCAGTCCATTGCCACTCCAAGCAGGAGCTGTCATCATTTCTGACTTTTCTTCTGTCCCTGAAGACTCCCATGAAGAAGCCAGAGCACATGCTCTAGGGCAACATTCAGTCCAGCCAGTCAAAGCCCACTTATTGCTAAAGGTATTCAGTAGTGTCACTCATTGGCATTAATCAAGACAAAAGAAGCGAATATCCATAGAGGCAGAGGCACACACAGCAGCTGGGTAGGAAATCCTCTTTCTAATTCCATGAACTTCTCTCATGCAGCTGGTACTCAAATAGGAAAGGTTCCCATTCTGCTTTTGGGGATTGCTGAGATTTAAATCTGGCCAGTCCTCAGCCACATGCAAAGGCTCTTTACCTAGAGTGGCACCAGAAGCAGACCTCGGATCCTGAGCATTCCTTTAAGGGACTTTACTCCCGGCTGCGTCAGTCACCAAGTGCATACTGGGATGCTAAGCTGCTTTTTGGGAACACACTGGCCACACAGCACACCATGGAACACAGGCAGGATGCTCACAGGGGCTGGCTGAGTGCCTCTGATCTTTCTGCCTTTGGTGGCATCACAGAATCCCTTTGAGAAACTCCTTCATTTCCTTCTTTGTCATCCTGTGGTAGCTGTTTGGATGTAACTAGAGCCAGAGAGGACAGCTTTACTGCTAGAGAGAACTCATTATGGGCCGCCCCCACCTGTTATCCTTCACCTCCTGAGGAGGCAGGAGACACCGCTCCTCACCTTGTTCTGGCCTCCTTGGGCCCTTGGCCAAGCTGTAGACCTGCTCCTCCTGAGACTCTGGCACAGGAGCTAGCCACAAGACCCTTCTTTTGCAATCGACTAAGCCAGAATTCACAATCCTGTTGCTAATCAAGTAGGATGGGTGACAAGAGACAAGAGGAAAAAGAAAAAGGATTATGAAAGGAGACAACAAAGAGTGTTGAGACTGAAAGATTCAGAGAGACAGACAGTTCCACTGCTCTCTTTCTTTGGGCTGGTTCAAGATACTAGAATGTGAACTCTAGCAGGGACCTGCGAAAAATCCAGAAAGCCCCAAATGACCCTGTCACCATGGACTCAGCGATGGCCCCTACAGCCATCAAGGGCTCCAGAGTGTATTTCTCATGTATTTCCTACCACACCCTTACATTAGAACCCCACCAGACTCTGAAGCCCTGGATATGTGTTTTGGAGTGCTTGTATTTAAGTTTGCTCACCAATTTTTTTCCACTCAAGATTTATTATGTAATTGAAAAACTTAGGGGAGGGAAAAGATCTTTCTTTTTTTAATGTTTTTACTTGAATATTTAAAATTTGAGCTATGATGCTAATAACTACCTAAGAACCATGGGATAGGAAAGAGGGAAGTTATAGATAAACTGGAGTTTTTAATCAATATATCTTTAGAAGAAACACTGGTGATATCATTAAAACATTCCATCTAGCTCATTCACTATTTTCAACTAATAAAACAGTGCTTAATACAGTTGTGGGAAAAAGGGTCATTTGTGGGGATTATTGGCATCCCCAGGCAGCGATTCCTGTGACAAAAGAATCAATATGGATGCTTGCCATTTGACCTCACACACATGCTTCCCCACAGGGTTACCTCCTAGCACGACTTCTCTGCTATCTGGCAGAAGAGTATGCTAAAACTATGTCAACTCTAGGGGCTTATGTAACATGTTTCTGCAAACTCGTAGGTTTTGTTTTGTTTGAGGTGCTGGGGATTGAACCCAGGGCCGTGCACATGCTAAGCACAAACTCTACCACTTGCTCCATCCCCAGTCCCAGCAAATCCTTTAAAAGCAGCAGTGGCTTCCATGCAAACATCCTTGCACAGGAAGGTAAAAAAAAAAAAATACCTGGAGTTATTTTGTGGATTAAGCATTTGATCTTCCTTTAAGCTGGAAGTAGCCTCCGAGGCAGAGGACACAGAGTAAGTTTGAATCTTGCGGTCATGATTGGCAACTTCTTCTACAACCTCCCTAGGCCCAGCCATGCCAATGCTGAGCCGCCTCCATTTCTGCTGATCTATCTCTGTCACTGGCCCAAAGTGCACAAACTTTTGCCTCGGGCTGGAAGTTTTTGTATAGGCACTGGCTTTGCGGATGGCAAAGTCATCACGGATGGCAGTTTCTGCATTGATTTCTGGTGAAGGCTCAGGGGCACAGATGTGCTGAGCATCTCCATCCCTAGTCAGAACCAGAAATAAGTTCCAAAAGATTTCTAGTACAAAGCAATGAGAGGTTTAAAATACAAAAGTAGATATATAAGAAATACTCCTATGGCTAGAGCAGAATTGTTTTTCCATTAAACAATCCTATAAAGAAATGATCATTCTCTTGTGTGAGTAAATACTTCTCTCTCTCTCTCTCTCTCTCTCTCTCTCTCTCTCTCTCTCATTTTACTGCTAGGGATTGAGCCCAGGGCTTTGTGTATTCTAAGCATGCACTCTACCACTGAGCCATACCCCTGTCCCTCTATTCCTTTCAAGAAACCAATCCCAACATCATAAGAAAATCTTAGGTACAATGGAATAATTAAATTAATTACAAATCAAGTTTAAATTCCTTATAGTAAATAACTCTAATAACATTCATAGTAAGCCAGTTGTTTAAACAGGATGTTTTCTGTTAATGTAGCTTTTGACTCTCAGTATTAGTAAGTTTCTTTTCATGCAGAATATGCTGGTTTCCAGCATTATGAGAGGTACTTCTTCCAGCTATCAAAATTTAAAGTGAAACAAGGACCAGCATTTGATTCCATCAGTGTTAAATAATACCACTGCTGGGAGGAAAACTTGGGAAAACACGACACACCTCGTCTTTTCTGACACTTTCAGCCTCTCCCATGTCTCCAAGTCGGCTTCAGTAATAGTGGAGAGTGTGATGAAGCTCAGAGCCTCGCGGTGAGGGGCAAGGCTGCCCTGAATTCTCCGCTGGGCCAGGTCATCCTTGTAGGGGTCTGGAACCTTCCTGAGCCCCTCCTCCACTGGTTCACTCTCCTGATCTCGGATAACACAGGTCACAACTGACTTCACCTCTTCTGTTTGGCCCTGGCTTCTGTCAATTTGATCCAGGTCCCCACATCATCGGGAAAATCGGGTTCAAGGAAGGGGACCAAACAAACAGAGTGTCAAGCATGGAAATTCAAAGGCTGAGGACAGAACAAAAGCACAGAAGCACCTCTCCCTTTCTCGAGAAAATGGAATCAATTGGAGTTGTGATTACTTTCATCTATGCTGCCCCTTAAACCCTGCAGAGACAGTTTCTTCCAGCAGATGACAGTCTCTAGTTTAGTTAGGAAGAGAAGCCAGGGCTCAATGAAAGACCATTAAGAATGGTAATGAGATTTCAGATTGACAGTAATGATGCCCAGTTCCCACACTATTCAAGTTACTGTGATGAATTCAAGTTTTCTGATTGAATCCCTTAGCCCCCTTGGAATGTTTCTTACGGCATTGGTAAAATGTTAGTAATGAGCTCTGCAGGATCCAAACTTGAGGATTATTCTGGAGATAGCTGGAATGTTTTTCACATATGAAACATCTCAACCATAAACCCACAACTGCCAGAAAGTACACTGAAGTCAATGCTGAACAGAAAGAAAGTGTCAACATTCAGTCTCAGTGTCTGCTGCATAGTATATATCAGGGTTGGCTACTGTAAACTGGCAAAATGGAGTATGTGGTCTTTTCTTAGATTTACAGAGTCAATACCCATTTGTTTCTTGTGTCAGTAATCATTCACTTATTAATGTCAAACTGATAGTTTCAATTATTCCCCTAAAAAATGAATATTAGCTAGTGAATGCTGTAATTTAATCCAAAGCTGTGGGCATCTATATGCATAAACATTTTATCACATTAAATTTCTAATATGCTTCTTGAGAGAGAAGAATCTTAAGACTACACATAAATAGGGCCTATTTTTTCCCCTAAAATACATTATCCAAGCCAGAAAAACAAGAGGTATTCATTTGTTATCTCTATGATTTGGTGCATTTACTACACCTATTCCATAGGAAGGGTACAGAATTTTCTATTTCTTTTAGTTTTTGGGGAAAAGGATATTTATCTGTTTATTTAATCAGTTCTTTGATGCTGTCTAGAGAAGTCATGGTGTGCTCCAGACCCAGAACTGTGCCCCTAGACACAGAGTCAGGGGACAACAGATAATTGCAGCTGGGAATATCAGGAATTAAAATTTCATGAAGGAGAAAGGAAAAAAGGCACATATAAAATCTAGTCCATTTGGCTCAGTGGTTTTGCTGCCTGCTGTGCAAGCGCAAGGACCCGAGTTCGATCCCTGGTACCAAAAAAAAAAAAAAAATTGCAGATCAGCATCTATATGCCTAGATGGTTGGCAATTTCCAAGTCTTTGTCTCATTTGCAACAACTGATCCCTCCTACAAGGCCCTCAGAGAATAGTTTGTTACAAGGTATGCCAGCAAGAACAGCACAGGCCAAAAGCCTGCTGGAGCTGCAATGTGTCCTGTGAAAACCACACTAGGTCTTTTCTGCTCTAATCCCTGTTCTGCATCCAGGGATCTTTCATGAGTTTGTATCTGTTGCTTACTTTAAAAAAAGTACTAGTACACTACTCTACTGCCCTCAATAACTCTGCCCAAAGAAGCATGTTTAGATATAGAATGTATAGCTAAGATAACAAGATTCTCAGTTTAACAGACTTTAAAACTTTTAATGATGGGTACAAAAATAATGAAGATGCTAACTCTAACTGATTTGCTATGAGGAAAACTACAAGTATGATAAACTGTGCAGGACGAAATTCAGTAAGCAGACATTTCAAATGCCAGCCTATTTAGGACAAAAATCACTGGTCAAATTCATCTCACTACAATTTTCCTTTCTCCACTTCACTCAGACATGTACAGGTCGAGTATCTCTTATCTAAACGCTTCAAAACAGAGTGTTTTGGACTTCAGATTTTTTTGGTTTTGAAATATATTGCATATTCTTATATAATAAGATATTTTGGGAATCAGACTTCAGACTAAATACAAAATCCATTTCTTTTTTTTTTTTTTTTGATATCAGGGATTGAACTTGGGACCTTGTGCTTTTGAGGCAGGCCTTGGAACCACTGAGCTAAATCCCTGGCTCTCCATTTCTTCTTAATATATAAGGTAGGATCAAAATAGATAGTGAATGTTTAAATTTTAAAAATTTATTACAATAAAAGGCAAGCAATCCTTCTCAAAATATTCCTCTTTGCTTTGACTTATCCCCCCATTCTTGACACTTTCTGAAGCAGTACTGGAAGTTCTCTTTCACGAGTGTCTTCACTTGGCTCCCTTTATGTCCTGAATCGATTCAAAACATTTACCTTTCATGGTCATTTTGACTTTAGGGAAGAGCTAGAAGTCACACAGTGCTAGTTCCAATGAATAATGTAGGTGAAGGTACACCATAATGTTTTGATTTGATAGAAATGGCAACCATGAAAAGACATTCATGAAAGAGGACTTCTAGAACTGCTTCAGAAAGTGGCAAAGGTCCAGGGATTTAGCTCAATGGCACCAGGCCTGCCTTGCAAGTGGAAGGTCCTGAGTTTGATCCCCAGTACAAAAAAAAAAAGAAAGAAAGTGGCAAGAATGATGGAAAAATTATGTTCAAAGTGAGGGAGAATACTTTGAGGGGAAATTAATGGCAATATATTTTTTAATGTAATGAATTAAAAAATTAAATGTTGGCCAGGGATTTAGCTCAGTGGTTTCACCGCCTGCTGCGCAAGCATAAGGACCCGAGTTCCATCCCCAGTACCAAAAAAAAAAAAAAATTAAATGTTCATCATATTTTTGGATTGCATCTCATATACCTATAAACATAGCCTGAAGGTAATTTCTATATAATATTTTAGTGCTTCTGATTTTTTTTTTTTACAGTGATCTGCCACATGAAGTCAGCTGTGGCATTTTTTGAGTTTTGGTGTCATATCAGCACTTAAAATGTTTTAGATTTTAGATTTGAACTTTGGATTTTCACGTAGGAAATGCCCCATCTCATTTGAAGACAATTTCCATGACAGGACATACAGACATCTATTCTACATTTGAATAATTTTTGTTTGTTGTTTGGATGGGAAACATCCACCATCATTTGTCCAGGTGATATTGTTGATCACTCTCCTGAGTCCCATAACACAGGTCACTATTTATGTGGAGACAAGAAAAAGCAAGCCTCACTTTTTTCCCACTTCCAATATCTAAGACTTACTAAGAAAAAAGAGCTTCTAGCAGAGGAATAAGTGCCCTGATCAGCACACTGGAAATCAATGCTTATTTGATAAATTCAGCTCTACTTTGGACACTGCCACTCTGCTCTCTGTCATGTGCATTTAAGTCCCTAGGAGAGACTGGATATCTGGAGTTCACTTCAAAATACACCACTCTATGGTGCATGTAATTAGGGCAGGAAAGAGCAATGGGGGCTACAATACAAATCCCCAGTGCTTAATTATGTTATCTCTTTCATAGACACACACACTGCACACCTTTTACATTCTAGACTTTTCTTTTCTGAAACTCCCTTTGAGAGTTGTTTGTTGCCAGCTGACTTCTCTGCATCTCTTCTTCGATAAGGTCCATACAGGAGTTGACTCAATGGCACCATAGGCTTAGTTTGGTTCATCCTTGCTCTCCTTGCAGCAAAGTCATCTTTCTCAAGGTCAGGCAGTCGGCATGTGACTTCCTCTTCCAACTCTGAATCTTTGCCATGTTGGTTGGTCAGGAAGGAATTTTCCTTGCGAAGGATAATATCACGAATAGCTTCTTTCTCTTCACTTAATTGCTTTTGACTGATAAGCAAAATTAAATGGAACTCCACATGTGATCAGGCCAAATAAATAAATAAATAAATAAATAAATAAATCCCCATCTCCAGGCAGACAACTTTGTTATTGAAAAGTCCTCTCAATATTGTTAGTTCAAACAACAGGCTTTATTATTTTAGTGCAGAGCTGCAGCATAGTTAAGGTGGGATTTAAAACCTTGAATTTAGCCAGACATTAGCAATACTAAAAATTTATTTAATTTGCAGGGCTCCCTCAGCATTAAGAAAGCAGGATCCTAAATGGCTCTGAAAGTGACAATCCCAACCCATTTCATGAAATTGAGGAAAAGTAGGAAGCTTTGTTGCTATTCTTTTTTCCTTCAGCACATTTAGTAATGCACCCAGTAGGTACCTGAGTTGTTTTTGACTAACAAGACAAAATGCTGAACTACTAAGAAACTGATCTGAGGGAAAGCCATTGAATGCAACTGTGTGATGGCACACCTAGAATGTGCACCAGACTATAAAGTGTAAGGAAGGTCCTTCTGCAGAACTGAGCTAGTGTGGAGCATCTGGAATAGTTTAAGACCACTCATAGGGTGAACTCAAGGCGTAAAAGCTTTCCATGCCCTGTACCCTCTCATCAGCGACCCTTTCTTCCCTCTTCTGTCTCCATAACTCTACCTCCATTACAGCTTCTCTGTTAGATGTTGGCTGTCCAGTACATTGTGGTAAGACTTTTTGCCAAAATGATCTTAAAATGATTATGGGCTATTTTCCTTTTCAAAAGAGTCTTGAGGCCCCTTTTGACATATGAACTTTAAATTGTTAAAGGTATGCAATTTAACTGTGCAATATCAGGCAGTAAACCTTAGGACTTTTTCAACTTGGTTTTTATCCTGCAGTGGGATGAGGGTAGAGAAATGAAGTCTACGTGGCATTGAAACAAACACCCACCGCTCCACCTACAAATATGATCAGCCTTGTTTCTAAGTAAAAACAAAATGTTGAAATGTTTTTTCATAATTTATTATCTTCTCGGTTCATAAAGATGATAAGTCAATAAAATACCTTGACTTATAAAGAAAGCTCACCTACTTTGTAGGGGCTTTCTGAAGGAGGATTAAGAATAATTCTTTATCCTCAAAGGACAAACTCATTTTAGGAATGAAGACAGAAAAAATTAGCCTGGCTGAAAGTAGAAGAATGAGACTGTGTACACTGGTCAACCAATTGGCCTACCTTCTATTGCTTTGCCCCACAGGATCCCAGAGGAGGTTATCCTCTTAGGGCAACAGCAGACCCCCTTTCCATCTGATGTGGCAAATCAAAGCAGCACTGGTCATGCCCAGAAAAACATCTCATTATTGACCACTGTTCTTAATAAAATTTTAAAATACAGAAGGAGGGGGTGATGCTTTGTTCCCTGAATAAATTTATTTCTTAAAACATAAAATTCTGTCCTTTGTTTTGCAGGCTCTACTTGTAGTGTCCTTCTTGGGCTCACTGCCTGCATGGCACTCACTTCCCAGCCTCCTTAGCCAACTTATCTGGCAAGGGCCTGCTGGTATGGGTTGACTGTGGCTATAAAGAGTACCCAGTGCAAAAGATGGTCACTGAATTAATGTCTCTTAAGTCATTATGTACAAATGATACTGAAGATGGCTAATAAGTGCATACTTCACGTTAGAACTCTCTCCAAGTGTTAATTCCTTTAAGCTTAACTCTAACCCTGCAAAATCTGTGATATTATCATTCCCATTTTATCAAGTGGAAACTGAGACTGGGTTAAGAAACTTGCCTGAGTTCAAAGTAAAATGCAAACCCAGCCTGTCTGTTCCCACAGGTCCTCTTTTATGACAATGAATAGACCACTGTACTATTCATTGAAGAAAGGATCATGCCAGGAGCAGTTTTTAAAGTAAAGCATCATACAAAAATAAGGCATTATCATTACTACGAAAGCAGGAGAAAGAGAAGTAATTTGGTTACTAAAGAGATCCTGGAGTTGTACTTAGAATGGAGTTGTGATTTGCATTGCTGGTTACAGACAACAACATTCAGCCAGGACTGATGATACAGAATGCTAACTAATCATACCTTACAATATTGACACTACAACTTATTGTTTACAAAGCCTTTCAAACTTATGGCCCAATGTAGAAGTGCATACTTCACATACTCTCATACCCAGCACAGAAGCAGACCCTCATCTTGAATTGCTTAAGTTCAAGATGAACACTTTCTGTTTTTTGACCGGGGACCTGTGCTTCATCTCAGGAAGAATTCTTTGGAATAAAAAGTATGCATTTATGTAAATACCCTGCCAATTTGTGGCACTAATTTGAGCAGGGAGAATCTGGTACCTTACACATCATGTGAGCCCAGCCAGGGTACAAATTCCCCTGGTGTTTCTTTTTAGGCTAGATGCCCAGTGTGGCAGGACTTGTTTCAAGAGATCTCAATTTAGATATGTGGACTTCTAAAAAGGGATTGAAGCAAGTTTCTGTATCACTGAGTGCTTAAAGACACTCCCCTCCTACTTGAAGACTGTCACAGTGAATAATTTTGTTGTGAAACTCTGATATATTTTATTTTACTTTCTAATAACAACTTCCTGAGCAACTAATACATTCCAGAAGCACTCACATTCCTGACAGCTCTTCAAACCTGGAATTATGATGCCCACTTTGTAAAGGAGAAGAATAAAATTATCTGAGTTTGGGTAAATTAATTCAAATCAATATAAGCGGCAGACTCAGGCTGTCTGGCCTATTTATGGGCACTTTTATTTCTTTCAAGTCATTCATAGATGAGTTGCTCCGGGAAGAAGGAATCACTTGGTGAACACCACTTACTCGGAAGGAATATGGTCCATCGTGCAGTGAGAAATGCCCAGCCCTGCCCCCAACCTGGCACCCCTGCCCAGGTTCAGCCAAAACAGGCAAGGCTGTCACGGTAGGAGAGATTATGGACCCAACATGCAGGATAGGCCAGAAAAGGCTCCTGTCTCCAAATTTCTAAGGCTTATACATTTCAAAGTGAATGAGATAATGATTTAAATGGAGGAAGAGCTGGCATTTTCTTTCACCCCCTTTTGCTTGGCAATGCATAAGCAACCAACTCAGTCTGGCAGTCAGTTTGTTCTATTGAAAGAAATTGGGCACTCCAGAAAAGCCTGCTAGTCCTCCTGGGAACATCATGGGCAACACCAGAAACCTCCATGTTCACACTGTTTCCAGGCAGGGCAGCTACACCCAGAGTCACAGAGGTTCGTCCTGTTCTGTGTCTGCCTGGACCCAAGACCTGGGGATCGGTAGAGCAGCCATCAAGGGACCGGCATCTGGTAGGAGGAATGCGGAGGACTACGTGTCTGGCACTTGGCTATGTCTGCTCTTCCTCCAAAGATTTCTAAAATGTCTATTGTTCCTCAGAGATGTTTTTCCCCCTCTGTAATTAATTACTATGTGGTTGAGAAGATTCACAGACTAGCAGAAAATACTGAGTGCTGAAACATATGAAAACAATTAGAAAAGAAGTACAATCACGTGAAACCTATAATTCAGTTAAAAAAAAAGTTTACTTCTCCAATGGGAAACACAAAGTAAGAAAACTCAAATCTCCATGGCATTTTAATTCAGGGGAAGTGAATCTTGGTTCTTATTTTATCCTCTTAAAAACAGAAACCCTGGCTTCTTTGGCAGAGCCTCATATGGGGAGGGGGGTAATTAAGTTAACACAATCATAAAATAGGAGAAAAAGCAGTTTATAGACTTTTTTTTACTTCAATAGAAACTAATAAATATTAAATGCCACATATTTATTAAGAAGTCCTATTTTCTGTCCCTTGATGCTAAGATATCTCCTTATATATTGATTCACAGGGAGCTTGGGGGTTACAGGTTTCTAATCTCATGTGACAATGAAATAGCATGTACCTTTGCTCCATTTTTGTATATTGTCTTAGAAGTACTGCAAAGAGGTATTCGAGAATCCTAAGGAGGCAGACAAACAGAAAAAAATGGCCTATAAAAATAAAACTTTGTTCTTTGTACGCACCTCCCCTGGCATATCACACCCACCCACACTCACTCGCCTCTGCAAACAATGACTTTCCCAGCTGAGAAATGGGCCCCACAAAGTATCTCAGGCCTCTCACTGGGCCTAAAAATGTGATGCATCCAGATGAATTCATCTGAATGTCAAAAAAAGGAGACTGAGGTTAAAATGCTTTGAGAGGCATCAACACATTTCAAAGATTTATATTGATATTTTTGAGACATCAAGAATCCTTTTCTTCTTCATGATATATATTTCATTCCAGTTAAGCAACTGTCTCCCACATTAAAAGCAGGACCCCCAAATGTGGATAAACTTAGAATAACTCTCAACTCTATTGTGGCTTGCAAAAAGTTAAGTGACAAAAACACAGACACATTATGCTGGTGTCATGGTATGTATAAAGCATTTATAAGGCAGCAAGCAGCTGAAAAAATCTGCCTCACAAATGAACTCTAGGTGATTGGAGCCACTATGTCACATCGCTATTGGGACCTTCTCTATATGCATATTGATCATGAACCCAATTTTAAATGCTAACCTTGAAGCTTTCAGGTGTGACACTATTAACTGATCTGCAAACTTCTGCTTAATACAGTTAATATGGATGAAAGAGGTGAACATTAAGCTAGGTCACAGGAAACATGGATAGGAACAAAAATGGCTATAGACATACTATATATATTAGACATCAATCAGAGTTACATTTATAAACCAACTGATTCCATGTTTGTATACACAAGGGAGTTGTCATGCAAGAGGCCAACGTTTCATTGCAAAATAAGCCTCAGAGTTACAGAAGTGTCACAGGACATTTATGGAATTCCCACCCTGTGCACAAATTCTTTTCTCTACATCATTATTATGCCTGGATCTACACAACCAGTTCAGTGCAGCTCCTCATTCACCTCCCTTTGGTCTTTTGGAGGTTCTAAAGACAATGATTATGATGATAACAATGTCCTCAGTAAATTTTAGTTTAAAGTCTTCACAGATAAGATAAAAATGAAGGTATATGTGTCACAGATATTACTATTAAAATTTTAAATAAATTCATACTCTTATCTGTATTATTTAGTACATACACTTCTTGGGTCCTGGGCTTCAAGATGGAAGCAGGAAGTCTGGAAAATGGTACATGGGGAGAGGATATTATTCTCGGCATCTGGCCCGGTTTGTGGTATAAGTAGATGTTGGAGGGACATAGAAAAAGTGCATATCTGACAAGTTCTTGGAATCATAATTCAAAAAACATTTGGGCTTTTAAAAAAGGATTCTATGATATAACTTTTCATTATTTCAGAGAGCTGCTTATAAAACAAACATTATTTTGTTAGAATTTTCTAGAAGAATGTTTAGGATCAGCATGATTGTCTATGGGATTCTACAGACAGAGAAATACATTTTTGTTTTTTTATTAATACAAAGCCATTTTATGGTTAAATCTATTTCTATTAAGACCTAGACCACTGCAGCAACCACATACAGCACTGTACTGAGACACAGAAAATGTTCTGCTAAGTGTGTGGGAGGCAGACGTGGTGCTCTGGCCCAAGCACCTTAATCTGGTCAGCAGGTCAGCTGCGACTCGATCTGTAATCACTCACTGCCACTGACCCTCAGTTTCCTCTTCTGAAAAATGAGAGAATCACCTGGCTTCTAGAATTAAATGAAATGGCAAGTGGCAAAGGAATTTCAAGTGTAAAATTCCTATGAATGCCAATTTGTGACAGCTTCTCAAAACACAATGTAAAACTGTAGAACTGTGTTTTCCTGTGGCTTTGATTGCTGAATGTCTTCATCCTGTGTGTAATATGAAGCCATCGGGACTGGATACTAGTGCCTTTCTTACAATTAAGAGAAGTAATTATTCCAGTCTTTGCTTTCGAATCAACATGCTTCAGAAAATGAGACAAAGTCAGTCCTACTTACTGGTCCAAAGAAAATAAGTAGATTTTTGTAAGCCAGCCTAACTATGTAAAGAAAGCGTTCCCCATTTCAAGACACTGTTTTCTTGTGATGTGTAAAGTGACATAGTGAGCCATTTAGGAGTAGCCTAAAAACTAACAAGCCACGAGCAACAGCAAAGGACAACATTATTGCTAGGTAAATCCTAGCAATCCAGCCGACAAATGATCGAACACAAGTATCACACCCGGACAAGGTCTTATCACACAGCAAGAAGGTCAGTCTTTATCTCCAATTAAAATAACCAGGGACTCAGCAGAGACTAGTGTCTATTTCTACTTGTTCAGAGTTGGGGAGAGTGATGCACTGGGAAGAGCAGGAAGCATGTAAACAAGAGGGAGAGTCCAACTTGCCAGACAGATTTCAAACCTGCGGCCATGCAGAAAGCCAGCCGGGCCAGCCCTCTGGCGGCAGAGCTAACCTGGCAAAACGCCGTGCTGCAGGCAGAACCTTGATTCCAGCTTGCTCTAGCCTTCTGCGTTTTTGGATTTCAGTAGCATCTTTGTCTTCAGACTTGGGAGCTGGTGCCACCACAGTTCCCTCTGCAGGCGGCCACTCCTTACCATTGCTGTGAGGTGATCCTAGCCCAGCATTACAAGGCTGGGCCCCTGGATGCATTTGGCCAACTGGGTCTTCTTCACCTGCTTCACTTCCCTCCTCCTCTATAGTTTCAGGATAACTAGTGAGTTGGACAACATGGTTTACCAAACCAACAGACTAGCCTGGGGAGCTAGTCATCTCCCAGCCATTCTGATATTACTTTTCACTTTAAAAGAGTCATAACATGCAATATAATCTTGGTAAATTGAAGACAATTAAAGGCATCTGCTTGTTAATACAAGGCATCATACTCTAAACATTAAGAGCTATTCCAAACTTGATATTGAAAGGAAAAAACTTTTCCTGTTAGAAAGGGAAAATTCATTAGTTTTGTTTAAAAATTAAAACTTTTAACAAAATGTTTATTTAATGGGGAATCATAGTAAAAATGAACAATAAGAAAAGTTTCCTTTATTAGAAGGTTATTTAGGCAAGAACTCTATCTTATTTATTATTGAATCCCCAAAGCATAAAGATAGTTCCTAGCACATAGTAGGTGTTCAGTAAATACTTGCTGAATAAATAAATACATAGAGATTAAGAAAACCACTGCTTGTTTCTCTAAAGAGATGAGACATCCAATGTATTTTCCACTTATTATCACCATTTCTATGTGTGATTGTGAAGCATATTCCATGCACTGCTTATACACTTGAGCTTATGTCTAGACAAACTTGCATTGACATTTTAAGAAGTCTTTTTCTGCATAAAAATGTCCTCTATAGCTAACCTAACAGGATCAGGAGTCACTCTTCACAGAAGGACATGGAGGACAGACCTGTTCTCCTTGCCCTATCAACACAACTAGCTTCAAACATCCACTTGTTAGACGAGTACTAGACTCCTCCTGTGTGCCAGGCACAGAAAAAGGCATTTTGATGAAGCTGTCATTTGCTCATAAGCAGCTCTCTCCCAGGGTCTGTCCTGCCCACCCTCTGTATATTCTTACACCAAAGGTCTGAAGTAGTTATGTAACCTCATCCATGGCCAGGAGCTTCACTAGGAAAGGAGCAGGCCTTACCTGAAGGGCCGCTCCCCGCCCAGGGGGGAGGTAGCAGTACTCCAGCTCTTCCGATATTCCTCTCGCTCTGCTTTCTTCTTTCTCAGAGGAGCAGGGACGTAGGCTGTCTGGTTGCTTTTGTTCGGGAGGTACTGGTTAAAAGGCACTGCTGATTTTGGCTCACCATGGGAAGTCCGCCGTGCAGACATGTCATCTTTCTTCACATCTGGAAGCTTCCGATGTGGCAAGTCAGATTCAGAATCACTTCCTCTCCCTGGGGAAGAGAGGATGGATGCCGAAGAAGTATGTTTGGCTAGTAGGGTGCCCAATGGCACATCCACAGGATTAGGGATGTGGTTAAATCTGTGGGTTCTAGAGATTCCTTCCTTAAATTAATCACCTAACAAATCTAAGCAAAAATTACAGAATGCTCTGCAAAAAACTCTCAATTCTAATCAGGAAAAATAAAAAGTAAGCAACAAAATTAAAAATAAAATAGAGGTAAGCCTAACTGTATCTGGAAATTACAACAAGCAACACATTTCCAGTAAAATTATATGCCTGTCAAGATCCTGTTACTCTTAAAAGAAAAAACATCAATTCACCAAAAGAGTTTTTACTGAGTTCCTTCACATCTTACACTATGCCAGACATTCTGATGAATAAGAACTATACAAGATTTTGTCTTTGAGGTGCCTTTAACCAAATCATGAAAATACATACAGGATTCCAGGAGAAGAGAGATAAAGAATAAAAGGAATTCAGAGAAGCAATCAATTTAGATTATACCAAGGGTCTTCCAAGAAGCAATGGTATATCCCCCTGTGACAGAGCTTTCCCTGCCACTCTTAGCTGGAGATGGTCTCTTCTTCCTGTGATTTTTATGGCCCTATGATCTGTGCTCCCTTCTGGGGCATTATCTTTTCTACCTTATGTTTGGAGGACAAGGGCTAAAGTTGTCACAGTATGATTTGGTTTGGCCTGAAGAGCGGCTTAGACAATGCAAAGGCATTCAGTGTTGCCAACATCAGCCTTCTGTTGGACAACAGCCCCAATAATTATACTGTATTCTTGTTTCCTCTCATTTCATCTCATTACATTTCTAAGACCTATTAGAATGAAGCTATCATTATGACAAACACTATCATAAAAGTAACTGCCACTTTGATGTTGGTTGTAACCATTACAATGTCATTCAGTAGATAATATAGAATCGTATCTATTTATACTTAAAAAGAGAGCATTCCCCTAAGAGCCAAGGCATGTGGTAGCATGGCATAGGGGTTTATGTCAGACCTACTTCATTTTGAGCTTTGCTACTCGTCAGGCTCATAGGAGATTTTGCACATATTATTTCACCACTTTCAGCCTGTTTTCCAATCTGTAAAATGGGACAATAATATCACCTGCTTCATTGGACTGTCAGGAGTATTGTATCCATGGGAAACTATCAGTACAGCACTTAGCAGCAAGTGTTCAACAAATGCTGCTTTCTTTCTCTGTCCTAACAGTTCTGGAGCTATCAGAAACAAGGTGTGGACTCCTAGACACATTCAACAGGCTTTATTCTCCTTTTCTGTAAAATAGGGATGAAATGATCTCCTCTAGAGATTAAATGATATAATAACTTTTAAAAGACAGTAAAAGTTCAAAGAATTGCCCATAAACAACTTGCCTATTGTTGTACGTGAAATATTCAGCTTATGAATTATGCATGCGGCTTGCTTTCAGTCTCCTTTCTGAAATTTTGACCCTTTCATTACTTGTTAGTATTCGAGTATCAGCTTTCATTACTTACCCCCTTCCTATATCCAAGCTTTTTAACTGTCCCAGTGTCATAATAAAATGTTTATAGTGCCCTGTGAATCGCTTTGTAAACAAACACTGATACCCTCTTGTCTTGCCACACTTAGAGGCTTGTTTCCCCACTTGATGTTATTCCCATTTTATTATGGTGGAAAAAGGCTCAGAGAGGTCAAAAGAGCCCCTCTTCATGGCTGGGTGGTGACAGCTCTGAGAATCAATTTTTGTTCTCTGGACTCCCAAAGATCTTTCCTTTGTAACACACTTCTTTTGGAAAAATACTCTCTGCTTAAAGTGTCCTGACTAGGGAGAAGTATTACACTGTACTGAATAAGTGAATGAGAGAGAATGATTCTTCAATCAACTGTAAAAGCTTAGTAATGGATTACAGTTGTCTCAGGTTCTGCAGTTTTAAATCCCTATAATATATGAACCTTATTTATGTACAATATTTAAAACATACTAATTAAAAGTCTCAAAATGTTGTTTCACACATAAGCACATCATTTTTGCACCCATTTATTCTTTGATGAATGTCTTAGATATTTCAGGAAATGTTAGCTTACAAATATCTCGAGACAGGTGGCTCAGTTGAAAGACACGTAGTCTCGTGTTTAGAAATCAGACTCTCATTTCTGCTCCATCACATAGTAGTTCTGTGACCCTGGGAATTTAAACTCTTTGTACCTCAGGTCTTTACAGAGATAATAATATCACTCTCCTGGGACATCATGAAGATAAAATGAGATGACCGAAAGTGCCTAGGAAGAGGCTGTCTTGGTATGCCTTCAGTAGATCATCTTATCTAATGCTAGGACTTAAAAATATTTTGATTTCAATTCATCTTACCAACATGGACATTTACTAAGGTGGCTTCTCCATGTATAGTCAAAGTTAGAAAATGAAACAGCACGGGATGATGGTATTATTTATCAATGTCTGATCATCCTTTCCATGAGGCTACTTGTCTTTCCTTTCCAGGAATTAGGGGACACTTTTTCTTTAAACATATCTTTGTCATATACAGTACAATCCCAATGCTTTGCTTTTGAATATTCCTCTACCACTTTAACTTCTTCATTCCTTATATGTCTTTTAATACCTTTCATATAAAAGATAAGAATATTCACCTAACACAGGGCACCATGTTTATAAAATGTGGCATTAATTTTAAAGCAACTGAGTGGAAGATGTTACATTTCCTCTCCAATGAGACCCATTAAGTGCCTAGTGAAGGTGAGAGAGGAATTGGGCACCTAACTAGCAAGAAAGCTTGGCTGAATCGACCCAGTAGATACAGCATTCCCATTAGGGAGCTCTGTGTCCAACTCACAGAACCATGGCACCTCTCATGAGTGTACCCTTTGACTGTCTTTTTTGAGCATAGCAATGGGTGCCAGTAATAAAATAAAAGGTCCCCATATTGATTCAATATAGAGTTGAAGAACTTCATGGTAGGACTTTGTCTAATTGGTTGTGAGTCCTAGAAAATAAATTTTCAAGATTTAAAGTTCTTCCAAATTTGGAAGTGTTTATTAGAAGTAGCAATCTTGTTGATTAGCATCATTTGAAAAAACATACCATAAAGTCTTATGAAATCCAACCTGTATTTGGCTAAAATTATACTCTTTTTTTAAAAGGCAGATTAAAAATGTGTTGTTTTCTTTAAAAACCTCATTAGGTCTTGATTAGTTTACAGGAACATGCCTTAAGGTATCAAGCTGATTGGTGAAATCTGTGTAAGATACTCTTTCATGACAGTGTTTCATAAAGCTCAATTCCATGTTATTCTTCAGAAGGGGAAACTATTTATAAATAGACTCTAGTTTACCAATCTTAATTGCTGCAAACTAAATTGTGCCTCAGTACATATTAGTATAATATTAGTAATTACTATTTTAAAATCTCAAATCCCTTCAAGATGTGGTTTGCTAGAAATTCTGAACCCCTTGAAGCTGGTGACAGAATAAAGGGTCTATATTATGCGTTACAAAACACCAGTGTGAAAAAAAAGCAACGATTTTTTAAAAGCAATCAAAACAATATGGATGAAATAGTTTGGTTAAGATATGTTTTACAAAAGGAAATCTACTATGTGGTTATGTTAAAGCCTAATTAGATCATGGAGCTGGTATTTAACTCCAAGTACTGTGGGTGGTACTTCAGATGTCACATACAATTTTAGAAATGTTTCTCAATTGGCTTACAGTGCACCATGGAATTCTTTAGGAGTCACACATTATATGGCCCTGAGGCTAATATATTTGCTAGAAAGTTTAAATCCTAAACAAAAGCATCAGTTCAGTCATTTTAGAATAAAACATCTATTACACAAAGATAAATTATGCTTAAGAGCATAATAAGTTTTGGGCTCACACTTTTTGAGGCTAATATTATTAGACTATTTTACTGACAGTAATTTTTGCCACTCAAAAATATTGGGGCAATTACTTAGCATTTTAAAGGTTCATCTGTAAAATAAGGGTAAGAAGGAGAGTCTCCAGCTCCATAGGAGAACTAAGTGGGATACTAGGACTCTCCAATATCTGTGCTGAGGATTAAACGAGATACTAAACGAGATACTAAATGAGATTAACTGAGGATTAAATAAGATATTAAATGAGACACGCTGAGTAATACAGTGAGAAACCTGGGTACATTAAATACTCAGGTATTTTAGTAATACAATTTTACAGCCAAAAGGGCTCTTTTAGCTACAAGAGTCCATTTTGATCTCAGAGAGCAGGCCTAAGTCCAGATAATATTATCAACCAAGCAATACATAAAAAAATAGAAACAATTAAGCTTCCACTAGCCTTGGTGTCCTTCTGCAAAGTTTATGCATACAGAATCAAGCCACATTCACTTTCTACAAGTGCAGAGGTACAAGATAACTAAGGCAAACAGCTTCTAAAATATGAGCACTAAATTTATATCAAGTTACAGGACCATACATTTTTATAATGAAAAATGATCATTCCATACAGGTGATATAAAATCCATGGGATTTAAATCAAATCCAGCCTCAGGGCAAACAAGCAGCTTGGGTTGTGCATTACACATTAGCAGGCACCTGCATCGGGACAGCCAACTAGACAGATATCAGAAGCTTCAAACAGACTGCCAAAAATGTGTCAATGAGTTATGCCATCCTAAGCTTTGGAACTTTCATAAGCATATGCGATACTTTTCTCATTTGCTGGAAGTTGGTTCATTTTCACTTAGACAGTGGGGTACTCACTCCAACATTTTCCTTTCTCATACCTGAGTATATAAACTTTAGCACACTTTATGAGCTAATGGTCTGCACAATGTCTTGACTTACTGAGGGAAAAATGATGTAACACATTTTCCATTAGAAGATATGCTCATTCAGGTGGTGTTCAAATAAACTGCTAGCAAAGCCAATCAAGATTCTGAGAACCATAAAAACCAACATTCAAAGACTTTTCCCACCAGCTTATAGAATTACTGGATTCCAGCAAGGTGGGTATGGAGTCTGCCTTCCCAGCAGGAATGCTCTCCTTATCAATGATTAATTCTGAGATTTGTGGCTTATGGAGACCCCAACCTACCATCGCTGCTTCCCCTGAGCACTACATCTGGTGAAGGTGTCTGGCGGGAGCGGGAGCCAAAGGAGTCCAGGCTGTCGAAGGAATCATCCCTGCCGTGGCGAGGAGGGGAAAGGGAGTCACTGCGCTCAGAATCCCAGCAATCAATGTAACCACTGTCTCGGATGCTGCGTTTAGGACTCTCAATGTCATCAGTCTCCTGCCCCAAAACAAAGCAAAAGAATTACAAACATCAGTGCAACAGACACAGAGCCTACAAGAGCAGGAAAATCTTTCCAAAAATACTGCACATCAAATTAGTATGGAAAGGCTGTGGCAACCAGCTATGGGAGCGAGTAGCAGGTACAAGTGATGGTTCCATTCCTTAACCTTTCTCTGCCACATTTTCTTAACCTGAAAATCATGCACAACATTAAAAACAATCCTCAAGTATCATACACCATAATGTCCAAAAAAGGGGAAAAAGAATTAAGAATAAAGGATCACAACGTTTGGATTTATAAGAATGCAAGGATCAATAAAAACAAAAAAGCAAAACCTTAACCTTGACTTGTCTTTCAGAATCCATATCTGCATGTCTGTCCCGGGACCAAGCCCCTAGTTTAGCCGGGCAACTGCTTCGGCTATCTGGCAAATACAAGCAGCATTTGTTTTTGTGGCAGAATCAGCTCTGTAAAATCCTGGAGCAGCATGTTTCCATCTTCTGCTACCTTGGAGGGAAATTCCTACTCTGAAAGAGAGCTGTCTTTCTGAGGCAAAACGTTTTTTTTTTTTTTTTTATAAAAAAGCAATGAAAAATATGCAAAATGCTTTTCCTGATGCCTCAAAAGACTCCAGGCATGCTCTTGCTCTCAGCCAGAGCTTGGCACTGAGGGAGTCGAAAGCACTTGGGGCTGACCCACATGTTCGCAGCAGTGAGAACAATGGCTGTCTTTGACAGCCGGTGATTATAAATTCTTTCCAGCACAAGCGGCACATACTAAAACACTGAAACTCCAGCAGAAGAAAGGTCAGTCAAAGCCATCCTCACCCTTGGATTATAATAAAAGCCTTATTCCCACCAATGTCTTAGCATTCATTACAATGGTCCAGGCTGACAAAAACAAAAATAACTCCAGTCACTCAAAGATAAACCTCAGTTTAATATCCTCCAGGCTGTTGCTTAAAATCAGGACTGTGGATAACAGCAGTGGAGGGGCATGTTCTCATCTGCAAAGATGGAATGTCACATTGTGGATTTCCCAAGACGCACATGAAGGTCCCTTCTGCATTCCCAGTCAAAAGGATACATAAATAAATATTCTGTATATTAGAAGTTTTGGAAACTGGTCTAGACTCTCTAAGATGCCCACAGGAGTCACTGCCTTTGTAGGAAGTGCCTTTGCTGGCTGCTTCTATCAATTATATCCTGGTCCTCTGACACAATCCCCAGTGGGAGGCATTTGGGGGGATGGAGTGGTTGTAATTCTTAAGGCGCACACAACTTCTGCATCAAAAGAGGGGAGTGGGCGAGAGGACAAGGACAGGCAGAGAGGAGGACCCTGGAGCCTCCACAGAGGACCTGATTAAAGCCCCCTGAAGGATAGGTTGTCAAATGGCCCGAGTGAGCACAGATGACATGAGTCTCCACAGGAAGGCAGAAATTCCAGTTACGGAAATTAAGGTAGTTTACTTGCAGGTCTAAAGTTAAGCAGGACTTGGAACAAAAACCAGGCCTAACAGCTGAAAAAGGAAAAACTTGTGACTCACTGAAAAGTATGGACCTACATCAGATACAGTTTTGCATTGAATTTCTTTAGAAATATGAATCATTATCTTGAAATATTTATGTATTGAGAATAGGCCATATGGCTAAAAAACAAAGGTCACTTTCATTGAACCTTTTTTCCACAACTAGGGCTGTATGTGATGCCTTTTGTACATGATGTTATTTAGTCCTCACAGCCACCCAATGATGTGGTTAGCATTGTCCTTATCTTACAAAAGAGAGAAATAAGAATCAGAGAGATTGAGTAACTTGACTGAGATCACACAGTAAGCAGCAAAGCCGTGATTCTAAAACAGGATTCTGGCTCCAAATTCCAAATGGTAAAACCTAAAAAGAGTCAATCATCTTTGGTGTAGTTCTAGCTCTCCCATCAGATCTTCTCTACCATCAGGATATTCTTCTCTCCCACTGGGTACTTGCTATCTCCTTTCTCTAGGGATAGTACTAACCTGGAGCATGTCCCTAGATAAATGTTCTTTATGACTAGCTCACTGAACTATAAATCTTGCACAAGAAATTCCACTTAGGGTAAGAGCATAGTAGGGAAGCCAGACTGAATTTAAATCTTGACTCTACCCCATGCCAGCTGTGTGATCTAAGGTAGGCTATCTCACCTTACTAGTTCTCATCTGTAAAATGGGGCCAGTAATAACACTTGTTTTACAAGGATGCTAGAAGAGTTAAATGTGTTACTATATTGAAAGCATTCAGAAAAATGCATAATACAAAATAAGTAAAAGTATCAGCTATGGTTATAATTAGTATTATTTATTCACCAGGTATATAAATTTCTATATACAAATTGCACACTTGTAAATTGAGTTAGGAAAATAACTTCACACACATGGTACTCTTTTTCTCTCCTCCATTTATACCCCATATCTACATGGCCTGGGCCCAGTTTCCGTCAGAGAGGACGGACATTCAGGAATGTGGGCCACTGGTCGCATCTGGAAGTGACATGCCGACAAGCTGCTTGGTGCAACATTACAAAACTGGATTGAGAAAATAATATCAGAAAGGTTTCCCCCAAGGCCTGTCCACCCCCACCCCACAAACCACAGAAGAGCCAGGAAGAAAGGGAAAGTCAGCATGTTTCTTGGAGCTTCAGCTGCTTTCTCACAGCTAGTTATGGGAAAAAAAACCCAGAAAGGCCACCCTGTTCATGATTGTGCAGAAAGTCAAGAATAAATCCTTGGGTCCAGTGCATGGGCTGGGAGCTGAGTAGCATAGCCAGATTGAAGAGTGAAAAACAGGCCATCATGGCTACCCTTGGCCAACCTGGTGCCCCAGGAACTTTGGGGTGAAACAAGAAGCTCTTCAGCCAGAGATAAAGATGTGGCTATCCGCAGCACACACAATTTTACTGGCCTTTATTAAGTCACCTAAAATGAACCTTTTGGGGAAGGGAGAAGATATAAACCTGCACAAAGGGTGATACAGTCTAAGCTCTCCTTTCATGAGGTCTAATTACATTGTCTGTACTCTTCACCTTGGAGCTGGGTAGCTTTCCTTCTCCAACAGAGCACTCTGAGGAAGGGAGATAAGACTAAAATCAGTCTATTGTGCTAATTGGGAGTTGTTCTAGTAAGAATGTGTAATGAAAAGGGAAGAACTACTAGCTTCTATGAAATCTTTGTATTATTCCACTTTTTGTCCCCTCTTTTTGTGAGAATGAGAACCAGCTAGGATCAGTGGCTGCCTTGGGGTATCTGAGAAACTCCAGACACCTCCATTTTTCCACTCCACATTTTCTGCTTCCTTTGTGATTTACAGTATAAGGTAGCTAGGTCCTATTCTTAAGTGTCAGAGGGTTCTAGTTTTCCAATATGATCACTGATTCTCCACCCATCCACTCTGGTTGCAGAAATGATTCATCCCACAAATACCGACTCAGCATATTCCATGTGTTGGGTACTGTTCTAGTCCTGGGGACACAGTATTATGCAAAAATCAACACAGCCCCTGTTCTTATGGGGATTATGTTCTAGTAGGGAAGACAAAAAATAAGCAGAAATCCACCATAGACACAAAGTTGGGGGATATATGAAAAAATAAGGCAGGTTGAGGGAACAGAAGCTGATAGCAGTGCTATTTAGGGTCTGCATTTGTTTGCAGGTCCTATTTCCTCCTCTTTATTCCTTCTTTCTGTTAATCCCCTCACCTCCTGAAACAGAATGGATTAGACAACTCATAGTGGTCACAGTGACTGGTACAGGAAAAGGACAGTACATTCCCAGGAACTGTACATCTGGGGCTATGGGAAGTGTTCTCTTGCCTTTCTGGGGAAGGAGTTAGAGGCAGGTAGCCTTGGAGATGCTGTTGGCTCCATTCAGTATTACAAGGGCATATCTGCCTGTAGGAGGGTGAATGAAATTAAGGCGCAATCAGAAGAAATGAGAAAAAGACACAGAGGAAGAACTAAATTGCTGACCTTGTAGCTCCAGTTCCTGAGATTTCTATGGTATCTCTTCAATCTCAGTATTTTTTCAGTACAATTTGTTTAGCTTATGTGCCCCCCTTTTTGGGAGGCCTTCCATGATATACCCAGGCTCAGTGAAAGACCACTGTCACCTTGTTTGCAGAGACCCTCTGTGCAGGTAGCAGCAGCAATAATCTATGAATATCTTCTATGTGCTAGATTCTAGGCAAAGGAATTTATATGCGTTAGGTACATGGCAGGTCTTTATGAGTTGCCCTATAGTTCATACTTTTATGTAAATTTATTCCACTAGAAAAATGAGTGTAAAAAATTTCTGGCTACTCTGCTTTATGGAAGAAAATGTTTTAATTTCAAATTCATTTCAGCTTAAATATGAACAGAAGAGACTCTAGTATTCCCTCAATATTTGTCATGATCTTCTTTGCAAAAAAAAAAAAATCCATGACTTTCAGCTGAAATAAAGTCCACTCATTCCACGTCTATGTCTTTTGTTGTAGGTAGGTATGGATATGTGACTAAGTTCAAGTCAATAGGATGTAAGCGGGGGGTTGTTTTAATATGTTTAGTGCTGCTATAAGAGAATGCCACACACTAGGACATTTATAAAGAAAAAAAATTATTTCTCATAGTTTGGAAGGATGAGAAGTCCAAAATCAAGGTGCTGTCATCTTGTAAGCATCTTCATAACAAGGCAGAGGGCATGATATGATTAGAGAGTACACATGCAAAAGTGACTCACTTTTACAACAAAGATAAGGAACCCACTCTGGGAATAATAACATTAATGTATTCATGAGGGTGGACCCTCTGTGACCTAATCACCTTTTGAAGATCCCACCTCCCAGTCTATCACAGTAGCAATTAAATTTCAACATGGATTTGGGAAGGGACATTCAAAATGATATAGGGGGAAAGCCTACTAGATATACTAAACCTACTAGATACCCGAAACGCGAGTTCCTGTTCTCTGAAATTGAAGAATGAATTCTAGGAACAATGGAGGTTAAAAGTAGGAAAAATTTACCGGGAGAAAGAAAGCTTCTGCCTAAAAGAGACAGAAAGGGGACCGGAAAGTGTGTTGCCCACCCATCCCATGGTTCAGATGTTTTATACCGCAAAGCCATGTGGTGAGGCAGGTACAAAGTGGGACAAAACTTTAAGATCCAATAGAAATTTACAAGGTGGGCATGAGGTGGGACAAAACCATGACCAACCAATAACAAGTACAGTCACCTAGGTAATATTGATTAAATGGCGGTCAAATGGCAAGACAAATCACATATAAGGAATTTCCCATTTAGAATATCAATCACTGCTATCTATCTCTAGGGGAAGTAATACTTCTTTTTCTTTTTATAATGCTAACCAGTGAACATGCCTCAATTGTTCTCCATGTTGGCTTCTTGCTGTGTTGGCTCCTGGAGGGCTGGTCCCATCTAACTGCACACAAGATATCTAATTAACTTACCTATCTGCAATAAAAACGCAGCAGGCACATAGCACATAACATCCCAAAGTTTGTTTAAAGGGAAAACATAGACCTTTGTCCCCCATTCCTCCTTCTTCTTGAATAGTGCAGGAAAGCCTGAGCAGTTATCTCAAACCAGCAAGGGAGAAGCCACGGTGGTGCAAAAGACAGAAGATCTTGGGCCTCCTGTCTTGAGACAGACCTGGAACTCCCATCTCAGCCCTAGACTTCTCCTGTCCAGGCTTCATTTAGGGTTAGAAATAAGTAAGAACCTTATTTTAGCTATTATTTGGAGTTCTTTCTCACTTGAACACAATCCTAAGTGATAAAATGGGACAATAATTTATAGATAAAACAACTATTTCCAGCTGCTTGGGTAGACCAGTGAAGCTCAGGTAATTAACCTTCAGCTTTGTATAGTGAGAGGGGTGCAGTGCAGCTGGCCATGATAGTGACAGTTGTGCTTCGTTTAGGGATCTGAACGGCATCATGTGCTGCCACGTAATTAAAGAGGGTAACGGCTGTTAATATCACATCACTTCAAAGGCAGCTGAAGTAACTGTCTCAGTAGAAAGGGTCAGATTATAGAGGTGCTAGACTAGTGGTAAGAACATTCAGTAATGAGAATATACCAGATTCTAAGAGAATCCAGCAGGGGAATTGTGAGGTAGACAGAGCTTTAAAGTGCTTAAAACAATGGCTCATATATTATTATTCAAGTCCGAATTTAACATAAAAACAAACATTTAGACTTCTCACATCCAGCCTGGAACTTACCTTTGTAGTTTTGCTAAGAATAGAGTGAGAGGAAAAACTAAAGGACAAACAAGAACTACGATTAAGAAACAGTATGTTGTGCTTTGTCATGTGGGGGGTGTTTATTTTTACAAGAATTTAGTTTAAAGAACTTTGTTTATATGTGTCATGACCAGTATGAAAGCTTTGTCTATTTGTCAGTACATGAGCCAGACTAGCTCTGGCGAAATGTAAAGACTATTAGTTTTAAGGAGAGAAAATTATTAGAAAGGTGGAAGAAATTTCTTGCTTTAAGTATTAAAAGTTGTAAAGCACTGACTATCTCTCAGTGAGGTCTTATTAGTTCTTTTATTTTGAATGTTAGAGAAATGCAAAAGAGCAAAGCCTCAACTATTGTGTTTTAATATATCCTGATCCAAAATACATTGATGTGGATTACTAATACTTTGGACAAATTAGATATATTGCTGAGCCTCAGGAAAGAACATGCAGGCAAGTACACACAAAGCATTCCAATGTTTCCTTGGCAAGTTCCTACCTCAGTCTTTCCCATAATCAAATAAATAAACCAAGCTTTTAATAATGTTCAATCGAAATGTTTCATCAAATAAACAAATCAAGCTTTACAAATATTTTCCAAGTTTCTAGGCCATTCAAATCCAATGGCCATAAGAAACACATATCAGAACAGAATGCTCCTCATTCACCAGAGCTCGTCCAGGGCGTGTGCCAAGACCAGAACTTGGCTGGGATTACTCACCCACATCAAGGCCCGGATGGGCAAGCAAAATGACCTTTAGGCTGAAAGTGCAGAGCACATGTGCATTTTTGTATAATACTGCATTGTTTAATTCAAGCATTATTCCTCCAAGAAAACAAGTTCCTTTGCATACAAAGCCATATACTGGGAGATGAAATTTGGTCTTTTGGAATTAAAGTTGGGTCCAGCTCAGATCTTCCATTCTCCAAAGGGTATTAAAGTTCAGGTAGGTATGAGATATATGAGGCAAAGATGTCATTGGTAAGACAAATAGTCATTTCCTTGAATATGTGACATCTTTGGCCTGTACAGTTTCACCACATGGAACTGTAATAATCTTAAAAACAAGAAAATGTGTCCCTTTCCCACCTTGTCTAAACCTCATGGGATAAAGAAGAAAAGCCAAGTTACCTTTCTCATCTGAGCCAACAATCCTTCAAACTCCTTCAGGTTCAGTGTAGTTCCATTGTAGGAAGTACAGCTGTTTGCAGCTTTCCCCAGCCAGTAAATGGTAACTAATACCTGTGGAAGAAAACAATGCACCCGAGCAAGAGAACATGCCTTCACGAATGATGTTTACACTGAGGAATCAATAGTGCTCTACTAACAAGCAAGCAGGAAGGAAAGAATGAGCAAAGCTGATTTACAAAAACTTCCATGCATGAGGGATCCATTAAATGTAAAATTATGTTAATCAGAACCACCCAATGCTGTCTCAGTCAACAAAACCTGAATCAGTAGTTACCGTAAGACTCCAGTTTTAGGAAAAGTTAGGTTGTAAGAAAGTGATCCCCAAGATAGCAAGGAGGAAAAATAAATCCTCCAAAATTATTTTCATGTAGTGAAGGTTTCAAAATTAGGCAGCAACATTTTTCAGAAACCCTTTGGAGTTTTTACTCAGACAAGTAATGAAATAGACTCTCAATTTCCTTGAAAGAGGTGATTTTGAAGGCCCACAGTTTCTACTTGTGGACTCAGAGGTTCCCCTAAGAATAATGGCAAAAATCCCAAAGAAATTACAGAGTTTAATTAGTGTTTCCTAGTACAGAATCAACACAATGTATCTGATTAAAACACTGGAAGAAAGCAATGCAGTGAAGAACATGATCTGCAGATACCTCACTTAGGACAGACTAGGATAGATTCCTGACGTGGAGAATTTTTATCCTTGACATGGTTCTACCAATGAGATGACTTTGGATGTTTAAAGATTTTTATAAATATTCAATGGTCTGATGCTACAGTCTTAAATTAATTTTGTCATGTCTTTCCAAAGAGTCTCGTCCACAAGAAGAGCAAACGCTCATCTCATTGACTCCCCGCAGGAGTCAGCTAAGATGAACTCCTTGGAGCTGATTTATAAGAACCTGAGGCCCATGTACAAACTCATACTAGTATTTTATTTTCATATTCTGTCTTACTGCTTCAACAAGGCTGGGAAGGACTTATTGTAACTCATTCTACTTGGTACGCCAGAAAATGCTTTGGACAATGTGATACAGGTCTATGGTTCCAGCTGGCCACAGGCCCAAAATATGGTTATGTTGATCAATGCTAGGATGTGACTCCGTTTTCTACCTCTGTGGGAAAATTTTACATCAGGAATCCTTCAAAATTTCCAGAGGTCTTTTATTAACTGATTGCTTACAAATAAATTTCTAGAGAACAGATAATTCCAAATGTTAGGACATTAACTAGGGCCATAAAATAATTAATGTATTATTTAGAGTATGACCCTGTCTTGGAAGGAATAATAAGGAAAAGGAAGCTAGACCATGCTGTGGTTTAAATTATGGGTTTTCTGATTTACTTAAAATTGTATGATGAAAAAAATGGTACATGTCTCTAATTGTACGAAGGAAGAAAAAAAGATAAAAATGAGAATGTCAATCAAATAACATTTGGGAAACTAAAAAAAAGAGGTCACAGCTAAGTTTTCTATTTTAGATATAGGTTACTTCTTACAATTCCCAATTTAAATTTAAAATAAAAAGCATGAATACACTTGCTACTTGAAAAATAAGATTCAACTACAAAAAGTTCACCAGTTCAGTCAAGAACTAACAACAACTCCAAAGATAAATAGGAAAACAAAATACAAAAAAGACAGGGCCACAGCAGTCAACACGATTTATATAATGCTGATCCTTTCCTAAAACAGTTTGCCCAACTGCTTAACTTAATAATCCCATCTGGGCCCACAAAGGGAAATCAGCTAATGTTAGTGTTGAGCTGATCATTTTGTGTTTTAAGAAACTGAATCACAAACAGAACACAAGCTTTCATTTGGTTATTTCTGGACTGAGCACTTAATTAATTAAAGAGAAAGTCTCTCAAATCTACTGCTTTTAGTTCTATCACAGTCATTATTCAATAGAGATATATACATTTCTTTTTCTAAGAAAGAGTCTTGCCAGTAAATCTTGGAGAGGCATTGAATTTAGATAAATTTTATCCTGTACTTGAATCATTAAAGTAAGAAGGATACAGAGGGAAGTTACAACACTTACATTTTTCAGCTTCCTAGTAAAATCAGGATTCCTAGGTTAGGAAAATGAAAAGAAATGTTATCAGATTAGTCATTTGTTCACTGTGATTGTTCCTTAAACACCTTTGAGATGTACTTGAAGTAAATACATAAAAGGACATACAAAAATATAGTTAGTTTTAAAAGGCCTATGACCGGAGATTTCAGGCACTGAATAAAATTGTTTACCAAACAAATAGGACAAGGCTGGGGAAAAGTTCCACCATGCAACATGAAAAATGAACTTTGTCACATGTGGAAAATGAAGAATTCTGTTTAGAGTTGTGACTATTTACATTTGAATTTTCAAAGCTCAGCAGTTGAAGAATCTGCCTTGGCTGAAATCTGACTGCACTACAAAAATCTTTAAGTACTTTTAATAAAGGTCAGAAACTTTAATTAAATAGACCCCAAGTTATGTGTACCATAAGGAATACTATCCAAACATTTGTTCTTTTCTGCTTTGGACATAAATTAACATTGGGGATTAGTCCAAAACATGAAAATATACATGTTATGTTCAAACATACACACGCATTCTCAAATACACATACACGTTGATGCTTAAACTATACATAACAAAAGTGTACAGAGAAACATTAAAATTTCTCCAAAATTATTTCAAAGTTATATTAACATGTCAATCAATAAATACTAAAAGAATTGCTGCATCCTTTTCTCCATAGTAACTTCACTGAGGAGGGCAAGAATGTAGAAATTCTATCAGATAAACCAGTAAAGAATTCCATAAAGTATTTAGACTCTGATTACTTCACTGCAATGTATTCTGACTGAAAAAGTCCATATGAACAAATAGGTGGGCAACTCAAGTCAATTGAGATTTAAAGCACTAGAAAACAATGCGGTATACTAGGGAGGAGATAATCCCAGCATCAAAAACTTAGATTAAAAGAATCATTAATCCAATTTGGATTTGATTAAGAATATATTTTCATGCTTTTAATTTTAATAGAAACGTGGTGTGCCATTAATAGAAAAAAGATGGCACTATCTGCTTAGATATCTGCTGATTTTTTTTTTTCACTTAACAAAAAGAAGCAGATTGAAAAAAATCTAAACTTTTTATGAAAAACTAAGGCCACTGACCTAGGGAGCTGCAGACCTAGGGCTATGCCCTGATTTTCTGAGGCCTAGTTTTTATATATAAGCAATAAAGGATATGACTTATGAATTTCTAAAACCAATCAGCCGTAGACTCCCCTAGTTTAGTAATTTATTATTGAAAATGGCTCCCAAAAACCCAAATCCAGCTGCCAACACTCAGAGTGAAATTTCCTCCACACTCCAAGCAGTGTATGTGGCTAATTATTGCCCACAATATTGCACAGTTCTTACTGTTTCTGGTCCTTCACCACGAGGTGAAAGTACGAATGTGAGATGAGGCAGAACCTAAAATAATTTCCCCAAATGAACCATGATTTACAGAGGCCAGATTTAGGTAGATGTGTCAAGTGAGGATTATGGTGGTTTTTATATTCAAATATCCTAATTTTTATTCAGCGATTTTTTTACTTAACTAAATATTTTTCATGAGAAATATTAAAGAATGGCACATTGACAACAGACAAGTAATTTTAAGTGATCAGTCACAGCTGACTTCCTTATTCCCAGTCATGAATCATAAAATCCAATATAAACCCCCAAGCCTTATTTCATTAATAAATTCCATTTCCTCCATATTCTCACTATACTGTTATTATTATTGTTTTCATTTTGAAACCAATATCAGCAAATACTACAAAATTAACAGCTCTGAATTTTGGCTTCTGTTCCTTTTCTGTTCTTCCATAATAAAATGACCCCAAAAGTTACCAATCCAAAGACCCTATCTATGCAATTCAACTTATTAATAAAACATATTCATGTTAAATATTGTTTAGTTAAGGTGGAAAATATTTCATAGGAAATCAGTAGGATCTGAACATCTAAACTACAAAAAAGTAACTTCTGCCATCTCATCAGGACGTTTCCTCCCTGTACCCTAGTCACAAACAATTTCATTACACAAAAGTACACTGCCTTTTCTTTCACTCTGACATTCTTCTCCAGGAACACTTTGGCTCCAGACCTGGCTCCTTGAGTAGATACAGTCAGCAACAGCCAGAGGGCCAATGATCCATCTCCACATGACTGACACATATAAGAAAACAGTTACAAATGAGGAGAGGTTTCTCCTTAATGTAATTCCTTCTTTGCATAATAAGCAGAGTTTGGAACTGTTTACCTAGTTTGTGGTCTTCCATGAACCTATCCAAATCCCCAAAATTGGAGCCAATAAAAGGTTTTTGTCAACACACAAACATTCTGTGCATATTTCTCTCTTGCCTCTCTGTTATGCTTTACTTAACATTTTCCTCTTCTTCAAAATTCTAAATCTGTATATATGACTCCTGTATTTGAAAAAAGTCTGATCAGAATAAAAGCTACACAGACAGAAGGCCAGCATACCTTGTTTAGAAAATTTGCTTGTGCCTTCATATTTTCATTTTATTAGGCGTATCCAATTCTCTGCCTCTTAGAACTTACAAAAATCATCATAAAACTGCAAATCAAACCATCAAGAGGTTTCCCTTAACCATAAATCATGCATTACTTACTTGATTGTTACTCTGTTGGACGTGTCCTGGAGGTCACTCGGGTCAAAGAGTTGAGATTCTTTCAGGCCGAGTTCTTTACAACCTCTCAAGAATAAGATAATATTATCCTGGAAGGAAGAAAAGACATCCAAGTCCATATTATTGTAAATTATCATTATGAACCAGCCCTTTGCTGTTAATAGCTCAAATTGCTGGAGGGAGACCATCCACTGAGACTGCGAGAATCATGTCTAAATTATAGAGTGTTGCATAATAAAATTATGCTTTGTTAGGAAATGCCAGAATAAACGGACACTTAAACTTCCAAACACACAACCATGCCAAATTCATTTTTCCATTTAACTTCATACCTTTGTATAAAACGCAAGTAAAGTGCCATTGTAAAGGAGAACCTAGCATCTTTTTAGGGAATAGTATTTTTTAAGAGCCAGATATTCTCCATTGCTTCAAAATTCTTTGTCCATATCTTATTTCGTAGAACCAAATTCAAATTGGTATTAATGAAATAATAGTAACAGCTTTTAGTACCCAAATGGTTTTCTCATCTTCGTCAGGTTTTTCTTAAATTATATCCTTATGCATTCTTTATGGGTCTTGACTGATAATACCTTTGTGAACTATAAATTGAATTAAAAGCAAAACAAAAAACAAAAACTTAGACTTACTTGGGAGTGGGATAAAGAAGAGCAAGGAAAGTTTTTGAAAATAGTGCAGTCTCCCCTCAAAAGGAAAATTTCCCTAGTAGATAAAAATATACTTTGAGCTAGTAGAGTGACAGGCAGGATTGGAATTGGACTGACAATTAAAGAAGGTTCTGTCTTCCTCTGTTGTGAGTCGTCAAGAATGAATGAATGGTTCTCAAAAAGGCTGAAGATGTAGGGCACCCTGGAGCTCCAGGGTATCAGCCAACAGGTTTATCAGTTACAAGTCTCTAACTGTTCTCTTCCTAAAAGACTTTGAAGGTGCCAGCTGATTCACCAGTTAGTGAAAACTACAGGACAGGGAATGGCAGCTGCAGGAGCCACATCAGCAAGAACCCATCAGCTACCGTAGAAAGATGCTACACACATGTGGAATGAAGGTGATGATTACTGAATCAAATATTCACCCAACTGCAGTTCAGCAAAAAGACCAGAAAAGGTAGTATTTCCAACTCCCCATTGTGTAGGCAGGTTTCCAAAACCCTCAAGAACTCTGCTCCATGATTTACAAGTCCTGCAGGACCTCCCCTTGCCTATGAGTAAAACCTGTGCACATGATTGGGGATCACTCTGTGGTTATATCCCTAATCAGATGGCTCTGAGTTAATGAAAAGAAAGATGAGCTGATTGGGCCTGAGCTAACGAAGGGAGAAAATGAAGTCAGAGTACCCGCTGGCCATGAGTTCTATAGCTGCAAAGAGATGAATTCTGTTAACTACCATATGAGCTTAGGAAAGGCTTAGAAGATGCTCAGGCTCTCAGCTCCCCTCAACACCTTGATTTCAGCCTTGTGAGACTTTGAGCAAAGAACCCAGTTATGCCATATCCAGGCTTCTGACCTACAGAAAATGTGAGATAATAAAGTGTTAAGTTATTAGGTTTCTCACAAATTTTAATGAAATAATAAAAATTAATAAACCCAGGCTCGGGAAAATGATTAAGGACAAGAGCAGTAAGTTTCTAACCTGTCTGAAGCCCATATTGTGTGTCAGGCATTCTTCCAAGAGCTGTGCATGTATTAACTCATTTAATTGCTGCAGAGTCTTATGAGGGTGGTATGATTCTTTCTTATCCTCATTCTACAGATGAGTAATCTGAGGCCAAAAACAATTAAGTGCATTGTCCAAGGTTATACAGGCAGCAAAGGGTGGAGGTGGCAAAACAACATGGCATGTACAAGGGGCCCAAGCAAGAAATCTGAGGTCAGCACCCAAAGATGTGGAGGCTATGGAGGTAGCATGACCACAAAGGGCTTTGAAGACATGGAAGGCAGGCTGCAGGGAGCCAGGCGTGAGGGGTAGTCTGCATCCGAGACATGAAGGCCAGATCTGTGGTGGATGGAGATTGTTGGGGAGCAGAGCTAGGAGGAGGAGGAGGCAATATGAAGAACTTAAGAGGGGCAAGACAGGAGACAGGCAACCAGTCAGGAGACACTACAATCCCACTTTTCCCAACCAAGATACCTCTGTCTCGGCATGTTTTCTTTCTTGTGTGAGCCCCTGGGCTTTTTTAGCAGGTAAGACATGTCACCATCCACAGCCCTATCACCATCCATGGGACCTCTTGTCAGCTGACCTGTGAGCTGTTCACACCATATCTGAAGTTGACCATACCTTTGCCTGTCTCTTCCTTATTTTCCACATTTTTAAATGATCAAATTCAGGAGTTCCCACCCATTCCCTGAATTTACAGTTTTCTGCTTTCTTAGCAATATATTTTTTATTGGTTAACTTAGTCTTACGAGAAAAGAAAGGGAAAGCAAGAGAAGAAAAAAAAATAGGGAGGCTAGAAAATATATTGAGCCCTTTTTATTTTTTTCCATTAAGTTTATTGGTACATTTTAGGTATACAATACAGTTACATTCATCACTGGGACCTTGGACCTATTGAGTCTTTTTAAATGACCCAGGTTTTTCTACTTGATTGTCTTGTTAGTTAATTTAAATATAGCATATAAAGCATTTTGTACCAATACTTTTGTTACCATATGTGAAATAAGTAATTTTCAATTCCTTTTCAATCCTTTTTCCCTCACAAAACATCTCCATTTGTCAGTGAACTTGGTATGTCAATATACTTGCTTCCAGAAAACTTGTCTTTGCTCAGTTCCCAGACCTCCAAATTGCACACCACTGTCCAGCAACAGCAGAACCAAAACACGTTCTCTCTGGAATTTGGCTGTTCTTATTGCAGTGGGAGAAGCAGTCAGAAGATGAGGGGCACATGATGATGTTTACATGTAACTTATTGGACAGAAAAATGAGGAGAAAAAAGAAATAAAAGCACCAAACATTATTAGTAGTATATTTATAAGCATGTATTGATATAAAAATTGCTACAAGAAAGTATTATTGAAAACTGGGAAAATACTTCGTTAATATGGGAAAAAAGCCTTTGTTTTTTTAAGTTATTGACTATTTTAAATCAAGAAAGTACGTGCAAGATCAATGAAGGTTTTAGCAATCAGACTTTTTCAGAATGATGTGAAACATTTTATAATATTGACTAAATGTACCTTACATTCATTGAGCATTTACCATACACCAGGTTGTGCTATGAGTGTATGTGAGTTATCTCTTTCATTCTCAAAACAATCCAGGTTGCAGGTATGATGTTTTTTGGGGGTACTGAGAATCAAACTCAGGACCTTGTGCTTGTAAGGCAGGCGGTGGCACCACTGAGCTAAATCCCCAGCCCTGGTTGCAGATATTATTGTGGTCTCTATTTTACAGATGAGTAGTTGAGGCCCAGAGAAATTACATACCCCACCCAGTCACCCAGCTCCTAAGTCTGTCCTCAACTCAACACAAGTGGAAACAAGATTTCTCTGTATGTGAAAAATTGAAATCCAAAAAGTGGCAATTTCTCCTCTCTTCTCTCCAGTTTTTCTGGTGCCTTATCTTATTCTGTCTTCCTGAAATTTTAGTTTGAAGTCTTTCTCTTTTTCTTGACTTTTTTCATTTGCTCTGATTTTCTCCTTTGTGCCTGCCTCCCTCAAGCATCCAACTATGCCCACACACGCGTACAGCTACACACAGGTACACACACACACACACACACACGCACACACGAGATCCTCTTTGAGTATTTGGCTCTGAGACTCTCAAAGGTACTTCTAGTTCTCACCCTTGAACAATCCTGAGGATAACATATTCATAAAAGGGTGCACCCCTCATTGGTAGTTCCCCATTTCAGGAATAGTAAACAAATCCTTTAACTACTGAACAAGGCAACCCCAAACCAAAACAGTGACTCATACAGATGCTGAAGTGAACCTTTAGGAGGGCACAGGAGTTTCCTGGATTGGCCCAAAATCTCTGACCGCCTCTTGCCCAGAGGAAAGTAAAACGATGTATGTTTTTGCTCTCTGGGAATCATGGGAAGACACAATAAAGGACAAGATGTGTGACCCCTGTCCACAGTAGGTGTATGACTGTGGCTCCCCAGTTTTTTAGGAAAAGCAAGGAGGTGCTCTTCCTATGAGCATTCCCAGAGGCACACACCTCTCTGGCACCCCACCACCAGTCAGCACACAGCCTCCAAACACACTGGAAGGATTAAATAACTGCAGGTCTGTTTCCAGCTCCTTGCTGCAACCTAATGCTGCTGGAGGGGAGCCAAGCCTCAGGCAGGAGAAGAGACAGAAGGAAGAGCCACACAGCCAAGAGCTAACAAGGATGGCCACTGGAGCAGGCGAGGACTGTGCCTTTAATTACACAAAATTCTCATCTGCCTTGCTCTTCACACTGGGATTTTCTCCACATTTGCAATTTCAAGCAAAACCCACATTTTAATGTTTTAAATTCAGAAGCCAAATAGTCTAATAGTGTCTCAATCCCAAGGGAAAAGAAGTGGGAGACACTGATTTAGTACAATGACTTACATTTAGCTCTTACTAGTCCAGAGTTCAAACACCTATTAACACTTAGTAATGTCTATGAGAAGTTTTCAAAACACTTTTCAAAAGAGCCAATGCCATGTAAAAACATGGTGATTAATAAGCCATGCTGAAGAAATGCAATGTGCAGCCCTTCACTGGAACTTAGGTCTAAAAAGAAGTAAAGCTAAAAGTCAAATTTAAGTATGGGCTGTATACTGAATAATATCGAATGAATGTTAATTTTCTTAGGTGTGATGATGATAATGCAGCTATAGGAGAGGATGCTTTTATTTATAAGCATAAATTATTTAGGAGTGAGTCTATAATGTCTGTAAACATAACTTTCAACCAGCTCAGGTAAAATGTGTGTGCCTGTGTGTGCGTGTGTGTGTGTATGTGTGTGTATCTTCACAGATAATGGTTAGGGAGGAAGGAGGTAAGCAAGGAGGGGAAGAGATAGACTATTTTTTTCTATGGAGAAAGAGGGGAAAAAAGGAAATATGGCAAAATATTAACAATTGGTGAA